GCTTTCCATATTTGAAAAAACATATTGCTTTCACAATTAAAACCTTCTAATCATATGTGTTCAGTAGGAAAAACAGAAACGATAGTGACTTTATAATTTATTCCTTTATTTAGCCAAAGCAAAAAAAAAAAAAAAAATACGAGGAAATGTTTCAGATGACCGAAATTCTTTATTTGATATGCACTCTTAACAGGTATGATAATTTTATGCATTTCAAACGATAATAAACATACTTTTTCTACTTTCATGTTAAAGCTGAGTGCAATTCAAGCAGGCAAGTTGTCCTCCGTATTATTTTTGACGTGTCGTCATATGGAGCCCCTTAATAAGCCATTCCTTTGGTCACGGTTAAGCGTGCTTCGCTTTTCTGTCAAAAGTAGTTCCATTGCTACCGGAATTATCGTAGATAAAACCAGAAGTCTCTGTCGAGATTGTAGCTCTACTGCTTTGTATGAGAGAGAGAGAGAGCTTCATTTGATTGGCTATTTCCTTGCGTAAGACATTTGAAATCAGACCAAAACTGTAGAATGAGTAGCATTTTAAAAGTATTTTACAGACATTTCTATTTTTAGTAACCACGGCAACACCGTTCATCCAAATCAGAAACCGACACATTAATTGCTCTCGCATAAACTCTTCTGGTCTTTGACCGGTAGAGTTAAAAACTAAAATGATGTATTCTTATCTATGAGTCATGTTCAGCAACAAATTTATTTCGTTTAAACAATTTGTTATTAAGGACAACAAGCAACAAGGGCATCGCAAAGCGGAACAATCCTTCACAAAGAGCATATCTTAAAATTAAGGCAGCATTTGACATCGATACCAATGCAAATTACGTCAATTCGTTTTTTCACAGGACATAATCCACTAACACACACGGGATTCCGTTTCCTCTAAATTCTTTTGAGAGGAGATAATAAGCTTAATACATGTACAGTGTACATTGCACATGTATAAATTACGTGACGACAGGTAACATATTTTTTTTCTTGCACGTACGGATAACCCTTAATTAAAAATATTCTTTATCTATTTAATACCAAAAAAAATTATTATTATTATAAAATTAATATACGTTTTTGAAACGGACCTGTACACAGTTTTATTGTTTTTATTAAAATTTTAATTTCAATCATAAATAAAATTCAGTTAAATCAAATGAAACTGCATAGAATTCTTATTATTCGGTATTAATGTAACATAAATGTTACATGTGAGTTTAAGAGCAAAGGTACATGTTCTTGCAAATATACAGGTCTAATCAGTTTGTTAACTCTGTTAACATCACTGGACACAATGAATACAGATGACTTGGCTTTGCTTTCTAACATTTCTACTGTGAATTTCCTGTTTTATGATTTAAATGTTTGTTTAATTATACAGATCAGCTTTTTTATGCTGTTCAATATAAAAGATAAATTATCATCATGAAATATAAGGATAAATATGCTCATCAATTGCGTTTAGAAATATCAATTTTAATTATTTTACGATAGAAATGAAGGATTACGGTTTTTCATCAATATCTTTACGTGGGATCTCGTCGGCCACTAAAAATTTTTATCATTCTTATTTAATTTTACACACAGAGTTACCGTGAATCAAAGTAAACAATGTTTGAGTCCGGCATTCATAAAACATGTTTTACTTTAAATTTTTAACTAGCAGTTTTTCGATTGTTTAATGGTGTCTTAAAGATTGTTTAAAGACAGCTTTAAAGGCTTATTGACTCTCTGTTCTATATTTCATTGACAATTCACTGATTGATAGTATATTGTTTAACGTCCCTCTCGAGAATTTTTTCATCCATATGGAGACGCCACCACTTGTCGGTGGAGAGCTGCAAATTCTATTCCTATACTTGCACTCAGGACAATTGAGCAGGGAGGGATCTTTTTTGTGTCAGCACCTACTATGACACGGGTTCTCGGTTTATACGGTCTGAACAAAAGGACCGGTCTCCAGCCTCTAGAGTAGACGCTCTAACCATTGCTCCACAGGGAGAATTCATTGACAATAAAGAGAAACACTTCCCACAGTGATTTTTATCAACAATAAAATTATAATATTCAAATATAACAAGCATTCTGAAAGTATTGCATTTAATTACGCAATAATACTCTCCTACCGGCAAGTTCACGTAGTCTGTTCGTGTTAAAAAAGTAATACGTAAAAAACCAATTAAGCCGAATGAAGTACAATCTTTATCTTTAACTCATCAAGATTAAGTCACATACCAAAAAATCAGCTCAATATATGCCAGCATTTAGGAAAAAATTGCGGGGTTGTAATTCCGTCAAGAATCATAGAAGCGGAATGAAATGAAAACTTGGTCTGTACATCATGAAGATAAACTCAGTTACAAAAAGCAGCTCAGTATCTGTAAACATTTAGAAAAAAGTGGGACAGATTGACGGACAGACCTAAGGACGGACAGAAAGACGGACACTCAGGGGAAACCTTTAGTCCCCTCAGGTTTCACCAATATAGAACAAATAAGATGGGAGGCATAAATCGAGGTTTACTTTTTCCAAAGTTAAATTTAGTTTCAGTCATGTAACAAACACAATTGACCATGTAAATGCGAGATATAGCAATAATTTATCATCACAACATTTAATTACAATAAACAAGATATAATATGAAATGAAATATAGTGTCATGCATATTAAATCCATATATTAAAAAAAAACATATTTTTAAGTCAGAATAAAAAAAATTGCTACAAGCAGGCGTTATAGTTGTCTTACTCTGATGTTTTTACTTCTTTTTATAAAGAAAAAAATATGTATATGTTTTAATAAAACACATTGTATATTAAATTCTAAAATATGCAACTTTATTAGTTCTTATAAAGAAATACAAGCACTTTAATTTATAAAAAGAAAATAAATTACGTGAAGACATTTAAATCAGAAAACTATAAATAATTATTATCAAATATATATATATATATATATATATATATATATATATATATATATATATATATATATATATATATATATATATATATATATATATATATATATATATATAAGAAAAGAAAATACGAATAAATATTTGATACATTTTATCAAAATATATAGAGCTAAATATAATAAACTTCGTTCAAGTTCAAAATTCATTCAAACAATACACATTTCAATTTCTTCACGACAGCTTATAGATTATCTAGAACCAACCTTTAAGCACCTATAATCCATATTTAAGCTGATTTTAAGCTATTTTTAAGCACAAAAGAGAAACTGTTTAATGGTGGATAATCATGGGGTATAAATGACTTAAAGATAGTTTAAGGGTGCTTAAAGGTGACTAAAATATCGGTGATAAATCTTAAGCACCTATAAGTAGTCTCTAAGCCAAGCCTTAATGAAGTGTGAAGTTCATCTTGTGTCAATAATCAAATCATGGAGACCAAATTACTTGTATGATGCGTTTATACATGTAGCAACACAAGGGTGAATCAGGAACCAGTACCTAGTTTAGGTTTCAATCACAAAATAAATTTATACAACAGTGCATACTATAACCTTTACCAGTGTTTGCTGATCTCCATTTATAGAAATAAGCTCAGAGAGAGTACTTGAATTTTAACCTAACCTGTTTAACGAACACAAATACGGAATATTTTATTAAATGGTGTATTAAAAAACGTGAATACAGGAAATATAATAGATTTGGAGTGGTGTAGAATTTTGACCTGATGATAATGTTTACTTTATCAACTAGTTTCACTTCCCGCTGTGACATCAATCATTACAAGTCAAAAAGTGATGTATTTTTTCATGTAAAAGAAAAAGGTATCTCACCAACATCGAATTCAACATTTAAAATGAGATACTTTAACGCAAGGATAATTATGCAGTAAAGAAAATGAAAGAAAATTCCTAAAACAGATATTTCTCTTATTGAAAATCTAGATACAGTGTACATTGTATTCTCCGAGTCCTTGGTAGTCATTTTTACATGAATAAAATTAATAAAATAAACTAAGAGTACAATTTAAAATTCCTGTCATGTCCTGTGAGGAAACATCTGACTTATTTTTTGACTCTTCACAGAGAAATGCATAGAAAAACAAGGCCTACATTTATGATTGTGAACGGAAAAAAATTCAACTTTAAGTTATAGTTTCAAGGTTACTTATTCAGTTATTTATATATTTTCCTCATCATCAAATGTTACAGTAGTTCTTATTGAACTGTTACAGTTTATTTAATCTCGTTTCAAAACTATATTTTAGTCTGTTAACGACCAAAATATTTCTGCACTGCTTAATGCTGTTTTATATCTTTCTTATTGTATGTCAAAGGTAATAACAGCCAATAAAATATGCAGAGATAACGAACAGCATTCAAGCTCAATAGTCCACTAAACATTACAAATCAGGAGGGGAGCAAACACGGACCACGTAAAAAACATTAATCTTTCCTAATCTCATTTCTGTAAAATCACTATTCCATCTCTATGTAAGTTTCAATTGATGTATAATCTGCAAACAGAAATGCCAATTAAAAATTATACTTTTATGAGAAAAAATGCGTAATAAAGATATATCTAGCAATGTAAACTTAATTCATAGTCATAATATTTGCCACAGGATCATTTAACTACATGTATATTTTCCAAAGTACAAAGCTTACATCTTTTGCATACATTTACCCCCTCAAATCTATACATCTGTCCTCCAAATTAATGTTTCCATGCTTATACATGTATTAATCCATTAAATATCACATTGTCATCACACACTTTGGTATGCTTATAAATTTGCTAGATACGAGGTATATTCTGCTTTCGCTCGTTTTAATTACTGCTAGTGTAAATAATTAAATTATTATCACAAATATATATTAAGATAAAATTACGATATTACTTTTTTTTAAAAAATTATATAAAAAATATTAAAGAGAAGAAAATAAATAGTGCGAATATATCATCCAGGCTTATCTTTGATTAAGGTCTAGGTGCTCACCGCTTTTTCTAGAAGATAATCCCTGGGCATTTATAGGTTCCTCATAGGAATCAGGTCGTGTTTGAATTTCTCTTTTCTCATCAATACCTACTCTGTTGAAAGGTAAAACATAAATTTTAATCTCAATTCTCATGTATCTAACTTTAGATGTACTTTAATCAGAAAAGGAAGTGATAAATTGTACCCACTCTTTGCTCTTCAGGGCAAATAACTGCTTTGGTCCTGTTGCTTTCAAAATAAAAGAAATGAGAATTACAGCAATCGAATTTCTTTTTTAAATTCCACTAAAATTTAAATCTTGTTTAATTGCACTTACTTTTCCGTTTTATTAAGATCCAGAGTGTCATTAATATGCAAAACAGAAAGGCAAATGGCGCACCAATCGTTGATATTGTTACAATTTGTTTAGCAATTGATCCTGTATTTAAAAATTGATAAAAGTATTCAAAATTTATGATATTATGGGCAGCGGAAAGAGCAAAAATTACCATAATGAGAAAACAAACAATTATTTTAATTTCAATGAGTTAAAAACTTAACAAATGATAAACAATGCATAATCAACAGACCCTTTTGCAGAACAAATATACATTAAAGCAAAACCAACAACCACGTACGTAACAAAGATATATGAATGCAAAACAAACGTACATAAAAACTCGACAAGCGAAAAAAATCTTAACAAACATGCACGCGCTAAATCTAGTCTTCCCGACACCCGGCTCCCGACGGTCCCGGATTTTTTTTTTTTTTTTTTTTTTTTTTTTTTTTTTTTTTTGTGCACAGAAACCCTTCACACTCCTCGGGCACATTTTTTTTAAAATGAATTCAATGATATGTTAAAACTTTTATTACTGAATCAGCAGTATCACCTGCCAAAAAGCGTTAAATGTAGTACTCCGTTGTATATGAAAACCAAAAACGGACACAGCTTTGAAGTTAATATATTTTGTATAATATTACGACTTATATATCTTAATAGCATTTCACACAAAAATATATTAAAAATCTTATTTCATCTAAAAGTTATTAAAACTTAAAACTTCAAATTTTTAGACATGTATTAAAAATATTGATATTGAGAAGATATTTCTTCTAAAAAAGATGGAATTAGTATTTCAGTAGAAATTGGTGGTGTTAATAAAAAAAAAGAACATTTGAGTTCTATAAAAATTCATATCATCAAAATGATTTGATATCTAAAAAGATTTTTAACAAAATTTTCATAAAAATAGCTTAAATCTAACATTGTACTTATGGTAAAACCATGGAAAATGAAAGTATTGCTTGTTATACATTGACGTAGTATCGTTTTTGAAAGGAGGGGGTCAACCAGAGAAAAAAATTCAATCTTGCTGAAAAGAAGATTTTAAAAACTTGACAAGCTAAAACAAAAAGGAAACTAAAATGATATACATGTAGCCCTAACACGAAAATCCTATTTCGTGTGTGTGAGTGAGGGTGTATGTGGGGGGTGGGGTGGGGGTGTGTTAGGTTCAACTTCTTTCAGTACCATTTTTTCCTAAAATACATGTACTACATAACCCCTTTTTGACCTTACTCTTAAATTTGGGAAATGTTGCTGTGTGCCTGTCATATGAAATGTTACTGTAATTAAAAGATATCATAATAGATTCTTGTGATATTTAAAGAATTGGGGAAAACCAATTTATGTAACAACAACGAGCAAAAAAATGACGAAACGGCCTTCAGGAGAATGAGATATATGTATTTTTTATTTTATGGAAATTTTCTTTCATTTGAAATTTTTAAGATAAATTAACCAAAAAAGGAAAAATATAAAGGGGGATCCGAGGTAGAACCACGTCCATGTTGTAGAGCCTGGGAACATATACATGATGTGGCAAAGAGTTCTATACGAAAAAAAAATATGTGGAGAATTTTTGTGCATACAAATTATCTGGCATATAAATGAGGGTTATCATTTATTTTAAAAAATATACCACTGTTTTTGCGATTCTACGAAAACATAGGTATCCTTTTTCTCAGTGGTTTTCGCATTTATAGCTGAGTACTAGATCTACCGCTTTTTGGCAGATGACACTGCTGATTCAGTGATAAATACGCAAATTTGTTAAAGTTTTTATATATTAAAATATATTATTTGAACCCAGAAAAGTGCCTGAGGAGTGTGAAGAGTTTCTGTGCACCGACAAAAAAGAAATCGAAAAAAAAAAAAATCCGGGACCGTCGGGAGCCGGATGTGAGGAAGACTAGATTTACCGCGTGCACGTCTGTTAAATTTTTTTCGTTTGTCTTCTTTTTATGTACGTTTGTTCTGCAAAGATGATCGTTGGTTTTGCATTCATATATGTTTGTTACGTACGTGGTCGTTGGTTTTGCTTTAATGTATATTTGTTCTGCGAAAAGGTCTGTTGATTATGCATAGTATATCATAGTATATCATTTGTTAAGTTTTATGGTCATTGAAATTAAAATAATTGTTTGTTTTCTCATTATGGTAATTTTTGCCCTTTCCGCAGCCCATATGATACCCCTCCTGTGTAATTCAGTTTATGACTATTTTAGTATAAGAAAAATGTAGATGTTCCAATCAATTTTATTACAATTATTTTAAAGTCATACCTTCATTGCTCTTATGGCCCTTTTTGGCAAGTGTGAATGCATGCGCATGAGATCCAAGTTTGTTTGAAATAACAATGGTGTTTCTTCCGTACCAATCGTCAGTTATATTTGTGACAGTAAAAGTTGATCTATAACCCTGTACTTCAACAACTTTATCAACAAGAAATAAGGGAACATTTAAGAATTCGAAGTTGACACTCCTTTCAAAGAGAACAAAACTGTCTTCTTTCCAAATCTGAATAAGACTGCCTGGTTTCGGAAAACTAACAACATTCAGGAAAAAGTCCAGGGTTTTTCTGGTAGTATCTTCGTGCGTCTTTATATTTGTAAGCATTGGAGATCCTAGAAAAAAATATTTTGTAAAGAGGATAGCTACACTTAGCCGAGTCACTTTGATTTAATTTATTTTATTGAAGAGTTCAAAGATTTTGCCTTTCATTTACCCTTGTTCAAGAGACCAACATCTGAACCGATTAAAATGTACACACAAAGAGGAAGCATTTCATGGAGGTTTTTTCCCCTGGCCAATAGCCTCTGAAGATTTTCTTTTTATTAAAGCGACTTTTTACTATTTCATTTAATTAAAACTTTGTTCAAATATCGTGATTCTTCAACGAAAATAATTGAATTCACCACACAAGATAGTGTCAAAATTTGTTGTGAATTTCTCTGTACACCATCAAAAGATATGAAAAAATTATGATACAAAAACATAATAAAACATAGTCATTGATTTTTTAATATACTTGTATTTAGTTATAGCATTTATATAATTATGTATAGTATTACTATATTAAAGACTCTCTGTTAATACTAATACCCTCAAATTCTTACCAGTGATGCTTAAGTAAATCTTCCCTGTCAACCGCTTTGTAGTTTTAGAATTCTGTCCACAAGATGTGTATTTTACCTTGCAGACATATTCACCCATATCTTTATATGTGATATGATGAAGATTAATATTCCATGATGAAAAACTTCTCACAATAGTATTCACAGTCCCCAATTTATGATGCCATGTCACGTCACGAAGTTTATATGCTCCATTCAACGGACAGACCATAGTTAGGTTTTCTGATTGACCGTTAGAGATGTGTTTTATGTAGGCACCTTCAAAAGAATTTTTTCTATGATAATATATGTATCTATTATGATGCATATTAATTTCATAAGTATAACAGACATATACAGGGTGCTTAATGATAGTTTAATTATCTTTATTTAGGGGTAAGACAAACCTGGCACTACTGACAGGTTCTTCTCCAACGTTTCGCCAGGTACGTGAGATTTATTCGTACAAAGTAGTGTCGGTGTGACTACAATCTGGTACAGAGAGGTGGAATCTATACCCACGTAAGAATATTTTCTACCGGTGACGTCAACTGTTATAAATATATCGGTGTTCCGGCATAATTTTAATCGAAACTTTACTACTTTACAGTCAATAATTCCAATAAATTTTGGTACTTGCACATTAAGTGAACAGCCATCAATCCATGCAGACAGGTCACTCGAATCTAAAGATGGTGTCTCTAGAAAAGTCATTTTTTAAATGTTTTTAGCATTGCAGCAAAAATTATTAAATGAATCTAGAAATATATTTTATTCAATTTTATAGGTAATTCAAAAAATTATTACTTCTAAGAAAGAACAAAACGTTTATTTTCAATGCAAACATCTGGAAAAGTGAAAAAATTCCTTGCCTCCACTAATTGTGAAAACCTTCGACCTGTATCCCATCTTATTCGATACAAAAATTGTCAAAACTGCTGCTTCGATCCATTTTTCTAATGCCACAGAAACGTCCACTTTGGTTGAATACCCAGGAACTTTTACATTTGCCCCATGTGCTTCAAAGGAAACTAGCTCCGCAATATATGTAACATTCTTCGCAAGGAACACGATTCCATTAACGTTCTTTAACTCGATCAGTCGAGACGGGTTTGGAAAACTGACCAAACCTAACATTAACTCTGTACCTTCTTCTTTCTCTCCCTTAAAATGTCTCACTAAACTTGAAATAAACGGAGGTCCTAATGGATAAATAAATAACTATTACAATATTAAACACTGTAAAACTTCCCTTGAAATTGATATTTTTTGTAAGAAAATAGAAAAACTGTCATGGTGTTTTTAAACTTATCGTTTTTGTTTTCTTTCCGATGACAGAAATGAATTCAAAATAAGTTTTTTTTTTTAACTATAGGTAGCTTTTAGAATAAATTTCTTTTCAGACATAAATAGGCTTACCATAAATAAGAACAGAAATATAAGTTGTTAATTTTTGCACATTTGTCATGCCACATTCTTTGTACTTGACAGTGCATGAATATTTTCCCCAGTCTTTATAAGTGAGATTCGAAAGATGCAACTGTTTTGATTTAAATTCTCTAACAACTAAATCACTCAGTCCGACCATGTGTTGCCATTCCACATCAGCAGTCTCATAAGCTCCGTTGATTGGACACACCAATGTCAAACTCTCAGACTCGTTTGCCTTTATGTTCTTTTCCATTTTCTCTTCAGAGGAAGGAATTCAAAAATAGTAAAACAGAATGGATACATGTATTAGAAAATAAACTGATTAAATTGAATTAAAACTGTCGAAATAAATATACATGTAATTCTGTTTTCCAAAGATCCCTATTTAGATCTCATTTAATTTCATAATTTATCGAACAAATACGATTTTTTTTATAAAATCAAAGTTCTGAATATGTCTTGAATAAACCTGGAATTCCTGATACTGATTTTTCACTGCTCACTCCAAAAAAGGTTGAGGAATTCTGACATATAAATATTGGATCAACTTGTACACGGTACCAGAAATTGGAATGAATGTCAGAATACACGAAATCGGGAGTGTTCGTGTGAGTGCTAACTAATAAGCGAGCTCCTTCGTATATTTTAACTTTGTACCCTACTGGAAGGCAGTCAGATGTTTCATCGGGGATAAAGTAGCTCAAATGGAGATTACAATCTTTTATCCAAACGTTCATATTTCTATCTTCATGCAATGTTTTGCAGCCTGAAAAGATAGTCCTCTCTTAATTATACTTTGTTTATTAATTTCTTCGTTAGTTTAGTAAAAAAAAAAAGCATAATTGCGTATATGTATCATATTACAATAAGAAAGACTCTACTTACTAACAATTTGTATTCCAATCATGATACAGAAAAGTACCAATAAGCACAACGATGAACATCTAAAATTCATGATTTATTTATTTGCCAATCAACAATTTCATAACTCTAGCGTAGTGAAGATTTAAACAATTATTCTGTCAGCAGGGAAATTAAATTTATATACATTCTGAAACTCTCTACATTAAGTATGGAAAGTCAAACTCTGGAATCGTTGAACCCCTTATGACAATTAATTAAAATTTAGTTCTCGAAATTTGGACTGAAGAATACGACATTTTTTTTTACATCTCAAAGCAAAGTTCGAATTTGTTTATTTATCATACGACTTTAATAAAATTCTTTTCATCTCTGCGTAACTTGTTATATATGGTATGAATACATATTTTTGTGTCACAGTCAGTTAAGTAAAACAAATTGAATTGGTCTATCAAAAATATCACCGTTACTGTATCTAAGTGCAATAATGGAATGTTGCATTAAATATAACCTTATCATTATATAATTTTTTGATGGCAAATTACACTGTTCATTCACTGATATCCGTATATTTCTTTTTTATATGTTTTCAATTGAATATACTTACAAGTAATATTTTAAAATTATAATATTTGGCTTAGGCGAGTTTATTTAAGTTTGTTTAAAGTAGGGATGGACCATAACAAAAGATCATCATTATTAAAAAAAACTTTTTCCGCAACAACAGATCTAGACTACAGTGTGAATTTCAGTGGTACTTCAAACAACACTTATTGTATTTGAATGACTATCCATGCGACCTTTCTCTTCCTTGATCAGTTTGTCTTTGTTCGATATTAAAACAAATAAGGAAAGATTACTGCAATGATCATTAAATTAGGTTTGTAATTGTTTTAAATTGATTAAATTTTGCATCATATTTTTAGTACGTACTGGTCCCTGTTAACAAAGCAGGTAACAACATTGTCTTCATTTGTAAGGCTCATTATATAAATCATATTTTAGAAGAACTTGGATTTAGTTCTACAAGTGGTAATACAACTTATACTAATAGCTCTCTTTCTAAGGAAGAAATTCTTCAAAACCATATGTCAATTCTGAATATTTTTAATGTCCTGGAGAACTGGAATGAATTTGCACTACCATATATATATATTGGATTCCGAAACATCATAAGAATCCTTACAACGATACCTTGCGGGTTCCCAGTAAATCTTCAACCAAGCCTCTTTCTTTACTCCTCACTAAATTGTGCTTCCTAAAAAATTCCAAAGAACTTTTGGACAATTTGAAATCAAAAGATTTTATCGAAATCAACAGCTTAAAAACTTACCACTTTTCAACTTTATACACAACCATTCCCCACGATAAAGTAAAGTCCAGGCTTTTTGATATCATTGACAAGTGCTTTTTCAATAATAATGGAACCCGGAGATACGGTCATTTACAAAATTATTTTGTTAAAACACATTCTGATTGCATACACAAGTACTCTGAAGTTGACATTCAAAAGATGCTTGAGTTTCCGATTGACAATATCTATGTGGTTTTTGGAGACCAGGTCTTCCAACAATCTATTGGAATTCCCATGGGTACCAATTGCGCTCCGTTATTGGCAGACCTATTTTTGTATCACTATGAAGCAGAATTTGTGCAAAAACACTTGCTTTGGCCTTCAACTCGACATTTAGATATATCGACGACGCATTGTCAATTAACAATTGTAATTTCCATTCCTATATCGATACGATATATCCTGGTGAACTTGAGATAAAAGATACCACAGAGTCTGACACATCTGTTTCATACTTGGATATTTACTTTAAAAAAAAAGTTAATTGTGATATATTTCCATTTCTAATTTTAGTCAACAATTAGTTTTTCCTGTGATAACTCTTTGGAAGTTAGCGGAGTTGATATCTTGATAATTCCACCGGAATGTATATTAGGCAGGTCGATAGGTCAGGAGCTAAGGAGGCCTAATATGCATGCAAATCTCGTGCGCATCTGTTTCTGACTCTAAGGAGGCCAAATTTACATGTAAATCTCGTGCAGCTGCCTTTGAGTTTGACGTGAGTGGACGAGGATTATAGAAATTGGCATTGGAGTCATCGTGTAATTTAAATCTATGTCTGAATATTTAAAATCTAAATCTACACAATTTCACAATGAAATAGAAATATAAGAAATAACTGTCTAGTTACTATAGCACAGTGTATACCAGGGACATCAACGAAAGTGGGAAACGTTGGATAAGTTATGCAAATTATCCCATGTTACCCACTATTGTTGATGCCCTGGCATACTATACTAACTAGGCAGTGATTCTATTAACTAACTACCCAGCTCTATGATAAACGTTATGACTTGAACTTTTCTATCGTCAACTTCCCTTACTTGTGCGGCAATATACTTTCATCACCTGTATACGGAGTTTATATATCTCAGTTGATTCGATACGCAAGAGCATGCTCTACGTACGAATAATTTCTAAAACGAGGTATATTATTGATAAACAAGTTCATGAAACAAGAACATCAGCAGTCTCGTTTAAAGTCATCATTTTGAAGGTTCTATGGTCGATACAATGACCTTGTCAGCAAATACATCAATTGTATTTGTATTTGTACAAATGCTCTTGCATATCGCATCAACTGAGATATATCAAGTCAAATGCTGACTGACGTTCTTCATACTAATTGTTAGTCTGTTATTTATACACTGAATTGAAAACAGATTTATTTCCCAATTAAGACAAGAAGCACACGGCGGGTGTGACCGGTTGGCATGGGATGCTCACTCCTCCGAGGCACTTGATCCCACCTCTGATGTTTTGGAGGTCTGTGTTTGCTCTGCTCCTGCTTTGTATTGTTTTATGGACTTTGATATTGAATATACTTTTGGTTATCTTCATATCCTTCGTTTATTAAGTTTTTAATTTACATTTAGATAACTGTGCTTTTGCTAAAAAAAAAATTGTCAAGTAAATGTTTAACCTAACAACAAAACTGAAGATGAGAAGAGAAGAATTAAAGCAATACACAACTACAACAGAGCATTAAATTTTTTTTTTAAATCTGTACTGTAATTCTGTCTCCTAATATCCAGAACCTTCTGTTAAATTGTAAAAGGTGATGATGACGGTTACCGATCACAAAAATTCATAAACAATACAAATATGTACAAATATGTTAAAAGCGCATATACACGCACTCCTCAAAATACCAGAGGTGAGATCAAAGGCTTTATAGTTAATATGAAGCAAGTCAACCAAATGATTTAGGTTATATTTGCTAACAAGGTCTTTATAAAAACCATAGAGTTGACTTCAAAGGACGTTGTTGAAATCCCTGTCACATCAACTTACAAGTCTGTCTCGCTTTAAAAATTGATACTACACAGAGCAAGCTCTTGAAAGGCAAATAAGCTGGGAGAAATAAACACCATAAGCAGGTGAAAGTGGGATATTTAAAATATATAATTTAATTTTGTTTGTATTCTAGCCAAAAAAGAACGCAAATTATCCTGTATAATCTGGTTTGGTATGGGGACACACCCCCTTGACAACCAGCTTAATCATCTGTATCTATGCAATTCCGTCATTTCCAGTCCTTGGGACTCATGGAAAATTCCAAGATTTAATAAATGTACCTTTAACTTCAAACTGTAGCTCGATCTTACCTCATGTTAACAAACATCATGGATGATAGGTCTGTGTATCAGTTATTACCTCCCCTCGTTTTCCATTACTTCCGTTACTACGGTTGTATTATTGAGCGACAAAGTTAAACTAATAAAAAGCAGCACATTTTTACATCTTCAGTTGTTTAATTATTTTTAAAATTAAATTATAACGAATGACTCTAATTCTTGGCCAAATTGTTCGAGTATAACCCAGTTTAGGTCATCTTCGCTAGCCAAGGGTTTCAGATCCGAAATCTACTCTACAACCCTTGGCGGATTTGGCTGAAAATTTTAGAACTCGCGCAAACGAATTTGATTGGCTGCGAAGTCCGAGTCTACGCAAGATTTTTACTAATTGACGATTTTCGGCTGAATTAAAGTCTGTTCGTATTTTATGCAAAAGAAGAGCATTATTTACAAGGGATGAAAGTTAGGACGTGATATACGCTAAAAAATAAGGGAGTAATTAATTTGAATTTTTTTTTCTTATGATTATATATGTTTTCAAGAATTATTGAAAGGACCACATAGGTCCGTGTTCCGCATTTTAGGTGCATCAATTTAAGCCAATCAAATATCACGGCTTATTGATAATAATTGATAAGGCAATATGTAGAAGGTGTCGTTAAACTCTTGACAAAAAATCCACGAAGAACAATATTTTCTACCACTTTTGAGGTGTGCCCACTGCCCACAGCTGTATGAGGTTGTTGGGTTATATTCCACCTCAAATTGCATGGAGGTCGCCATATTGTTTCAAACGTCATTTTGATTTACGTATATTACAGCTATTTTCATTGGACAAATATTAAAGAGCTTCAAGGGACTTAACTCAATTACGGCGATAGGCGGCGCAATTAAAGTTCCCGTTTGATAGGACTAAATCTGCCAAGGGTTGTAGAGTAGATTTCGGATCGGAAACCCTTGGCTAGCGAAGATGAGTTTAGGTCAGTTTACGTTTTTTATATAATCCGTTTCGCGGATTATAAAGCGTAAACTGACCAAACCAGGTTATATCTAATAATTTGGCCAAGAGTTAGAGTCATTCCTTAAGTAAAAAAAGTTAATTATGGAAACTCTGACGTCGTGAATCATAAATGAATCTTAAATACATTGTAAAACCATTCTTATAAAAATTAACTGAGCTTTTTGCCGTTCCTTAAACATAAGCATTATAATAGATATCTAGTTAAGCATAATGGTAAACGAATGTTTCCAATAATAGACAATGAATGTTTTCTATTGATTTCCTATGAAACTATATCTGTCTGTGACTGGTACCTTTACTTACACGATGCATTCTGGGAACATATTTTCCTTAAAAGTCTATTTACATTACTCATATTTACAACTAAAGAGCCAAATAAATTGCAAATTGTTAACATTCTGCAATTCCTGTACATGTATTTTAAAAAGTTATTTTGAATTCAGCTGTTCCTGCCTGGTTTATCAAAAATACTTTTAAAGTTTCCATGAATCTTATAAGGAAGATGATTATTTAAAAACAGTTTTCTCATTTTCTATAAAAGTTATAATATCCATGACAGCATCTCTCTACGTTTAATTGGAATAATGCGATGCATAGACAAAAAACGACACATGTTTCACAGACATATTAAACATATGTTTATGAACATTTTCTTTTGTGGTCTTTATTAATGTTACTTCTGTCAAAAAAATCTTTTTTTTTAAATCATCATCAAAATAGTAAGATTTAACTTATGAAATAACAATATATTCATAAAAATGCAATTATGTGATAATTTGAAATTTTTAAAAGCAATGTAATGATTGAAACTGAGAGCACTGTTACAACGCACTTTGAAAAAATTTTTCAAAGTGCGTTAAATTTGGGACCAAGCTAACGCACTTTGAAAAAATTATTTTTTTTTTCAAAGTGCGTTAATATCGACCATATTAACGCACTTTGAAAAAAATAGTAAATGTAAAGATTGATCAATATCTCTACAAATAATCGGTATGATAAATAACAGATACTGGTTGGATACCTTCTTTATGATAAAGTCACTTCAGGACCTGAGATATTGACGTTTTAAATATTTGAGGTTTGATAAAATAAAAGGGAAAAGGGTCTTGAAAAAAAGAGTGACGATTGTTTAAGATCATTAATTCGTTTCTTTTTTTTTATTAATTCGGGTCTTTGATAAGTAGATGTAAAGGTGTAAAGGGGGCACTAGCAGTGGACAGCTTTAAGCGACTTAGCACTTATCATAATAAAAAGGGGGCAATTTGATTTTTCAAAACTATGAAAATTCTTTCTCTCTCATACGTTTTACTGTACTTAAAATTTTTAGTTTTTATCTGTTTTAATTAACTCATTTAATATTGAAAGTTTTTAACATCATACCAGTTAGGTAAATACATAATTATATGAATGTTTTGAGTATAGCATAGAAATCCTGACCGGGCGAAGGGCCAGGGGAGGGGGGGGGGCTAAGCCCCCCACTTATTTTGGAAAGATATATACATTGTATAAGCATTGAAAATGCAGCTTACCCTTTTGGGGTTTATTGCTCCCCTCCCCCGTTTGTTACCGACACCTATGTATTGGAAAGATAAAGATTTGGACTGAGGGATCTTATACCCGTCTTCTCCTCTTTTCGACGGGAGTAAATCAATTCTGTTTTTGAGGTTAGGGTTAGGGTTAGTTTATTGAAAGAAAAATAACAAATAAAATCTTTCCTTTACTAAAATATAATTTTTTTTTCAAAGTGCGTTAAGTGTGTCCATAGTAAAATATATTGATGTAGACTCTTCACGCACTTTGAAAAAATATTTCAAAGTGCGTTGAGGTGGTCCCAAATTTAACGCACTTTGAAAAAATTTTTCAAAGTGCGTTGATTTTGTCCCAATTTTAACGCACTTTGAAAATTTTTTTCAAAGTGCGTAATTTTTTCATAGTGCATTGCCACAGAGCACCAAACCTGGATATAAATACAATTAACACTGTTCAATACGTAAGTTTCGAGATTATCTCCCTTGGTGCGCTCTTTCGTTGAGGAGGGGAGTTTGGTTGCCGCGTAAACAAACAGGTGGGACAGATATTTATTATTGGATATATCGCATCATCGATATACTGGTTTATCCATACATGTTAACTCTCCCGATTTAGGCGGGAGTCTACCGCTTTTTCACTCCATCTCCCGCCTACCGATTTAATTCAGAAATCTACCGCTTTTCTACAAAAGCTGCGTCTACAGTATTTTTGGTTCGCTTGGGTACATCCATTTTTGAAGCCACTCTCATGAAATCTCGCTAGATATCGCGTGATTTGACTCGGAATCATACAAACGCTTTTTTTGTACATAGATTTCAAGCACGGATTTGACAACGACAACAACACAAGACTACCAATGATTACATTGGTTACGATAAATTAATCAACATCCTGCCATGAAAAAGGAGATACGTACAGCTTTTAAGAATTATATGAAAACATTTGACATCGTCTTTAAAAGCACAGAAGCTCACAACTTTATCATTAAAGTCAATAGAAATCACTCGATTGACCAAGCCATGTGGCACATCTCTACTTTCGTTTTCGATCATCGCGGGAAATCTGATTTATATAACGAAAGATAGGAACTTGTTTTAGATCTAGATTAAACCATGTCATCATTTGTTTCGTTTAAAAACTGAATGAACATTCAGAATTATTGCTTCTAGGCTATATCAGCAAAGATCACTCTTCAAAAGGCTAAGTAAAGCAGCCAATCCAAGCAAAATGATGAGCATGAAAAATATTTGAATTTGTACAATTTATGTCAAACTTAATGTGTTTCTGTCTTCTTCTTTGCTGTTGATATTTAAGATTAATTAGTGTAGGTACCTTATTTCATTTAAGGCTTATAATATACATGTATATTACATGAAAGATATCGATAATCCAAGCGTTAAACAACACGCGCGCAATGCTACCGCTTTTGAGGTCTGAATCTCCCTCTTTTTCATCACAATAGGTTAACATGTATGGTTTATCGTAACTATATAATTGTAAGGATGCACTGTTCAACTCAAGAATAACCGAATTAAAGTAAAGGTGTCATTTTTTAAAGCAAAAAAATCGGAACAAAAAAGAAAATTCAGTGGATGTGAGACTTTTCAGACGAGGGAAGAGATATATGGACCTCTAATAAATACGGTAAACATGAATCTGATCATTACATGTCGGCAATCTAAATGACACGTTGATTTTTTACCTTATTATAACTTTAAAAAACCCACTAACTTTTTAGAGAATGTTTGCACAATCAAGAGAATCTTTTACTTTTTATAAAGACCACGACGTTTATTTCATTTTCAAGTACCCTATAATTGAAAGTAGATTTATAAATATACACAGTTGAGCTTGATAAAATCATAAAATGCATCACCGCTTAACGTTTTTATCTTTCTATAACATTAAGTAAATTTTAAAAGCCATAAACATCGTTCATTTATTTATGCACGTTTGTATACATAAACAAACTGTCCCACCTCCATGCTGAAATGGATACATTTTGCGCCTCTATTGCAGGAGAGTTACAATCTCGAAACTCGCGTATTAAACATGCATATTTTGGTAAAAGTAAACATTTGTTTGTCTAAGAAACCATTTCTTATCTTGTGAAAGTTTATATGATTCTATACATGTATCTACATGATATTTCCGTATTTTGTTCCACGGTCGTTACCATATGCAACCTCTTCATCTTGAAATTCACCCATTGAAAATCCTCCAAAACTATATAAACTGTAACAAACAAGACAAAAAAAAACCTAAACAAAACAGGCATATACTAATATACATGTAAGTCAATACAAATTCATAGAATGTCAATTTGTGCCTTTCACCACAAAAAATAATACTAGCTAGATTTGATAATCAAAGGTATCGATTAAAATGGACAAGTTTAAGTAGATGAAAATATGAAGTTTCTTCATGCATTACTTTTTCAGTTTTTATTTTTTACTAATATGACTACACTTTGTACATTCAAATCTTGGAACGGATATCTGGTTATAATACCGGTACATATATATTTACTTCACATAATATATAAATTGTTACCCGAATGACGCAGTGGGTAGAGCATTAATTTTGCTCTTTAGTAGCGGGGTTTATCGTATTGTCGCGGGTTCGAAACTATACTGTTTCTTCGGATAAAACTGTATGAATCGAGGTATCCTGTTCATGTAGGTGCTTGCACGAAATATTCTTCACTGCTCAATGGTACTCAGTGTCGAGTAAAGGTCTTAAATTGCAGCCCTCCATCGGCAAGTGTTGCATTCTCGATATAAGTGAGAAATTCTCAAAAGAGACGTTAAACAAAGAATATATAATATACCCTTGGTTAGAACTACATGTAGTTATATTTGTATAGTAATTGAATGAACGAGGAATTAATTTTTCCCAGTACTTTTCGTAATTATGATGCATTTGTAATTGATAGCTCCGTTAAAAGAATGCAGATAATCCAGATTTTTTTCACTAAATCGTCACCTAGTATGACGTCACAGCAGTATAATGCCGAAATCTGACTGAGATATGCATATCGCTAAATTTCCTAAATAAAGTGTTATTTGGTCACACTAGTGAGCTAAAACCTCAGGGAAAAAAAACATTATTTGGTATGTAATGTTTGACCATAGCAGAGCGTATTTGGGCAGATGGTACGATATTCTTTTGGAGATAAGTATTCATTAAATTATAAATTCAGAATTATTGATTTCATTGACTAAAATGCACTTTGACTAGATGTAAGAATGGAAAAGGGTTTCCGTAGATAAATTCGGCACTTAATGGAAACCACACGATTATTGCAAGATTGTATCGTTAAATGTTGCATCGAAAACTGCCAAAAGGATAGATGCCTTATATAGCTGCAGCACTTTGTGTCTTCTAAGCGACTTGTTGGGCATTTACTTTTTTTAGCGCTTGAAAGAAGTACACGCGGCTTCGAAAAATGAGTTTGCAAGCAAGAGGGATATTTGAAATAAAGACATCGGACATCGGCATATTCGACTGCAGTTGGCAAGACGACAAATTAGATTTACTTAGTCTTTGAGACGGATGCCGAAAGTGCAGAGTTTACAATTTGTCTAGTGTATATTGTTTAAGAAATAAAGTTATTTACACAATGTGATATCTTGGGCGTTATAAAAATGCGAAGATATGATTATTTATTTTCAAACTAGGATAGTATTGCCTATTTGTATTAATACAACTTGTAATTTAACTTTATTTTATAACCCTGCTCAAATTGTACATACACAAGACATGTAATATAATGTACCTCATTCACTTTGCTTTCTTGCAGAAATGCTTGGATTTACGCAGTGCTTTTATCGGAATAGATGAAATTACGTTTTGAATTGCAGGAGGTAGTCCTTCATTACTTTTTTGTATCAATGATTTAATTTATACACATGTAGGCTCTGAAGAAATCATGATCTATATCCATACCTCGCAATTTGTTTTCTTTCAATTTCTATTCGCTTTTCTTGATCCATCTCCTTTCTATCATCAGTGTTATCTGTAAATTTTAAATGCTTTTCATATACTTTCAGTTTTATCAAGTTTTCTAAAATAACTATCCAGCTTTTGAAAAGATACAAATACCTGGACGATCGTATAAATTGTAGGAAAAAGGCCTTGCATACAAGGAATCGACTAATTCGATACTGTTGGCCTCTAGCTTCTCTCTGGAAAACAGGTTTAAGGTAAATTAAGAATATACAGTACAAGGCGATTTTTTTTTCAATGTTAGAAAATACTACAAAAGACTCTAAAATTCTAAAATATAAGACTAGATAAAAAAAACTCACTGTTCAACATTAAAAATTAAGTCATTCCTTTTCTCTCCTGCAATATAAAATTACCTTATGAATGAATTTGTAATACAAAAAGATAATAACTGTTTATAACATCTTCCACATCGATTACTTTTAAAATAATGAAATAATTTATCCAAACGAAAAAAAGTGCTTTTTTTAATGTGTAAAAAAATCAAAGTGCGAAAAAACTTTCAACTTTAATTTCCTTTTTTCTCGAAAATGTTACTATTTAAAAATAACCCCTTTTCAAAGTTGGACGAAAGTATGTTTAACACCCTGCTACGGAGTAAAATGTCAAATTTCTCTCTAATCTATGTTTTACAATGTACATACAAAAAAATTTATCTCAAAATTGACCTCTCATCAAAGTGGTCAAACAACTGACACACGGAAAACCAAGGAAAATCCAATAAACAGAAAATGTAATGATTATACATGTAGTTGGATATGGAATTTAAATCACATGTTCATGTAAGAAAGGATAACTTTGCACTTTATATATTTTTTTAGATCTGCCCACTCGTTAAAAAACATACTCAACTCCAAAACATTGAAGTACTAGTACTTACGTTTTCTCTTCACGCAACAGACGATGGCTAATATGTTAAGGAAAAGAATGAACAGAAGGCCCCCACTGCCCACACCGAAAACCAGGAGATTATTCTTGTGTAAGAATATATCTAAAAACGATTGAGAAAAGAATTGAGTACTATTAAATTTAATTGTTGTAATTTCCTCTTTTTTCAAATCTCATAAATTATACTACTAATTAAATTCTTAGATGTGTTGATTTTATTTGTACTCGCAATGGAAATATCAATTTCATTTGATTTTAATAATTTGTAAAATATTTTTTTCTTTTTTTTTCTCCTAGTATTTTAATTCCTCTCTTTCTGTCCTTTTTACATCTATTTTGTAGTGGTCCTCAATTCAATCTTTAAAAATGAATAAAAATGACTGCTTTATGCATACCTACAGAATTTCCGTTTTCCTTTACAATTGTTGATTTGTTTATTTGAGAACCATGCGTCTTTGTCACAACATCCCGTGTTGTAGGAAAAATCTCTATCACTGCATGTTTAGAACCCATTTTGCGCTGCCATCTTTCAACGCTAGATGACTGGTAATCGTCATTGTGTAGACAAGCTTTTGCAGGGCTTCCACCAGTCAAGATGTCTAGCGATGAAATTTCTATGCCCAAAAAATAATAATTATAATTATTTTTTTATTTCACAAATAGTAGATTAACACAAGTACAAAAAAAGGACTCGGACACTTTCAAAATGGTACATCTCGAACATGTTTATGCATTTGTTGTACAGTCCTTTTTAGATGATGTTTTTTCATTTGATGTGACGTTTCATTTCATTGTGTGAAATTTTCAATTTATTCTTAACATGAAACATTTTGAATCGATTCCGAGTCATTAGATATAAAATTACAAAAAAATATTTTTTTTTTTTGAAATGTCAGATGTGTTGCTTGATACATTGTAAAAAATGATTGTAAAAGAAGAGACTAGGTTACTTTTCTTTTATTCACTTCATAATAGTTAATTACTCGGTTATGATACTGCACATACCTACTGAGTTGATTCTTTTATTTTTACTGGATTCAATGTCCTTGCCATTTGTGCATCGAAAATAAGGTGTAACTTTAACATTGTATTTAGTTGATACTTTTAATCCCCAGTAAGAATATTTCAGATTATTCGTATACGTGTGCGCAACTAGGGTATCGTTTTCTTCCAATGTGACACCGTATTGATAAAATGGACAAGTTTTATTTCCAATGTGTGCTGTCGACGTCCAATTCGAATAAAGGGTACAATGTTCTATCCAAAGGTTTATTCCTGGTTGAAATTCTTGGTCACACACATCTTCCAAAGAAAAAAAAACGTTTGATAAAAATCTTCATTGATACAATGTACATTAGTTGAGGATTGGCTAGTTGGTTCTCATACTTTGTTATCTTCAATTCATATGTAAAAATACTCTACATTTAATTTTTTTTTGCTTGCAGTTGGCTGTCAGTAAAATTATATTGAAAAAAACCATTCAATTCCAACCTTGCATTTTCATTTGTGTCAGAGCACCACCATATCCATAAATATTGTACCGGTCATTAAAATGAATTATAAGTATGTTTTGAAATGATTTGGAGACGAAGACTTTTAGAATCATGCCTGGAATGAATTAGATCTTTCTTGTGCTGTTTCTGAGGAACCAAATGTGTTATGGCTTGACTTACAGTCAAAGGTCAATGTTAATGGGTATGAAAAGACTGATGTAAATAAATGAAGTTAAGAAATTCAAATTTTTTTGTTACAGACAGACAGGCTATCTGACGGACGGACAGACGAATGAAATTTAATGCCCCCCCCCCCCACTTTCGCAAAGTGGACACATAACTGATATTGTAATTATGCTTTAATTAAGATGTTTTCAAGTCCGCGTATACGAATGAATATAGACTAGAGGATTATGTTTGATTCAAAATACATGTCCTCAAGGCACTGGTCATAAACTGTTGACGAGACAAATAATTTTTTTTCTGAACAGTACATTTACTCATTAAGAAATTTCGTCAAAATATAATAATAGCTTAAACCAAAAAGAGGCAAAATTTGGCCCTGTTTAAAAACTAAAGTCATTTTAAAACCATATTAAATTTTGATATATACAGAATAAGGCTTCAGTTGATAGCATTCAAAATAATATACGTACATGTATTAGGCATATAAGAAAACATTTTACGAGGAACACATTATATTCATACTCACTCATCGATGTTAACAATGATATTAAGATATATACTGAACATTGCTGACTCTTTTTAGGACACATCAGTCCACAATCAAGAAAATTCAGACAAATGACATAAATACTGCCAAACATAATTCTATTAAATGATTGCAAAAATCCACATACAGGAAATCCATAAATAGTTGATTTTTCAATTCATGTAGATATATACTTCCGCAAAACACTTTTAAAGTCCTATATTGTCTGCATGCAATTTTATCCGTTGCTAGAAGATTTTTCTCTAGAGATGTTTTAAGCATACACTTAATTAAATTAAAGTGTTTTACTCGAAATCAAATTATAAAAAATTGCGAATTTAAATTTACTCTTACGGACTTATTTATCTTTAGAATAAGAAGTAAACATACGACTCAAATTCTGCAATAAATATCAGTATAAATACAACTCAAGTCTTTCAATGTATGAAACATGGAGATAACGAACAGTATCCAATCTCAAAAGTTTATTAAACAATACAATTTAAGAGCAGAGCAAATACATACCTCCAAAACAGGTGGGATCGGGTGTCATGGAGGAGTGAGCATGCCCTGCCAGCCGTCACATCCTTTTAAAATCGGAAAATAAAGGAAAATCCGTCGTCACTTTAGTGTTTAAATAATGATCTAACAGTTAGTATATATGAAAAACATCAGTCAGCATTTGACTTAATGATAAATTGTATTTGCTGACAAGCAGATGGTATGCTCCTGTGTATCGAATCAACTGTGAGATATAAACTCCGTATGCAGGTGATGAAGATTTGTGCAACATAAGTAAGGGAAGTTGACGATTGAAAAGTTATAAAGTCATCACGTTTATCATAGGGATTGGTTGTTAAATTACCATTAACATCTTTTTATATGTATTGGCCATGAAAATTTTCAGATATTGTCCGGTATTGTGAAACCTAAAGCCGTTTTATCTCATGAAGGTCCATGAACCCTTTCACTCACACCAGAACTTAAGTCAGAGAAAAGCTAAAATCAAAAGGTTTGAAAAATAATACATGTGTTCGATTTTGCCCTGGCGTGATTATTCCAAGAAGGATATGGAGATAACCAACAGTATTCAACATCAAAGTCCATAAAACAATACAAAATAGGAGCAGAGCAAACACGGACCTCCGAAACATCAGAGGTGGGATCAGATGCCATGGACGAGTGAGCATCCCCTACTGACCGGTCACACCCGCTGTGTGCTCCTTGTCATGATCGGGAAATAACGGAAAATCCATCGTCAATTCAATGTATAAGTAATGGACTAACAATTAGTATAAAAACCGTCAGTCGGCATTTGACTCAATGATGAATTGTATTTGCTGACAATGTCATTGTATCTGCCATAGATTTACGAAATGATGACTTTAAACGAGACTGCTGATATTCTTGTTTCATCAACTTGCTTGTCAATAACTTACATCGTTTTAAAAATTGTTCATACGTAGAGCATGCTCTTGCGTATCGAATCAATTGAGATATATGCACTCCGTATGCAGGTGATGAAGATATATTGATACATAAGTAAGGGAAGTTGACGATAGAAAAGATAAAGTCATCACGTTTATCAGATATCTTGGTTGCTCGATTACCATTAACGTTTTTTACAAGTAAAATATCCAAGTATGAAAAAAATGTGTCAGACTCTGTGGTTTCTTTTATCTCACGCTCTCCAAGATATATCATATCGACGTAGAAATGGAAATTACCATTGTTAATTGATAATACGTCGTCAATATATCTAAATATCGAGTTGAAGGCCAAGCAAGTGTTTTCTTCTTTTCAGGCATAAGATTTTGCACAAATTCTGCTTCATATAAATACAAAAATAGGTTTGCTAATAACGAAGCGCAATTGGTACCCATGGGAATATCAATAGATTGTTGAAATACCTGTCTCCGAAAACCACATAGATATTGTCAATCTTAAACTCGAGCTTCTTTTTGATCTCAACTTCAGAGTACTTGTGTGTACAATCAGAATTTGTTTTAACAAAATAATTTTGCAAACGACCAATGACCAGATAAGTAAATTTACGAGTTCCATATTTATTGAAAAAGCAGCTTTCAGTGATATCAAAAAGCCTGGACTTTAATTTATCGTGGGAAATGGTTGTGTATAAAGTTGAAAAGTCGTAAGTTTTTAAGCTGTTGATTTTGTAAAATCTTGTGATTTCAAATTCTCCAAAAGTTCTTTGGAATTTTTGAGAATCCACATCTGATTCACAACACTTATTGAATATATTGTTGCACAGTACTCTTGAAGTTTTCCCTTTACTACTGTCAATATCTTAGTGAGGAGTAACGAAAGAGGCTTTGTTGAACATTTACTGAAACCCGCAATGTATCTTTGCAAGGATTCTTCAGAAATTTCGGAATCCAATATATATTCATTTTGGCTCTGTGGAATATTAAAAATATTAAAAACTGACATATGATTCTGAAGAATTTCTTCCTTATATAGAAAGAGATGTATGAGTATAAGTAGGATTACCACTTGTAGAATTAAATCCAAGTTCTTCTGAATTACATTTTATATAATGAGCCTTACAAACGAAGACATGGTTGTTACCTGCTTTGTCGGCAGAGACCATGCAGTATGTACTGATCATGTAATATATCTAATTTTTTTTCAATTCTGGATTATTGAACACAGAAGGATAGATGGTTTTCATATTGCCCTTCAATCTTTTAATACGCGACTTTGACATGGTTCTGGTACATTTAATCCATTCTGACAAAGTGTCAACGTCTTCTTTCCCATATCTAACCCATCGTATTGCGTAATTTTCAACAGAATCCATTATATTTATGAAATTCCGACGCCATTTGAAGGATCGGGGCTCCCTATATTTAGGACCTTTTAAAATAAGCGATCGAAGGTCCTCATTATTAACTATATTTACGTCACCTGTAATAACGTGTCCAGTAGGACTATAGTTATAGGGCGAACAAGAACATGAACATGATGGGGGATATTATGTTTCAGATACTCGATATCCAGGCCATGTAAAGTTTTTTGTTTTTGAAAAATCTGGAAGCCGTAGTCGATGTATATTTGTAGTACAAGGTGTAGTATTTAACTTGAAATATGGTGGAATACAAGATTGGACCCTTTTGTGATTAAGAATCTTATAAATTAACAAATTTTGCAAATAAACTCTGAAACGGCTGCACAAGAGTTCTTACTTAAGCCTGTTGGAATACACTAGGTATAAGATGATGTCCGTAAACTATATTCAGATTTCACTCACATAGTAATTATCGTAAATTCAATTAAAAGTCTACTTTCATTTTCGAATAACAGCCTCGAAATAGCACTGAAGAGAGAAAAGTGGTGGCGGATCTAAGTAACTGGCATTTTTAAAAAAAAAAAATGGCAACAAGCAAGCGCTTATTTATTTCATAGAACGTCATTTTTGAATTATTCAATCAAAACTTTATTTAAGTGATATAAAAGAAATAAGCTTTGGTCATTGATTAAAAAAAAAAATTGCAAATCCTTTTCGTTTATGTCCGATCTCGCTATTTGTTGAAAGTTCTAGAAAGTCAGGTGGCATCGAACCCGATGTCTAAAAGAAAATCGAGGGGATTGGTTATCATGAATGGACATGGAAATTAATGTAAAGAAATTGGTAACATAATGAGGTTGTGAAAATATATTAGCATAAATTAGTATATATATAAATGAATACTAAGCTGTTTTTCCCCAATGTAGTGCATGATGTATTACAAAGTACAACAGAATAAAGTTGCTTTATAAGCTTTATAGCATGTAAGAAGAAGAGACCTTTAATGAAATTGATATTTTTAGAAGTAAATAAAAATCCCAAAATATTCTATTTCTTTTCCTAAACTAAGACTGCGGAACTTTGAAGTATTTCATCATCCTACATTCCTGTGTAATAAACTGTCAATAGAATCTGAAAGATAGTTTTTGGAATAGTTCTGTAAGCAGTAAAAAAAAAAAATAATTTCCCCGCACTTGCGCGGGATTTCAGCTTGTATTACTTATATTAACCGCGTCAGTTCCTTTATTGGCATATTGAAGTTAAGGAAAAGACGGATTGTTTTAGCTGTATTTTCTGCAGTAAAACGTGCGGGTTTCAAAAGTTAAAAAGCCTATGATTTGCAATATCCATACATCATTACAGATCCGAGCCTATATTCTGGTGTCGAGGAACCAAAAATTGGACTTTCAATGGCATTTTCAAGAAGCCTATTTAACAATAACAGATTCAAAGGGCCAGAGTACAGTTTGGTGCGAATATGATGTAGACCTAACTGCTGATTTACATAAGGTAGTAATGAATCAAAAGAGACATCGTGTATTCATAGTTCCGACTTGTCTTCCGTAGCTCCGCCCACCTTAGCTACCGTTACCAAGTCCCACATTATGGCGATGCAGGCTGCATCGTCTTCGGTGGCGACCGACAGTTTAAAGTTAATTCCAGACGATTTCTGTGTGAAATACCTACCCAACAATTCAAAATTATCAGATAAAGTTTTACAGAAGGGTTTGAATTATTTTACCCAAGGGTATATCCATAATATTAAGATTTTCAGTTTGGATAACTCCGTACAAGTCGCTGCAAGATGCTGGAGGTCGATGAGAAAAAATCAATCGCCGCACCAACTTAGTTTGGAAATTAAAATAAATGCGATAACCGAGTCTCAGTGCTCCTGTAAAGTTGGGTATGTGTATACATCACCCAAATATTTTCGTATTTATTAAGAAAATCTTGTTATTTATCATGGTTACGTTAGGCCAAGGCCCATCGGAATGTAAACATTGGTGACCCAATTAATTTTCACAGATATGTTGACGTGATAAATAATCAACTGCATGGTTCAGGATTTTTATTAAATGATATAAAATGAATAAATTCAGTCAAAATACACAATAGGTATTATATAGACAAACTTCTTCATTTCCTAGGCCTAGCCAAATTCCTTTGAAGTTGGTAATTTATTTATTACTGATAATTTGATTCGTTACCTTATGAGTCTGATTAGAAATATTTTTTTTAAATCGTCAGACATGCTGACAATTGGTTTTATGAAGCTTAAGAATGTTCCATTTTCTTCCACTTTGCTATTTGAAATTTAGGTTTAACTTTTCCTTGTAGTTTAAATGGTCACTGTTCCCATGTAGTTGGTCTAATAAAGAGTCTGCAGGGGTTCAAACTCCATAATTTTTCAAATGTGCCTGAACAACAAAGTTGTACAAGCATCCCACAGCAGTGGCATGTGCCCAGGGGCTCAAAGATCAAGCCTGTCCCTATTAATCATGTGGTGGTAGCAAGACCAACTGAATCAAGAAAAAGAAAACCTGTGACATGCCAGTTAGACTTAAATGAAGAGTATGTGAAAAGACAAAGACTTTTTTCTTTTGGAAATTAAACCATTATATTTAATAATACAGTATTCTTCATGGCTACAATTTCGTACAAATTTAAGCCCAGATTTTTTAATTGATCAATCATAATAATAATAATAATGTACAAAAAAATCACAACTTGAAAAAATATTAATTCATACGTCATATTTTAATATCAGTCTACCCAAAGTGTCCAAAAATGACATACTGCAGCTGAGTTCACTAAAAGGAACCCCTCTGGAATATACTGTGTCTGCAGATCACCCATTAGTAAACACCCCCCTTGGTGATGTGCAGATAGGCTCAATACTGTCATATCAGGTACATGTTTACAATAACCACAATAAATATTTAAATATAAATGCAGTTGGAAAATTTGCTAATAATTTTTAAATGATGTATATAAATTATCCGCATCACAAGTTAAATGCCAAAGTCAATGATATGTGTCAATACACTGAAATGCTTAACTCGTAAAAAAAGTAGACTATTTACCATGTTTACTGTCTGTTACAAACACATCATGAAATAGTGTCAAGTGACAACATACAGACCAAATTTTGTTAATGTTTTTAAATAATGATGTAGGAATGCGAACAGAAAGCATTTTGTAAATTTTAACCTTTGCGATAAGTCTTTCAATGTGCACACGATGCTTAGCAATCTTCTCAGTAAGCACAGTGTCTGAAACTGACATCTGGCATGTTGAAGAAGCCATTGGTGGAATATTCAATACCAAATTTAAATTACTTAATTCCTCTCTAATAGTAAACCCTTTATCAGCCATAATAGCATCCCCATCTTTTACATAACCTTTTAATTTTAGTGATTCAAGAACATTGTAAAATCCAGACTGTTCACAAATTTGTTTATCTGATATACATCCTGTAAACAATTCGGATGCAAAAATCACTGAACCATTTGGATCACAACCAATTAAAGCTTTCAAAGTAGTACTAGACTTATAATCACTGTAAAGCTGACTTTGCAAACCAAGTGCACATGGTGCTTGTGTTCTAAATTCAGTACCATCAATAATTACCAAAGTAGTGGGGTAATCATTTTTAAAATCTTTAGGCATGTTATTAATAATAACATCACAATGAGGCCAAATACAAAGTTGGCCCAACTTATAATACATCAATGAAATCCAAGTATTAAATACAATTCCAGATGACTGCAGTGATAGTTTGAACCTAACTGACAAATCTTTCAAACCAAAGTTATGTCTCAGTCTACATAAAGTTAAAAAGAGTCCATCTTGCAGTGACAACTTTTTAATGTCTTTTCGACCTTTTTCATAATTTACTGAGGATTCATCTGAAACTAAAAATGCCAAGAGACCAGCAAATCTTATATATACAATGCCAGTGTAATATTTAAACAAATTTTTCAATTTTCCCTCTCTTCTTATCACTTCGTCGACTCCAAACGATGGCTTCTGATCCTCAGATGATAGTTTGTCTTTAAGTTCCTTTATTTCCTCTTTCAGAGTGCAGATTGTAGCTTCGTACTGCGTCTCTTTTTCTCTTAACATGTGTAGCTCTGTGGCCATTGCAAACATCTCAATTGGAGAAATCCCTAGAATGATAGAAGATAAATTTTAATCATATACTTACTAAGACTTATTTCAGTTTAATACATAGTGGAGTTTTTTTTCAGACAAATAACATTAAGGAGGTTGAGCCACCCATGTCGGATGGTTGTGGCAATACTGATATATTCCACCCATCCCCAGTACCATTGCCACAAGAGTATATAGATTTGAATATGAAATACAAAGATTGTGATCCCATTAAAATTGAATTGTATACAAGAGAACAAAGTGATTCAGCACAATGGTACAATGAAAGAAAGAATCGTTTGACTGCATCTAATTTTGGGAAAATTTTGCAAAGAAAGTCGACCCCTAATGACAAGTTTCTGGGAAGCATATTTAACACTAAAAAGATTTCCGCTCCATCCTTAGAATACGGTAAAATCCACGAAAAGGATGCAAAGTCTAGATACTTAAAAGACTTTCCAGCTAGGCACATCCACACCTGTGGGCTAGTTATTAACAAGGAGTTTGCCTTTTTAGGGGCAACTCCGGATGGTAAGGTGACAATGGTCACTGCGGTCTGATTGAAATTAAATGTCCATATTCTGCTAGGAATATGACAATTGCGGAAGCATGCGAGAATGTGCGAGATTTCTTTTTGTGTAAAAACAATGAAATCACATTGAAAAAACTCATGCACATTATGCACAAATTCAGGGCCAACTCATGATCACAGGTTGTGCATTTTGTGATTTTGTTGTTTTCACACAGAAAGATATCTTTGTGGAGAGAATACAGCCTGACCTTCCATTTATGACCACTATGCTGGAAAAGTTGTGTGTTTTTTTCAAAACCTACGCAAAGCCGTTTCTTGCTAAACAAACAGTACAAAATTAAGTTAAGGTAGCCTAACTTGGAAACTTTTGAATGCTTACAAGGTTCTTCTGTTTGTACAGATATGTTGCTACTACTGTTGATGTTGTTTGACGTTTCAGTTTCTGTTGTTGAGTTCACATCTTCTCCATGTTCTTCTATATCTGTTGTACTATAAAAAATAAAAAAAAAATATGTAGGAAGAAAGATTCTGCTTCTAGCATGTAATGTCCACAATCAACTAGCTGATTATAATGGCAAATGTAGTGTGCATGAAGTTACAAAAATTAAAAAAATTAAAATAATAATCATAGATTATGGTACGTGATCACCTGAGACCTAAGGTCTCTGGTGTATTTGCAGCGACTATCTCTGATGGTATGTTTTTTCACTCTTTGATGGAACAAGGGAAATCACTTTTACAGGATGGTATTTGGTAGGCTTTACAATGAATATGTTGTGATCGACGTAATGATGGAATTAGTCAATTTGTTGGTCATTACCTCCCCAAACCTCAAATTTGTCAATTTGTGGGTTTTTACCTTAGAATTCTTTTTTTCTTTGAAACTGGGTTACTCTCAGCGTATGTGCTAGACCGTTTGCGAAGTGGCCTGGTTGGTCGAACAGCTGATCCATCAGCTTGTAATGGGTCAGGAAATTCCACAGTTGGTCCATTACCTCCCACGAAATGCTGTAAATAATTCAATAATATTGGCCTCAAACCTTACGGTGTTTTAAAATTTATTACATAGTAAGCATTAACAACACTTAAACACATAAATATCAATTACCATCTCTTGCCATATGAATAACAGCCCATTTTTTTATTACAAAGATGTGTAAAATCGATGCATCCCGAATTTGTACGGTATGCAGGTATGGTATATTCCCAAGTTCTGAGGTTTTATACAACTAATAAATTAAGACTCAGTGTGCACAACAGTCATAAACATTAAATTATCACCAGCTGTACCTTTGAACAAACAGCTTTGTGTTTGTTTATTCTCTGAATGTTCAACTGTTCGTGTGGACGTCCGCAGGCCTTGATCCACCGAAGACATTTCTGGAGATTAGTTTTCGGTTTTGGGAACAAAATAAGCTTAACACCGTTCTGTAACCTCTCAGGATATCTCTCATCAACATTACAGGTTCCCCACGCACAGCGCAATACCATTTTTTAACAAAAACTTAAACTTCCCACAACTTGTCAAAGGTTTGTTTGTGGGACAACATGGCGGCCGACCGAAGCGCTTCTGTGACTAATTATACGGAACAATCTGATTGGCTAATAAAATAAGTTTGATTGACGTGTCGGAACTATGAATTGCAGGTTTATTGTAAGACCGATGCCCATGACTACGCTTACGTCTCTGTATACCAGCTTGAATCTATGCTACTCCAGGATGCTTCCAAAGACATCTGAACAATCATAGTTGCATTTTTAATCTTGAAATAATTCGTATTCCATTTTGGAAACCAACCGATCAGAGGTTAGAATACAAACAAAATTAAAAATAAGTATGCTGTTTAACATGTTCAATGTTTGTCATAAATTATTAAGGATAACAAGATGAATACCCAAAATGATAGTTGTATAGTCTAGAAAATATGAGACTGGAATTTTTTTAAGGATTGTTTTTTTTATAGAGACTTATATGAAGTATTAAACAATTATATGTATATATTATTTCAATATTTTGATTTCAATTTTATTTCAACTTTTCAAGTTCAAGTTCATTAATTTCCTTCACACCAACATCAGTGGAACATGAGTACGTTCGGTATATTATAGGTTAGTTATTAATTTTAGGGTCGGAGAATCATATTACATCATTAATTTGAATGTCAGAATCTGCAGCAGTCTTTCTCTCCATGTATGTTTTTTTCTTTGCAGTCAAACACATGAACTAATTATATAGTTAAGACAAGACAGTAGCAAATAAATATGGAGAGGATTGTTATAGGCAGTGTCTGCATTTCAATCTTGTTATATTTAGACATAATGATCGCGAATTATTGTTTAAATTGAATTAAATAAATATACATCATTACATGTAATTTGGCTCGTTTAGGTTATTTGCATCTTGATTTTTTTTTATTACAAAGCATGTGTTCTTTGGGACACACTATTTTACACATTTGTTAGCAAAATGATCACAACTGTTGAAAATAAAAAAATATATAGATACCTTGAACAATTTATCCGTGAATTTATTTCTTTATTCTCTTTAACCGATTAATATTTTGACAAAAATATTGATTATGGGGAGAACTCGAGATATACATATATTTAAGTATTTTTATTAAAAAAAGATATTGTAAATGAAGACTAATTGTTCATATTTAGTAAATCTCGAAGAATTTGTATTTTGCTCTTAAATAAAGAATAAAGAATATTTATTTGACAATTTCCTCTAATAAACTATAGCCTATTACAATATGTATAACAGAAATTTAACTGGAATCCAGTAACTTAAATTTTATCTGCAATGTATTTATCAGCTATAGCTACTACAGTGATCTAATCTGCTAGATTCGATAAAATATACATGTACATATTCTGTCAATCTTTCAATTTTGAATTTATCAGTTATGTTCATAATATTCATTATCAATTCATTAATTTTCTTAAGGTTTGCAATCTTTCTGTTTACTTCATCTGATAAAAACAGATGTATTTCATCACTTAAATGCAATTTTGAATATCCAAATTTATCCAAAAGTATATTAAGGATTACCGTTCTTGATCTATGCGTTTTCACTTAGTCATTTTTTAGGAACGATAACTTCGTTGTTTACATTCTTTAAAACCGAAAGTAGAAGATGGCCGAAAAACAGTACAAGGTTTCAGGAAAGGTTCTTTATCATTAATAGCATACAGTTTTTAGATATCAGTTGACAAATATAAATTTGTCAAAATTGTAACCACTTTTTTTTCACTGATAAGCATAATTCATATCTTTTTCTTATTAAAATGTTTATGTATAAAGACGGGGGATGTATTTTTGGTGCCAGCGTGGCGAATACGCTAGAGTCGTGGAGGTTGTTGTTTAACATCCTTCTCGAGAAATTTTTACTTTTATGGTGACTGGAGAAACCACGCAGAAGCCACCACTTTCCGATGGAGAGCAGTAAATTTTGTCATTTTCTCTGGACTTAGGGCCATTGAACAATGAGGGATCTTTTTCGTGCCAGCACCCACTGTGACTCCAGGCATCGTTTGTACAACAAGCAAATGGAATCTATCATTTGATCAAATATTCAATTATTCACTGACGCTGATAGGATATTATTTTCACACTGAATTATCAATTGGGTGTTTCTGTGTATGCTTGATTTTGACAAGAAGAGTGTGACCCATTTACAGGGGATTTTTACTCCTCTGTGGCCTCCGGATGAAAATAATTGTAACCACAAACCTCCAGTCGAAGCTGGTAGATGGACTAATGCTGATAGATCTTTAAGATTATGTAATATATGCAGCAAAAATACTTTGGGTGATGAATTTCATTATGTAAAGGAATGCCCATATTTTTCGTCTTTACACTACGTGTAAAACTTATTGGTAAGAAGTATTTTTCTCATGTAAATACTTATATAAGTTTGAGAAAATTATGTCCATCACAAATGTTGACTCACTGAGAAAATTATGTCCATCACAAATGTTGACTCACTGTTATTAAAATTATCTATTTGCTAAAAAGATATTGGTCTGTTTTCAGTAACTGTTTTCTTATTAGACAGTACTCTTCCTTACTTGACTTGTATTTTGTTTATACATGTATGTAAATATGTTCCTGTACCTCATATACCATTTTATGGTCTGAGAGTAAATAAACAAACTGTCAAGATACATGATATCAAAGATTAAACACAGTTAAATTATTTATAAGCGTTCGTATAGAATGCATTATAATTTTATCGTCCTACCCACAAATGTATGCAAAATACCTGTGTTAATCGAAACTAAACAATGACTTGCACCTACGGTATATGCATATTTACAAGATAAACAAAAAAATTCACGTTACACAATGTAACGTACAGGGATAGTAAAAATAAAGTATTTTCCTAGAAGTATTTTTCATATGGATTAATAGAAATCACTTGAACCTACTCCTTTTTTTGACATTTAGGGCCAAGTACGCTGTAGATGTTGATTTGATTTATAGTACATTAACATTCATGTTTTTTGTGTTTTGAAGATGATGGGAGACAAATCTGCCGTGGTTTCCGATAGGCCAATTAAAACACTTCTTAGCGACTCAAAGATATCAGCATATAAACAAAAACTCCCAGAAGGCTACATTGAAGCAGCAAAGAAACAATACTCATCATTACTTTCAGATTTGGAGAAGCTCAAAACTGCTCACCCACAACAGGTTAAAAATACATTATGACTTAGATGATATGCGTCAATGTAATTAGGTCAATTTTTCAAAAGTATTCTTGAATTTATTTACAAAATTTCAATACTATCTGTGTCTGTGTCCAGCTTTTTCTGATTTTAGGTGAAGAAATTAAAAAAAACATATCAATTGTAGATGTCTTTATTTTCTTACATGTAGTTTAAGATGTTAGAGATGAACAGAAAAGAAAAACTCACAGAGAAATCAAAAGAAAAGAAAGGGGATGTTGGAGGAGATCTACATAATAAGGATCAGTCAGTCATTGCTATATATACACTGCTACAAATAGTAGAGGCATCAGAGAGAGAATGGGATGAGTTACACTACCTTTTGAATGCCAGATATTTCCTCAAAGAGGTAAAATAAGATCAGTCGCCATTTATAATTTGTTGTTAAAAGTTTTTTTTTTCCTTAATTAACTGATCATTTCTTTTAAATATATTGCTTTCGAAGGAAGATATAATATTTATTATCAAATTTGTGATATTTTTGAGGACAGTACGATGATATAACCGTGAAGTATAATATTTTCCGGGGTTTTCAGGACGAGAAAAGAATTGTGCTTTGAGGGTTACAAAATTATTCTCTTTAATGGAAAACGGCAATAATTATTTTGTTACACTGCATGTATTTAATGAATAAATGGTTGAAACTCGTTCAGCAATCTTTCATATTTCATATTGTATAATGATTGTAAAACTGAAAATAGTAATTGATAATAATCAATTGTGTGACCTAAAAACTTCTAGATTTATTATGATACTTGCATGTACATTGTATACGCATCAGTCTGATTAAAATCAAACCTTCACTAATCAGACTGGTGTACGCATATACTAGTATCTGTAAATAAATATGATAAGCATGTACTAGAGGTGTATATGACTAATTCATGTCTGATCCAAAATTTTCAATTTTTTAGATCTATTGTAAACCGTCTTTCCATCTTTTTTCCATCATTTATTTTTCACGCCTTTCAAATTTTATTTTCTTTTAGTTTGAACACTGTATCACTGCTAGAATAAGCAAGATTTGGCCATTAAACTTTAAGTTAATAGATCAATACGTCATGGAACGTCTTTAAAACAAATGTATACATACATGTAATGTGACAAGATGCTATAAGTCCAGCAGTGAAAAAATATTTCAAATTATCATATTGCATAATTACTCATTGCATTATTTTACAGAAACCGAAAAGTCAGCATGAAGACCATCAATCACAAGATTCCCACAAACACGAAACCAAAGGTGTTTCACAAACGCTACCATCTTCAAAACAAGGATCAAGTTATAACATAAGTACAGAAGTAAAACGTGATCCGACTTTTTCAGCATCTTGCAAAGAGGTAAGAAACTATAAAATGTATAAAAACATTTTTAATTATACAACAATTAATATAAAATCAACTTTTTGTATCAGTGGCTTTTGTTAAAAATTTTGCATGATCATTTGATTCCGTGTAAATATTCAACTGTAAGTAAAAGTGTTTGGAATATCCTTTCTCTCGAGCTCTATCAAAACTTTAAACAGGTTTTAAATAAGAAAAATGCATCAGCACGAAATCCTGGCTTAGGCCAAACTGAAGAGCAGCGAGGACTCTTACAGGTATTTCATGGGAAAATGGTATATGAATTAGATAAACTTTTAAAAAACCTTGGTATCAAACTATCAATATTAAGGACAGATGATACAAACAAAAAATCGATGCCTGGATTGGTATATATTTTTTGACTAAATTACATTGCAAATAATAAATTTCTAGAGTATAAAGAATTTGTAAAGCTTCTGTGATGTTCAAAATTCTACCTTCTGAAACAATCCTTTTTATTCTATACAAATATTTTTCACTTCAAATTTCATTTTTGTGCAAATTTGAATAAAAAATTAAAAAGTACGCAGTAAAACGTATTCATTTTATTCATAAAAACAAGACCCAAGTTGATATTTTCAATTTTTTTAATAAAAGTTTGTTTGTATCATCTGTCCTTAAATATGCAATTTGAAATTTGTGCATATATATTTATAAAACAAAATTAAATGCTATTAGTTTATGAAATTTGGTATTCTGGTTTGGCATTCCTCCTTATTCCTTAATGAACGTAATGTTTCATTACTATTGATAATGATATTGACCGACAGACGAAAAGCTAAACGTGAACGTAAAGACGATCGACTATTTTTTGTGTTAACATACTTAAGACCTTCAGTATGATAAAATAAAGGATGGCTGTATTGGAGGGTGACGGTTGAAATTGACACGCCTTGGAAAACCATTGTCAACCTCCGCTGATGTGACGGTTGACAATTTTTTTTTTCATATTAGGGTATCAATTTCAACTGTTACCCTCCAAACACAACCATATACAATGTATACTATATCACTCATAGAATAAACAAAACACGTTTTGATCATTAATTTTTTTAAAAAAATAAATCTAAAAGGGTTAATAAATGTCGGTAAAAATAAATATACGTTTGAAGACTAAATTGATGCCAGAAGTTTAGCAGTGACTGAAAGGTATGTGTATCATACTAAATAATTATCCGTCGCATTATTTTACAGAAACAGAAGAGTCAGTCTGTAGGACCACAACCGCGCACTGACCACGAAAACGATACAAAAAGTGTTTTACAAACACATGATGATACGAAAAAGGTTTGTTTGACGTAAAACTCTTTTATTTTAATATAAGATGCTCGAAACAGTTGATATTGGTATCATCCAAAGTTATTTATTTTGTCATGTGATATATTGATATATTTAACATCCATGACTTCAAAATACTTTGGGGAAAGTACTAACATTTAGATCAGACACTTAAGATAAATTGGTGGATATAAATTAATTTGAAATGAAACTCATTTGCTTTAGTCAAAGAAACACGAATAGAACAAAAACAATACAGAATCCGATAATAAGGGATATAAATCAACAATAAATTACTACATGATACGATACGAATATTTGATGTTGACTCTAATACATCAAGAATGCCAAAAGCTGATTTAGGTTATAAATCGCCTAGTGTAGACCAAGTTTACTGTTGAAAAAAAGATGGTAAAATAAATTACAGCTGCAATCTTCAAAACATGAATCGAGGTCTGACACACACACTGATGGGAAAGCAGTGCAGACTTCGTCAGCATCTTTCAAAGAGGTAAGATTTCCCTCAATAATATAAGAAAAAATGTTGTTCAACAGTGTATAAAGAAATTTTCATATCTGTAGCCCAATGTGATATAATTTCTACATGATCATCAGTTTTAGGAATAAACTTAATACTTATTTTGTAAACATAATTGCAGGATTCAAATAGTAGAAATGTAACAACACAGGGTGCTGGTGACTTGGAGCAAACATGCCATGGTTTTACTGATGAAAATCGAGAACGGATACAGGTATTTAACGCTTGTATGTACTTAAAGAGAGCCAATAATAAAGAAAGTACAAATCGGACAACATCTGAGAATGCCTTTAAGAATAGCAAGAAAAGACTGTAATTCACACCAAAGTAATTAGTGAAATAAGACAAGCAATAATTGTGTCTAAAATCGGCCCTATTTCATTTGATGTATTTAAATCTGATTGTGTAGGTACATGAACAATTGAATTAAGTTTATGATTACAGCTACCATCTTCAAATCATAAAACACAAGGGTCAGGATCTAACATACATAACGAAGGAAAGAGTGTGCAGACTTCATCTTTGAGAGAGGTTGGCTAATTGAAAATTAAAGTTCATAAATGTTCAAACTATAATAAAAAAAAAAATGCAGTAACTAATGATTATATATTTCAAAAGATGAAAAAAACATAAATTAACATGGAAACTTTTCCTTGAATTGACAAATGTTCAGTTGATTAAGTTTAAGGAATTATCTACTTCAGTTTTCTTACTTGATAATCATTCGCATCTCAGAGTTATCAATTACATTTACAGGTTTCACATAGTACAGATGTACCTTCACAGAATGCTGGCAAATTCAGCCATACACACCATGTTTTTACTGATGAACAGCGAAAACAAATAAAGGTATTAAAAGAAACTCTGAATTGAGCTCCAGCAAGTGCTTCTATAATTGTTCCATTTTTTTTTTTAGCTCACCTGAGCCAAAGGCTCAAGTGAGCTTTTCTGATCACATTTTGTCCGGCGTCCGTCTGTCCGTCTGTCTCTCTGTCTGTCCGTCTGTCCGTAAACTTTTCACATTTTCGACTTCTTCTCAAGAACCCGCTGGGCCAATTTCAACCAAACTTGCCACAAAGCATCTATGGGTGAAGGGGATTCAAGTTTGTTAAAATGAAGGGCCACACCCTCATTCAACGGGAGATAATTCAGAATAAGTGAAAATTTGGTGGTATGTTTTAAAAATCTTCTTCTCAAGAACCACTCTGCCAGGAAAGATGAAACTTGTGGGGAAACATCCTCAGGTAGTGTAGATTTAAATTTGTTCAAATCATGACCACCGGGGGTAGGGCGGGGCCACAATGGGCGACCAAAGTTTTACATAGAAATATATGGGAAAATTCTTTAAAAATCTTCTTCTCAAGAATAACAAAGCCATAATTGATCATATTTATATGGAAGCATCCTCAGGTAGTGTAGATTCAAATTTGTTCAAATCATGACCCTCGGGGGTAGGCGGGGCCACAATGGCTGGCCAAAATTTTAAATAGAAATATATAGGAAAATTCTTTAAAAATCTTCTTCTCAAGAATAACAAAGCCATAATTGATCATATTTATATGGAAGCATCCTCAGGTAGTGTAGATTCAAATTTATTCAAATCATGACCCCCAGGTTTAGGGCGGGGCCAAAATGGACGACCAAAGTTTTACATAGAAATATATGGGAAAATTCTTTAAAAATCTTCTTCTCAAGAATAACAAAGCCATAATTGATCATATTTATATGGAAGAATCCTCAGGTAGTGTAGATTCAAGTTTGTTCAAATCATGACTCATGGGGGTGGGGCGGGGCCACAATGGGCGACCAAAGTTTTATATTGAAATATATAGGAAAAATCTTTCAAAATCATCTTCTCAAGAATAACAAAGCCATAATTGATCATATTTATATGGAAGCATCCTCAGGTAGTGTAGATTCAAGTTTGTTCAAATCATGACCCCCAGGGGTAGGGCGGGGCCACAATGGGCGACCAAAGTTTTACATAGAAATATATAGGAAAATTCTTTAAAAATCATCTTCTCAAGAATAGTAAAACCATATCTGGTCAAAGGTTTACTTTTGGATTTAAACTTTTCAATAATAAACCAATTTCTACTTTATTCCTAGCCACAATGCTCAGGTGAGCGATGTGGCCCATGGGCCTCTTGTCTAAAATAAGGAAATGAACAACTAAAGAATTGTGATGAAAGGATTGATGCAGATGGTATTTATAATGTACATAATAGCTTAACTTTCAGCAACTGATAAACATAAATTTACATTAATTATTTATTTTTCTTTTTTTATTACTTGAACAAACTTGACTTTTCAGCATGAAGAAACTTTTATTGAGAGTGATAGACCTATTTCCATCATTCTTTCACAAATCAAAAGCGCAGAATTGCAAAAAGCACTAGAGGAATACAGAACACTTCGAGATAAAGAGAGTCAATTATACAAGGATAGAGAAATAAAGGTAAATACATTTACATCTTACAACAAAAAATTATATAATAGTGAAATGGTGCTCAAAATAAATACATACATTGCTTTTAATGTTGTCTTTTGTAGAAAGATGAAAATGGTTTCTAAATAACAATTTTGCATCCAAAGCCATATTACAAATAAACATGATTAACTTTGAACGCATACATTGTCAAAACACTTTTTTGAGGATGAATCTATTAGCTGTTACTGAAGAACAGCCTTTAATGAATCTAATTATATTGTATTTGAATAGAATACATGGGAAACACCATCTGATATAAATGATGTAACTGATGAACAGAAGAGTAAATCGCCACATCTGTTCAACATCTTGAAGAATCTGAAAGATAAGACAACAGATGCTGCAAAGAAAGTGTGGACTGAATTTATCAAGTTGACTGATCATACTACACCGTCTAGGAAGGTAAACCTGATGAATGAAATTTATTAAAAATTATAATGATATTTATTTTTTATCATCCATGGATTCTTATATAGTATTCTATGGGCGGCGGAAAGGGTAAAAAAGACGTTTATGCAAAACTAACAACTAATTTTATAAACATAATGAAATACAAAACAGACAACCTTAAAAACAAAATCAACAGACTCGTTTGCAAAATCAACAGACTCCGATGCGAAACCAACGATCACCAATGCAGAACCAACAATTATTCACTGAATTGTCGCTAGATGGCGTGCAAAAAAACATATATTATCTGAATTAACGCTAGATGGCACACAAGTTTTTCTACGTCATCATTTTTGTACTTTCATAGGAACGTAAATCACACGAAATTATATATCGGATCCAATTGGTAAACCTCTGAATATATTATAGAATATATTATCGGTATCGAAATTATTTGTACTAGTATATCGGAATACATATAATAAGGGATCATATACTTCCGGTATATAGTACATTATATACCCATTTTTATCTATTAGATTGACCCTGTGTATAGTTTAGGATATGATTTGAGTACTTTAAAATATTTATAAAGAAAAGAAATTAATGCAAGATGTGTGTATCCATATCTTTTTTTAGCTTTAAAATAAGGTGAAGGAATGTAGGACAGCGATTACTCTAGGTTTTGGGGATACTGTTTTCGGACTCGGAGAAATTAGGCAAAATGCACATGGGACAAGGTCTACTGCGCATACCATGGCAAAAATGCCAACACACCTTGTACAGGAGTACAATTAAGTCTCATCCTTGTAGCCCTACAGGGTAAATTTCATTGGCGGATCCAGAGGGGGGGGGTTTCCGGTGGTTGGAACCCCCTTTTATTTTTGTACATAGAGAGAAAAATTTTTGTAACATAGAATAAGTCTAATATTTTGAAATAATGAAAAATCTTTGTCCGCTCTGCTCTGTAGATCTGTAGATTTTCGCGTACCTTCCTCCGTACCTTCCAAACCCCGGCTGAGAGTTCCGACCACTCACAAGTAACATGCAAAAAAAAATGCAGATGGAGGGGATTCATTTTTTCTGAGAATAATCTTTTGGTGTAGTTTTAATTAATATTTTGATTTGGAAACTCCCTCCACAGTTTTTATTGCCGGAAAATTTCAAGCAGATTCAAGCATTAAATGAAAATATATAATGCATTCCGAAGAGAAAACTTACGAAAGCCCCCTCTACCCCCAAAGAAGGACTTTAGAGTGTGGTGCAAAGGTTTTTTTGTTGTTGTTGTTGTTGTTGTTGTTGTTGTTTTTTTTTTTTTTTTGCTTGTCAACTGCTTTTGGAGCCCCCCTTTCTTACTGTATAAATATATGTAGTTACGGACTTCAAGTGGTCGTGTTGTGATTCTATGCATGAGTGCTGGGGCACCGACCTTTCGAAAATTGCTGGATCCGCCCCTGAATTTCTTTTACGGTTTCAACTACACTGAAAGGAAAAAGAAATGCATAGTAAACTTTCGAATAAAATTAAAACTAACCTTTCGAATATGTTTTCCAGATTTATTATAAAACATTTTAATTCATGTTTAATCAACAAGTTACCAAAATTTTGTGAGACTTTGACTGAAACTTCATGAGTTATTGATATCGATACCCCCCCCCCCCCCCAAAAAAAATATTATCATCTCCCTTGCGCAGAAAGTACCAACCTTGATTACCCTGTTCCTCAGAGCATTTATCTTTTCTGTATTGTATAATTCATACATGTAAGGCACAGATCCTGTTTTTCGGGGGGGGGGGGGGGGGGGGGGTTCCAATCCAGGCCATATTTTTTTTCACATGCGCAGATCCTTTGATCCGCGCACATAGATCGCTAAACAAGTAGCGATTTATGTGAGCAGATCAAAGGATCTGATTTTTATCAGATTGCTTCCTAAATTAATTTATTCTAAAATAAATTTAATAGACTTACTTAGTCATACAAAGAAAAGCAAAAATGATAAAAGTACAATTTGCCAAGTGAATTTTCATGTATCAACAAATTGTGTAATGCATGAACACAATAAAATAATTTTATATGAACTTTTTTAATAGTGTAAGGGGATTTTTTTTTCTTTCAAAAATTTTCTATTGGGGAAAAAACAATATCTGCTACTGGTTTCTTGAAGTATATTAACATTCGTTTGTCTTGCTGCCTCTAATATGTTTGAATTTTAAAAGTCCGACATGATGCTATTATCCGAGGTCTGCAAATTGGATGTTGATAGACAATTTCGCGGGATTTGGATTAGCTTACATGTACATATATAGACTTACATGTATATAGTAAAACATGTGTTCGTTTTCTTTGTAACTTTTTAAAAAAGATTCATTTCCAAAATATTTTTTAACACATGACAAAGCAATGTGTCAGATAAATATTCACATAAAATGGGGATGTTCAATTTGGAAATCCCTGGTTACTAATAAACTTCTGACGTCATGACCTCCGAAAAGCTCTCGCTTGGCTTAAAATGTGTAAACAAACCAAATGACCTCTCATTTCAATACATATTTCTGTGCATAATTTATGCTTGAAATGCACCTTGATCCATATCATTGTAAACTTTTGACATTAAACTTTTATTCTATACCCAGAAAGTTTCACAAACATGTGAGCATGTTTTTATTTTTATCATTGAAAGGGAGGCATGCGAATTTCCTTTATGTGCTAATATTCATCCTTTTGACCTTCACTCTATAATTGTGACCCTGATCCATTTACATTCCTATGAAAGTACAAAAATAATGATGACGTAGAAAAACTTGTGCGCCATCTAGCGTTAATTCAGGTAATATATGTTTTTTTGCACGCCATCTAGCGACAATTCAGTGAGTAATCGTTGGTTTTGCATTGGTGATCGTTGGTTTCGCATCAGAGTCTGTTGATTTTGCAAACGAGTCTGTTGATTTTGTTTTTAAGGTTGTCTGTTTTCACCGTATACAACGGGTAACGCAGGGGAGTCGCGAAAAAGTAAGGGGGAGTCGTTTTCAACGTATGGAGGAGTCGATTTTCACCGCTTCGGAGTCAGAAGAGATGTGGGTCACGTCTTTTTTCGGTATATGTAAGATGTATTTACAAAAACCAACTAGCCTACGGAAGGTAGCAATAGTTAAGCTTTCTGTTGGTCATTTGTCCGGCTTGCATATACGTCCAGTTTTTTCAAACACTTCGAAACTATTCAACAGATTTCATATTTATGTTGATCGAGTGGTTAAAACATGCATAGTTTGCGCAATCTACGACTTGTGTAGGGATTATGACAGTTAAAACAGCAAAAGCAAACGTTTATCTTTCAAATGTCATCCCTTAACAAATGATGGCAAATTGACAACTAAACCTTATTATAAAAGAGATGATTTCATTTTTGTCTATTGTCAACTTCAAAAAATAAAAAAAAAATTGTAGCAATATTCCATTATCACCTTCTTTTGGAGATTTAAGGAGCAATGTTTTAATACACAAGATCATATGTAACGTATAAACAATATGTTACGGTGTAAAATACGACATCTTTGGACTTATCATAAAATTTAATACATACACACACATGTAACTTTGTTGATTACCTTTTGTACTTTGTGTAAATTGTTTTAAAAGCTTTTTGCATATTTTGGAAATGTGATAAATTCTGGAAACTCCACACAGCTGTAATTCCGCCCGCGCGAGGCACAGTCAGAACTGGACATTTAATCCCTAAAATCTTGCAACTTAAGATAGATCACTTTTAAAAACCGTGCAGGGATATTGACAAAATTTATTAACTTCTAAACATTTAGCAAGCCAGCTGTGGGCATGGTGATAGTATGCTATGATATTGATTAGGACTAAGATGATCATATTTCAGATATATTTTATCTTTAAAATCCTTGAATTTAAATAATTGTAATTTTTATTTCCCTTGAGTCCATGCAAAGGTGTGGTTAATCTGTTATTACGTTTTGACTTAACAACTTTACTTGCTGTTATCTCACGTATACTTAGCAGGAGACAGCAAGTCATCATACGCATCATATAGATGTTCCTTCTGCTTCGATGACAGAAATTTCAAAGCATCCGTCACACTCGGAAAGAGTGCAGCTTAGACCCACAGAAAAGCTGTTTCAAAGGATAGAAATGCAGCATGGAAAAGGAAAATATGAAAAAGCGAAGGGACAGTTTTATCTCCTGGTGAAAAGGGATGCTAACTTTAAACGGAAATTTCCTGATAAAGTAATCATTTTATTAATTTTTTCTTATACATGTATATGATACTATTCTAATTACAGGTATCTGACGTAATGCAACATACTGCAGGTTGCATAGTGTACAAATCTCCTTGTTTGGAATATTTCATCTGCAGTTAGAATATTTTCAATTTCATAGAGAAATAAAATTGTATCACAAAATCTGAACCCAGAAATTCATTCTGTTTACATATTTTTTTTTATTTTGTGGTACATGAATTACATAATCAAGAAGTAACGATCAATTTTAAAAATATAAAAGAGTGACAAGACATTTCCTCTGACTACTTTAGTCAAAGTTATCCTTTTCTTAGTCAAAGTTAACCTTTTCAAAGCGCTTCTTACCATTTTCAGTATAAGAAAATAAATATCTGTAACATTCTTGCAGTACAGTGAGCTACAAGTGTTTATGGATAAACCTGAAGATTATCAATATAGTCCATATCAGTGTTTGTATGATGTTTTGAGTAAAGTAACAAAGAAAGACCCCTTATATGATAAAGTATGGAAGGAGTATTTCTTTCTTGTGACGTCAGATCAACAACACATTATAGCTGAAAGTTGTGGACAGGTGAGAGAATTAACTTTAATTTAACTCGTTCAAATAACGAAATATTTTATTTATTTTGATTTGAATAATAATTTTAATTGATGATCCCAGTAAATCTAAATCCAATGGAGTATTTGACTCAAACATATTTTCTTGTACAGATATATTTATTTTGAAACATTGAATTGTGTAAGAGTTTTTAATTTCGATTTTGATATATCATTCACAGGTATTTAAATCTGTATATAAAAAAGATATTGATTCCGTGGTCGTGCCCCGAAAATCATACGAAGAACTGCAAAACGAACTTGTTGAAAAAATAAAACAGATAGAGGAGTTAACCACAAGGTATACTATATAAAAATAATATGTAGGATAATTTAATACATGAAAGCAAGTTGAACAATTCATCTTGTATGGATCTTGTACATTCACATTTCATTAATGCCTGTTGATAAGTAGAATCAAACAGTGTTTATGTTATTTCTTCTTAGTGTAAAGTATTGATTTTATGAATTTGTTTGCTATATCACGAGTTGAGAAATCATGGATGCTATTTATAATACATCTGCACAATATAAGAACAATATTTGTATCTTATTTGGTACATTTTTCCACATCTTTACCATCAAAGAGCCAACAATTCGTAATATAAATACTTGATCATATATATTTATACGAGCAGTCCTACAGAGGCAGAAAGTGTTTTAAAAAACTTATTTTTTTTATATTATTTTCACAGACTTAGTAAATTTGCAAGTCAGCAACTAACAGCAGGTAATCCTAACATTGCTGACCTGAGTGATAAACACCGGCCCACTAAGATCGGCGAGCTGTATAGTGAGTTGTACGACAATGAATGGTCGGAGGTGTTCGAAGTGATTAAAGCCCTTAGACATCCAAACACTGAGGAGTCCGAGACAGAGTACTTTGAAGATGTCCTTAATACTCTGAAAGATATTTTAATGGTAGGATTGTATTAATGTTTTAATGGTGTATTGTTATTCCACATAAATGTAATATAATTATGTTATTATATATGATAGTGTTATTGTTTAATAAGTTTTTCATTGTACAGAAAAATATCTTGTACAGTACCTTCTCTAAAACGTGCTTGCAGTTGGGGATTTTGATAAATTTGTGCATTTGCTGTTTTTTTAAAAATGTTTTTAAAAGTTTTCCAAAGTACGCATCTATAGCCATTTATCTTTTTAATTGAATGCATTGTATTATGCATAAATGTTTACTCTATTTGATCTTAGTAATAGAAGTTTATTTAATAGTTTTGTTTAAAAATACTTTTGTGTAAGCATGTGATTTTTACCTACAGGCTGCTTACGAGTTCTCTGCCGAAAAAATAGAGTCACATCTTGGCGATCTTAAAAACATTATGCTTTGTTCAATAACTTGCAGCAAGGAGAAAGGGGTAAATTGCATGATTAAATCCGATAATATACATTCAACTTGACATTTTACTAGAAGAAATGAAGGATGGAAGCTCTCATTTTGTTTTAATGTATATAAATTTTCAACCTTGTAGACAAAAGATGAAAGTACAAGGGAAGAACAGAAAAACACGGAATACGGCCGCTTTGTAACTGAACACGCAAGAAAATACACTAAAGAGTCAGCCGCTTACACCATCAGAGAAGCCGCAAAGGTTTTTAGCTCACCTGAGCCGAAGGCTCAAGTGAGCTTTTCTGATCAAAATTTGTCCGTTGTCTGTCGTCGTTGTTGTTGTCGTTGTCGTCGTTGCCGTTGTCGTCGTCGTAAACTTTTCACATTTTCATCTTCTTTTCCAAGAACCGTTGAGCCAATTTCAAGAAAAACTTGGTACAAAGTATCCTTGGGTGAAGGGGACAAGTTTGTTCGAACTAACATGGTACAGGCCCTTTTCCAAGGGGAGATAATAATGAATTAGAGAAAAATTAATGGCATTTTTAAAAAATCTTGCCTTTCATGAACCACTGGGCCAGGAAAGATGAAACTCATGTGGAATCATCCTCGGTAGTTAGATTCAAATTTGTTCAAATCATGACCCAAAGGATAGGGTGGGGCCAAAATGGCCGTCAAAGTTTTACATAAAATATATAGGAAAAATCTTTAAAAATCTTCTTCATCAAATGGTGTTACCACTATAGGACAGGAAAGATGAAAATCATGTGGAATCTAAAACCATCGAGTTATGAGTTTGTAGCTATAATCACTTTCCATATGTTTAACTGGCAAATGTACATTTGTTGTCTTAGTTTTACATATAAATCCTGGGAAACCTTTTAAAATCTTCTTTTCAAGCATTTCAAGAATGTACATTCATGTATATTTAAAAGACAGCATTAAACGGAATTACATTTATCGTTATACATTATACATTAATAAATACAACAAACAATTCTAAATGTGTATTTTTTGTGTATTTTTTGTTATTTCATAAGCCAATTGCTCTGGTGAGACATATGGCCCATGTATTGCCATCTTGTTTTACCCTTTTTGATAAACTTTTTTAATACTAAGTTCACATAAAAACAACTTCATTGTGCTTGAATACATGAGAGGTTTTATAATGAACATTTTAAATTGTGTTAAATTACTTTCGATATCATTTTCTTCAGGTTTTCCAAAAGGAACGTTTGGGTCTAATTTTTAAAGAAAAATCCGGTGATCCCAAATTAGCTGCATACGTCGACAAATGTATCACAACTGGTACATTTTTAAAGGAAATGTAATTGTGCCTGAAAACTGGCAGGGACTATATTTTTGCCTTTCATGGAAGAAAAGGGAAATCTACTTCTTTTCTGCCTCTCAAAATTCTTATTGAAGGAATTTAGTTATAATTTTTACACAATTTTCAAATTGTAGCAAAATTGATAATAAGGATATCAAGTTTTAAAATATATCAAATAAATATGAAAAACAAACTACAATTATGATTGTTTTTAAAAGTCTGACTCATCAACTAGACCCAAAAAGCTACATGTATATAAATTGTGAATATAGTAAAACTTTTTGTTTTTGTATCATTTTGTATCTCTATATGACTGCTTTATATAATTATTTAACTGAAAAAGTTAAATATTCGCATATAAAAATACATTTTTATCTAAAATTTTATATCAGAAATAGAGAAAATTCTTTTAACCTTGCAAGCATTTTTATTAAAAATTTTTGTCATGTGACATAAAAAGACAGCATTAAACGTAATTACATTTATCTTTATACATTATACATTAATAAATACAACAAATAATTCTTAATGTGTATTTTTTGTTATTTCATAAGAACTTAATCTGTTGAGACATATGCATAATGTATTGCATACTTCGTATCTAACCCTTATTGATAAACTAAAATTAATTCACATCAAAACAACTTCATTGTGCATGAATACATTAGAGGATTTATAATGAACATTTAAAATTACCAATTGTTATTTTTATCTTAAAAGTAACTATCTACGTATATCAGCGTTTTAGAAGGCAACGGAGAGCTTTACGGAGGCCATAAGAACCGGGGGATACATTGACGTAGATTGAAAACATAGCTAACATATGCTTGTGTCCCAGTCAAGTGCCCTTCAGTTTACACTCCTGATGGTCTTTTCTTGCTTTTTAAAGTTATTTTTTATTAATCCCCCCAACTCCCACTTAACGGAAAAGGTTCGTCTGTCTCTAACTCCTTTCCTCTCAAACTCGTCGTTATTGTCGGTAACTTTTCATATTTTCATCTTCTTCCACAAAAGTCAAATTTCAACCAAACTTGGCACAAAATGTGGTGAATTCAATTAATTGTAGGGAGAAATATAAATTAATTTGTTAAAAATTAATGGCATTTTTAAAAAATGTATTCACAATTTTTGTTTTTATGACGTCACAAACTATCCTCAGGTAGTTTATATCCTTTTTCAAATCATGAGGACAAAATGGGAACAAAATTTCAACAATTTTAGAATATATAAAATTCATAAAAATTTCTTCTCAGAACCACAGGAATGATGAAACTCATGTGGAATCATTTCATATAAAATACATGGTTACTGGCAAGGGTGGGGCCAAAATAAGCGATATTTGGAATATATAGGGAAAAGAAAATCGTTCTAGAACCATTGGGCCAGGAAAGCTTGAAACTCATGTGGAATCATCCTCAGGTAGTGTAGATTCAAGTTTGCCCAAATCATGACCCCCGGGGCAAGGGTGGGGCCAAAATGGCTTATATTTCAAGTTTTACCTAGGAATATATTTTGAAAATCTGCAACAAAATTTTACATTTCTCCAGAACCATTTGGGCCAGGAAAGATGCACATCTCATGTGCTGAAACTAGGTAGTGTAGCATAAAGTTTGCATTATACGTGACGTCACAATGCTTAGGGTGGGGTCAGAATGGCATGCACGAAGCTTTACATAGGAATATACCGGAAAAGCTTTAAAAATATACCTTTATTAGGTCAAGGCAAGGGGTAGTTGCAGGATAAATTGATATTATCATTCTACACATTATATCAAAATATTGATCCTGAACACACATGCGCTCGGTGACTTTTACATAATATATAGGGAAACCTATGTACATTTTTTTGTAAAATTCAAAAAAACTGAAATTTATGGTCATGTTTGTGACGTCATTTGTACATATGGCGTGGATTACTTATTCAAGTTTGAAAATGTGCTCAGTGCTTTGAAGTGGCATATACTGGGCCTCTTGTTTAAGAACTTAATTAAATATATCTCCCAAAGTTCCATTTGGGGGGCAAAAGGTTATTACCGAATAAAGTCCTCTCAAACTAGAAATGATTTTCGGCCCTGTTTCACACACTCTTAAAAACTATTTTCTTGACAGTGTTGCTTAAAAATCTGATTCAGTTATTCTAACAAAAATACGTAACTTATTTTCATCTACGGTGTAATGTGTAATGTATTCAAATAAAATAAGATTACACTTTAAGCATTATAACTGTGTCTGTTATTTATTGTGTTATATGTATAAGATTACTACTGTAAGCAGACTTCATTTCTTTCTTCAGTTTTGGTTCCAACAAGAATATATTCTTGGCATACACAATATACATGTACATGTTGAACTGTAGAACGCATGTATATTGTGTGAATTATACTAAACATGATCATGAATACAACATACAACATTTTTCCTCATTTATCATATATTTCTTTAATTTGTCAAGTAGTCTTTTGAGAGAGATCTTCGACAATGAACCCCAGAATATACAGAAACACGGGATTCAATATTAAATCCGTGGCTCAGATGAACAGTACTTGACGTCTTTTAACGTCGCTGAATCGTGTCTGTGTCTTCTATTGTGTGTGGCATTATTAATTAAAACCCATCGTAAATAAATAAACAATGGAAGACAATGTACACGTGACCTTTTAATCATTATCTGCTGGTGCTACGGCAATTGTGTCTGACCTATACATTCCTATATAACACACACCTTGGAGATTCTTTTTTAACTGAACCCAGTCATCACGATGTTGGTGGGAGGCTTTTAAACATTTCCCAAAGACTTGAGTTGCCCTGCATAGAGGGCCCTAGAGCAGTCTGTGCACTTGATTATATGAAAAATGGAAGCTCCAAAACGCATACCAAACGTCGTTGCAAATTACTCCAGTTTACATCCATTGAAATATGAACAGCACTGGCGGGAAAATATTTCGGACATTTTACAAGGAATGCGGAGACTTTTACCTAAAGTTGATATCGATGTTGCAGAAGCTGAATACACCGAACTCTTGAGATGTGAGCATTTGTTGAAAGACCTTTACCCAAGTAAGGTAAGGTACTTTTATATAGTAAAACATAATTCTATTTTACTCTTTGAACTGTTAAGTTCTTATACCAGTAACATGAAAAAATTCTCTCTCTCCCTTTTTCTCTCTCTCTTTCAGCCACAATAGAAATTTAGTTTTGAAATGCAACGATAAAGCATTGATCCTTTGTCTAAAAGAAATTGACCCTAAAATAACAAAATTCCAAATAAAGAATATAGCTGATAAAAATCTTGCTGGTTCGTGCTTCTTAATAATCGTTAAATCCTAACCTCTGTACACGCTTTTTCGTGTGACAGGTGCTGGTTAAATTAGGTCCTGATATGCTTTGTTTGTTAAAATAATAATGGCCTAATCTGCAGTATCAATTTTTCTTATTTTAAATGCAGTTTATTCTTTTGACATTTCATCGAGGGGTTGATCTACTTTTTATCATCAGTTGAAAAATGTTCCAATTGACGTCCACTTACCTTTGCGTACATGTACTCATTATGTATGCATCTGTAAAATTAAGATATTACATTATTTATGTTGTACTCTGTTAATTTTTTTTAATATAGTACATTGCACTAAAAAGAAGTCGTATGGATAACAGTGATCCTACTCACCCTTCTGAACACCTTACTGGAGTTTTGTATCACGTCATTCAGAATGCCAAAGAAACTCCCGTCAGCTACAAGATCCCGGCGGCCCTTAATGAGCTGGTGTCCCTCAAACTGTCTAAAGGGGTGTTAGAAGAACTGCAATTCAAGGAACAGGTCTGGGTTAATAGAATTAAGATCTTATTATGGGGCATGGGTATTTTCTTCAAATCATGTTCATGTATAGTTACAAATTTCAAAGCAGAAGTTTGCTTGAAGTTCAAGACTGCGAATGTATGGGTATTCTTCAACTGCACATAATTAAACGCAATATTATTATGAAATTTAATTTGACTGCTCTTCTAATGTACATAGGACAAAGAAAGGAAAACTAAGAGATCCCCAAAAGGTACTCCAGAAAAAGAAAAGAGGAGGTCTAGGAAAGAAAAACAGTCGGACACAGATGTCAATCTACATAGAGAAGAGAGGTCACTAGAAAGGTCGTGTTCTAAATCCCCAAATACACTAAAAGAGAACGACTGGACCATGGTGCCTTTTGATGATTATTTAAAACTAAAGAGTACAATAGAATTTCAGAGATCTAAGATTGCTGAGCTGACAAATAGGTGAGTCTCACGAGATGGAATTCAAAATAATCCACATGAAGCAAATTTTGCAATGTTTCTCTTTGAAGATGATGATATTGGGATGAAAGATGTATTTTTCCATTTTAAAAAATGTGTTTTCTTTTCAATTTCAACGACGAAAGAATGATATCAATATAATTATTTGTACTTCTAGACTGACACATTCCTTAAATATCAAGGAAACCGATGAAACAAATTACATCAGTAATCCTGACGATGAAGGTCGTCCAACGCGTCTTGCAGAACGCTTTGCCACTGTTTATGAAGAAGAATGGAACGACGCATTTGATGCATTGACAATGTCTCTTCGATGGGGGGAAATGGACGCTATCTTCCATTTGCTTAGGATTGTCAGAGTAGGTATATTCAGTGGCATTAACTGAAACTTGTAGTTAAGCAAGGAATTTTTTTATTAAAATGTGATTTTTTTCCCATTTTTTATAGTATATTTACGATTATTGTGAAACAACTGCAAAAGAGCAACTTGAAATGTTAGAAAATGTGTTATACGGACCAATGATTCACCCAAAACGACAGTACAAGGCAAGTAACAGAGAACGATGAATAAATTCGATCATTTATATGATATGAAAAGTGGCCAGGTTATAATTTTGTCCTCTTTTTAGCTCACCTGAGCCAAAGGCTCAAGTGAGCTTTTCTGATCACAATTTGTCCGTTGTCTGTCGTTGTCGTTGTCGGCGTTGTCGTCGTCGTCGTCGTTGTCGGCGTTGTCGTTGTCGTAAACTTTTCACATTTTCATCTTCTTCTCAAGAACCACTGGGCCAATTTCAATTAAACTTGGCACAAAGTATCCTTGGGTGAAGGGGATTCAAGTTTGTTCAAATGAAGGGCCACGCCCTTTTCCAAGGGGAGATAATCATGATTTAGAGAAAAATTATTGGCATTTTTAAAAAATCTTCTCCTCAAGAACCACTGGGCCAGGAAAGATGAAACTCATGTGGAATCATCCTCAGGTAGTGTAGATTCAAGTTTGTTCAAGTCATGACCCCCGGGGGTAGGGCGGGGCCAAAATGGCCGATCAAAGTTTTACATAGTAATATATAGAACAAATCTTTAAAAATCTTCTTCTCAAGAACCACTGGGCCAGGAAAGATGAAACTCATGTGGAATCATCTTCAGGTAGTGTAGATTCAAGTTTGTTCAAGTCATGACCCCCTGGGGTAGGGCGGGGCAAAAATGGCCGATCAAAGTTTTACATAGGAATATATAGGAAAAATCTTTATAAATCTTCTTCTCAAGAACCACTGGGCCAGGAAAAATGAAACTTATGTGGTATCATCCTGAGGTAGTGTAGATTCAAGTTTGTTCAAGTCATGACCCCCGGGGGTAGGGCGGGGCCAAAATGGCCGATCAAAGTTTTACATAGAAATATATAGGAAAAATCATTAAAAATCTTCTTCTCAAGAACCACTGGGCCAGGAAAGATGAAACTCATGTGGAATCATCCTCAGGTAGTGTAGATTCAAGTTTGTTCAAGTCATGACCCCCGGGGGTAGGGCGGGGCCAAAATGGCCGATCAAAGTTTTACAGAAAATATATAGGAAAAATCTTAAAAAATCTTCTTCTCAAGAACCATTGAAACAGGAAAGATGAAACTCATGTGGAATCATCCTCAGGTAGTGTAGATTCAAGTTTGTAAGTCATGACCCCCGGGGGTAGGGCGGGGCAAAAATGGCCAATCAAAGTTTTACATAGGAATATATAGGAAAAATCATTAAAAAACTTCTTCTCAAGAACCACTGGGCCAGGAAAGATGAAACTCATGTGGAATTATCCTCAGGTAGTGTAGATTCAGGTTTGTTCAAGTCATGACCCCGGGGGTAGGGCGGGGCCAAAATGGCCGATCAAAGTTTTACATAGGAATATATAGGAAAAATCTTAAAAAATCTTCTTCTCAAGAACCATTGAAACAGGAAAGATGAAACTCATGTGAAATTATCCTCAGGTAGAGTAGATTCAAGTTTGTTCAAGTCATGACCCCCGGGGGTAGGGCGGGGCCAAAATGGCCAATCAAAGTTTTACATAGGAATATATAGGAAAAATCTTTAAAAATCTTCTTTTCAAGTACTTCAAAGCCAGGATTAGTAATATTTGTATGGAATCATCCTCAGGTAATGTATATTCTAGTTCGTTCAAATTATGATCCCCTTGGGGGTTAAAATTCAAGACCCCCCCCCCCCCCCAACTTAAATTAACTTTCAGTTCTGATCTGATGTGTTTTTTCCTAGCTGATGTGCTCAGGTGAGCGCTGTGGCCCCTGGGCCTCTTGTTAACGGAAACTGTCTCATATGTTTATTATTTTCTTTTTATACTCGTAAATAACAGAATAACGATGACTTCCAATGTCTGCAAGAGGGCCAACAGCTGTTGATGTCATCATGTGCTGCAAGATGCGCAAAGGACTTTCGGAAAGTTAACGCCGGAGTCTCCGTTCCCGAGCTTTGTGTGGTAAGCATAAAAACTAGAAAATTACTAGTACCTATAACAGAAATATATCAATATCTTATAGAAGTAATTAACTTTCTTTAGATGTAACATCAATTGGTTAAACATGTTCATGTGTTACTTGAACATTTTATTTTATATCCTTAGGACTTTAAAGAGCAAGTGGTGAGGCACATTTTCAAATGGGATCTTGACCTTTTACCTGCAGCTGTGCTAAATTTTATTGACAAATGTATGGAGATAATTTGGTTCATGTGTATTCAGGAACCTCCAATGGTGATCACGTGGGCAAATGATGGGGAGAGTGTGAACACTAATTACTACACATTCTACTCACGGAAGGGAAAAATCGTGAAACAGCCCGTGTGGCCGGCTGTTTTTCTCCAACATGGCGGCCCCCTTCTTACACGTGGGGTTGTTGTTCCTGTTTAAATGACTTCTGTAAATTATCACAAGAATGAATACTTTTTTCTACCACCTTAGTACATGTATTAGTATACATGTGGCTATATGATGTTTCTGAATCAATGTTATAAACATGATGCTGTGCTATATTTGTATTTTATTACGTAGTGAAAAGTTCAAGGCCATTAAACCTTGTCAAGCGAAGCATATTAGAGGGAATGTGTGTCGTGCAAGTAGGTCTAAGCGACATTAGTATTATGTATAGCTGTTCTAACAACTGCAAGTAGGTAGAGTAACCTCAATTTGGAATTAAAAAGTTTATTTATTCAATTGTGTCTATCTATTACTCGCCGTGTGATATCGTCAATGTTCTCAAGTGGTGCATCTTAAAGAGTTTCTTATGACCCTAGAGTAGGTCAATATGACCTCTCTTTCAGATTTTCATGCTAGTTATGAATTGCTAAATCATTTCCACATCATATCTGGCAAAGTTGGTTAATGCTTGTTGGTTGAATTCATTTCTAGTGGAGGGATGTCATGATTTAAAAGTAGATATATATATTCTAAAATTAAACAGTCAAGTCATGTCATCATGTCATGCAGTTTGAGATCTTGATTTGTCTTAATATGTCAACTGAAGACATCATTGTGGGGAATGGTCCTCACGACTTAGAGGTAAAGACCCCTTTCACCTCATTTGGAATTCCATAGCTAAAAAAAGTCGGACCTTGTCCAGGTTATATCCTTCACACTGAAAAATCTAAAGCCATCAAACTAGAACTAACAAATTTTGTCACTTGATACATCTTTTTGAGGAAAGAGTATCTGGACCCAAAAGACTTTTTTTCTTTATGCTTATTCAAATCGTGTCGGGATGGTGCTGTGGGCCGAGGATCGTTTAACTTATTCATTTGATACATTTGGGGGGGTCTTAAATCAATTTATTTGTATGAAACATCTAAGTTGTTTCCAATTTAACTGAAAAATGAAACGGCTCGGTTGCAGCGTGTGACTTGGATACACATAAATGTTCATATTCATGAACGTGCCTTGTGTAGTTCCAGACATGCAAATCATATACGTTCCTTATTTTTATATTCAAAGAATATAAAAGTTAAGAACCATTCAAAAATGAACTCAAAACCTACTACTATTTTGGATTTCGGTTCATTCAATGGCCTGATAAAGAGGTAAAAGTAGCAACTACGATGCCACAAATTTCTTAGATCTAAAAAATTTTATTTTAGATGAAATATACTTGTCAAAATTTCTATGTCCCCACTTTTATTTTTTCAAAAAGTTCAAAACCCTAATTTCAATGTACTAGCTGCTTATAATTTTGCCTTTAATTTGCAATACTTATCTTTCAAGGCCAAAAAAATTGTAATCGAATTTATAATTACTCGACCGTGACCGTTTTTGTTAAAAACCATGAAGTTCGAGTTCCATTTGTTTTCCGGGTGTATTCTTAAATGTGTTCTCCATCTTTAATTGATAAAAGTTTGATTAAATTGCGGTGTATGTCCATACAACAATTTGAAAGTGAAGTTGAAATGGCCCAAACTGTTTCCTTTCAGACTTTATTTTACTTAAAACCTTTATAATTACCACCCGAAAAACATACAAAGCATTCCTGAATTCCTTTTAATCATTAGTAATCGCTAGATTTTCAATAAACACAACCAAATCATCGTAGAGTTTATCCGGAAAAATCAATGGAACCGGAACCGGAAGTGCCCTCCCCAATGTCAGACTGGAGGAGTGGGTAATGCATGCAATGAGACATTATGTAACTATTGTCAGCAAGGCACAGGCACTTTTGGTAAGCCTACTTGTCATCTTAATCTCAACCCTAACTTACATGTATGGAAGAAGATAGATAATAGTGTGAGACCGCTTTTCCAGCAGCAGAATCTAGCGGAACAAGAGGACGACCTAGTCTCCACATGGAAAAATATTGAATAAAAGAATTTTTCTTAAATAGTGTGAACTCTTTGAGGAACGGTTATCTTGCTGTGAATTCGTTTGAATGGAGGATAATGCAGTATTTAACGTTGTGAATTTTTAATTCAAGGGTGCCTTAACGTTTCTGCATATTGTGTTAAAGTGCTTCAATAAAATAAATTAAGTGAGAAAAATTGTTTTGCTACTTTTTCATCCTGTATACTTATTAAATTATAGTGTTAAAATAATTCAATATAAGAGCGGTGTAAAGCAAAAACTTGCCCGGGGACTTAGAAATTTTGACTAGTATACATGAAGATCACGAACAATTCAAGTTTAATGTCCATCTAAACTATACAAATCGGTAAGCAAACACAGACCTCCAAATAATACTTAGGGTGAGATCAGCTCCCATGAAGGAGTGAGCATCCCCTACCGACCCCTCACACCCGTTATGTACATTCCGCCATGATCATGGAAACGGGAATGCCGTAGGCAATTCAGTGTGTAAGTAATGGCCTAACAATACGTGTTAAAATTATCAGTCTTTTGACTTAATGACAGATTGTATTTGCTGACAAGACCATTGCATCAAGAATTACTAGTAACCTTGAGAAACGATGACTTCAAAATATACCTTTTGGGGTCATATTTTTACAGGCTTCTATACAAAGTCATGGACTTAATTTGACTACGGAATGTTCCGTCTACCTGATCAATATATAGGCCTAATGGTGACCCGACAAAAGGGATGCTTACTTCTTCTAGGTAGCTGATCCCACCTCTTAATTTTTTAGATCCGTGCTTTGTGCCTTGTTCACAGATTTGTATTGCTTGTGATTCTTTTTAAATTGATCAATGTTCATAATCTTTATCATTTATGCATCACCTCCAACAATAGATTTACATGTAAATTGTAGGGTAAAATCCATGAACATGATACATTACAGAGAACAGTTTACTTCACACGTTATTGGAATACTAGTAGTTTGTAATCATACTTTCATTTTTGTTACACTTTATTATACATACAAGAGAGGACAAATAATTTAAAACCAGTCAAATAATTCAAATTCAATATAAGAGGCCCATGGGCCTTATAGGTCACCTGAGCATCATGCAACAACTTTCAAATCATTGAATTTGGTTCGTGTTTTAAGCTAGATGCTGTGGCATTCATAATTTTGAAAGAGGCACCATTGCTTATCATAACACTTAACAATTGTTTAGTTCGTTTACTTTATACCCATAAGCAGGGTAGGGGAACAAAAAATGCATTTCAAGTAATCAGTGATACTCATCAATCATCAGAAGTGCCCCTACCACACCTGAACCCCTGACCCTAGGTCTATACATTGCACTATTTTTGAAAAGGCACACTTGCTTATCAAAAATGTTTGATTAATACCAAGGAGCAGATTTCAAATAATTCATTTTCAGTATATAAGTAGACCCCCCTTTAGTATCTCTGACCCAGGGGCCTTGAAATTTACAATTCCGAAAGAAGAGCCCTTGCACATCATAACTATATAGGTAGTTCATCTGCTTATTACCCAGGAGTAGAGAAAAAGAGTTTCATAGATGCAATGTATTTTCACTTAATAAATCATTATAGAGCCCCACCCTAACACCATAACCCCTGACCCTTGGGCCATAAAATTCACAATTTTGGCAGAAGCATTCTTGCTAATCATAACTATGTACTTAGTCAGTTTATTTAATACCTAGGAACAGAGAAGAAGATTTTCAAAGATATAATGCATTTTCACTATATAATCTTTATAGAGCCCCACCCTAACACCAGAACCCCTGACCCTGGGGCCATAAAATTCACAATTTTGGAAGAGACACTCTTGCTCATCATAACTATTTACTTAGTTGGTTTATTTAATACCCAGAAGCAGAGAAGAAGATTTTCAAAGAATTAATGCATTTTCACTATATAATCAATAAAGCCCCGCCCTAACACCAGCATCCCTGATCCTGGGGCCATAAAATTCAAAATTTTGACTCTTGCTCATCATAACTACGTACTTAGTTTATTTAATACCTAGGAGCAGAGAAGAAGATTTTCAAAGAAATACTGCATTTTCACTATGTAATCAATATAGCCCCACCCTAGCACTAGAACCCCTGATCCTGGGGCCATGAATTTCACAATTTTGGTAGAGGACTCAATGCAGATTACAATCATACCAACAATTTGACTGCTTGATGTCCAGGAGTAAAGAAGAAGATTTTTAAAGATTGCACTAATTTTTGTGGTTTTGGCCCCACCCACCCCCCGGCCCCGAAATTCACAATTTTTTACCCCTTCACCCACAGATGCTATATGCCAAAATTGGTTGAAATTGGTTCGACGGTTTCAGAGAAGAAGCTGAAAATGTTTGAGTGTTAATGCACGATGCACGACAACGGATGAAAACAGATAGCAATAGGTCACCTGAGTTTACTCAGGTGACCTAATAAATGGGGGTATTTCAAAATACTTCATATATAGAAAAAATCACACTATACCATATGGAACATACCATACTTACATATGTAAAATAACACTAAAACAATAAAAAGATTTAAAATACAATGCTGTCAACATAAATACATGTCTATGTGTAGAAGACATAGATGGAAGGGCATCAATCTGTAATATGATGAACTGGAATTTGAGAAGAAAAGGAAACAGTCTTTACAGGTAAAAGTTCTCCTACATACTAATTAGCATGCACTGTAGAGGCAGATAATACTAACTCCTATTTTATCTATAATATTTAATTTCAGACAGACTAAATATTACCAGATCTATTTGAATGTCATAGAGTAAAATTATTTTTACTAAATTAACATGATTAACATTTTTAAAAATATATACATTTTTAAATTTCTGATTCACTCTACTTATGTTTCAGCTAATAATATTTCCCATGCATTAACATGATTAAAAAATTTAAAATGAAAAAAAAGCACTTGTTCTTGAAATCACCATAGCAACATCACTTTCTGACCTCGATTTTCTTTAAAATATCTAATGGATATATCAATGTTATCATTCCTCAAATAAAATAATCAAAATGAGTGAATCAAATTCTTATTAAATAATGCTGTAAGTATTATCAAAATTTACAGGCATTTACAACGAGAGGACTCAAGTTTGAATTTTATCAAGCTGATTACATACATTGAAGTTGAGTTCACTGACAAATTATTCAAACAAAAACTAACATGTTTAAATTTTTGATAAATAAAAAGAAATGATTGAACAGAATATACTTGTACACTCTTTACCTTAAAACAGATGAAACATCTGTGAGAATATTTGACATCAACGTTTTGTTTTTTTTTTCGTAAGATGTATAAAAATTATTTGTCTAAAAAAAATAATTGCATTGTTGAAAAATCATTCATTGGCATGATATTATAAAAATAAGACTGAAATACATGTAAATGTATAAAGATAATTTCAAATTTTTATTATAAATAATACCACAGATAAAAACCTAGACTGTATACAGCCTCACTGTTGTTCTCGACTCCTTGACTTAACATCTGATACTTTAATATTTTGAGTGTTCTTTGCCCCTGTTTTAGCTGGATTAGGAGATGCCATTCCTTGAGAAGATTTAGATTTGTCATCCCCCTCCTTCATTTGCTTATTCCCTGTGCTTTCTTGAGGAGACTGAGTATTTTTGTCCCCTTCCCTAATCTGCTTATTCTCTGTCCGTTCTCGAGGAGATTGAGGATTGTTGTCCTCTTCCTTTACTTGCACAGCTTTCCCTGGATGTGTCCCAGGTTTTCCACTAGGATCATTACCTCTGTTTTCCTTCTTTTCCTGTCCCTTGTCCCTTTTACACTGAACAATTCCTCTGACTAAAACAGGTCCATTTTCATGTAAGTAAACTGTAGGCCACACAGTATAATCTACAGTAGGACCATTAACTGTGAATTTTCTGTGGACAGCATTATCAAAAGCAGAACCTGGCTTTACTTCAAAGTTAAAATACAAAGGCGGGGTCTGTATACATGCCCTCCAAAATAATGACAAACAACTGCATATAAATCTTTTGACATTTTCATCTTTAAATTCAAGCACACAAGGCTCCTTTTTTTCTTTCTGGTAATCCTACAAAAAAAATAATAAACAGGAAGGACATGAAAAGCAATAAATAAGTAAAGTTAATCTTGAGGCAATTTCTGATTATTTCTTGTATTTAACTCAGACTTTATCTTCCTTGTGTGCAAAAATCAATGTAGAAATATTTAGAGACATAAATGATATTTTTTATAAGTACAACAGAAACAGAATGTTGTAAAATACATGTATCTGTACCTCTTCAAGAAGTTGCTGTTCTTTCTCTAAGAGTGAAGTCCTTAATTCTTTGATGTGTTTCAACACACCTTTAGGTAAATCATCTTTTCTTACTTTTCCCTTCATGATATAAATTAATTTCATAATTTGAGTTAAGCAATGCTAATTTATTATTTTATATTTATCAAGTGAATTAAACAAATGTACTATGAGAGGCTCTTACTTGATTAGATAAACCAAGAACTTCCATGATCTTCTCAAACTGTTTTTCTTCCCTATTTTTACAAAAGTTTAAACAGCTCTGAAAATAAAATCAAAATTCTTAAACTTAACATTTAAAGTTAAGACATCATCAAGGACTCATCTTAAACTCACTTGGATATATGGTTTCAATATAGGAATGGATAATTCATTCATTTAATTGACAATACATTGTCGATATATCTAAACATCAAGTTGAAAGCTACATTAAGTCTTTTCTTCTTTTTTCAAGCTTAAGATTTAGTACTGAATTTTTGCCTATAGTAGCCTAGGAACTTATTACCTCATTAAAATTGACCCTCCTCCCATACAACTTAGTCATGAATTCATAGCCAAACACAACCATCTGTTGTTGTTTTTTTTTTTTTTACTTTTAAGCACCAGATCATGTTATTTTTTTTTTATTAATCTGCTAAAATATGAAAATGTATGCTTCATTAAGAAATGCATTGTCCAGGAAGGGAATATTAAGCATTTTCTATTTTAATTAGATGCCAATAATTGTGTAAGTGGCTTTATTACATGTTTTAGATATTCATGAAGTTGGCTTTCCAGTATATGAAATCATTGTTCCTATACTGACATCACAGTAATACTGAATTAAAAATAACTAAGTTATGGCAATGCAAATCATACACCTACTTATACGCACCTCAGCAGTATTTAAAATTTTGATGTGAATTTCTTTGGTTTTTTCCTCTCCCTCTGTCTCCTTCAGTTTCATTAACACCTCTGTATATTCATTGTCATATATTTCTGAAAACACCTCTCCAAGGTTAATTGGACGATTGAGGTCACTTAAATCAGCAATCCCAGGATTGTTTTCGGTCATGCGTACACCTGCTACTTGACTTAACCTGAAATAATACATATAACTATAAACAAATGAATTGTTTTATACATGTATTTATGTTTGAATGGGATAAAATATCTGCATTAAACAAGTTTAAGGTATTCTTGGAAAAAAAAACTGTGTATCTCTCATATAACATGACAGGTTAATCTTGATACAATTTTTTATTCATCAACTTTCATAAAAGTACATGTAGTGTGTTTATATAATATGCTAAGCATGTTTTTAAGTTGTCAACAAATCCTGTGTAAAATTGAAGAAAAACAGAAAGAAACTAATTGTAAATCATCTGAGGTGAATCAAAATTTGTATGTACCAGGTTGGGGGGAAACGTAAATTCCGCTATAATAGTGGTATCTCACTATTATAGTGAAATTACACTATATTTCCTGCCGTAGACACCCTCAATTTCATCCGATACCATGCAAGGGGTTTGAACTGCAAGCCATGGTGGGTATTAAAATGATCAAAAACTGTCATGCTTGCATGTTTTGAATTTTAATAAATGTTCTACCGTTGCGTTTAATAATGCGAGCACTCTTTTTTTAACGGAAGTTGCATTTTTAACATAGCAACCAATGATTACAGGGTATTTAAGCCTGTTTGAATCTCATTTATTCCTCATAAAAAGTCACGAATTGATGCTCGTTACAATTGTCAATCAGACTGGAAAGGGTTTATGGAATTAAACAAGAAAAAGGCTATTTCTGTCTGCATGGAGGCCCGCTATGGTAAACGTAAAGACCCATTATTATCGGTCGCCGCTGCTGTGGCTGATCTTCCTGTGGTTGTGTTAGATAGTGCACATATGGGAAATGAGAAGTTATTTTTGTAATAGTTCAGTAAAATAATTCTTCATTAATAACATGTAGAAAATCAAAAGTAAAATTTGCTTTAAACTTAATATTAATTGTTGTTATAATGTTTCAATATCATTGTCATTTCTCATCAAGATATTTGATAATTTTGACTATATAAAAAGAGTTTACAAAAGGTGCTATATTACGATGGTATATTTAGGACACGCAATTATTTTTTTTTAAATACCAAAAAAAAATTATCTTGTGAAAACGACATATTTATCTTGTGAAAACGAGATATTATCTTGTGAAAACGACTTATTATCTTGTGAAAGCGAGATCTTATCTTGTGAAAACGACATATTATCTTGTGAAAACGACATATTATCTTGTGAAAACGAGATATTATCTTGTGAAAACGACATATTGTCTTGTGAAAATGACTTACTATCTTGTGAAAACGAGATATTATCTTGTGAAAACGACATATTATCTAATGAAAACGAGAAATTATCTTGTGAAAACGACTTATTATCTTGTGAAAACGACATATTATCCTGTGAAAACGACATATCATCTTGTGAAAACGAGATATTATCTTGTGAAAACGACATATTATCTTGTGAAAACGACTTATTATCTTGTGAAAACGACTTATTATCTTGTGAAAACGACATAATTTCTTGTGAAAACGAGATATTATCTTGTGAAAACGAGATATTATCTTGTTAAGATAATATGTCGAGAAATCTCGTTTTTAAAATCTCGTTTTCACAAGAAATATCTCGTTTTTACAAGATATTATCTTATTAAGATAATATGTCGTTTTCACAAGATAATATCTCGTTTTCACAAGATAAAATCTCGTTTTCACAAGATAATATCTCGTTTTTACAAGATAATTTCTCATTTTCATAAGATAATATGTCGTTTTCACAAGATGATATCTCGTTTTCACAAGATAATAAGTCGTTTTCACAAGATAATATCTCGTTTTCACAAGATAATAAGTCGTTTTCACAAGATAATATCTCGTTTTCACAATATAATATGTCGTTTTCACTAGATAATATCTCGTTTTCACAAGATAATAAGTCGTTTTCACAAGATAATATGTCGTTTTCACTAGATAATATGTCGTTTTCACAAGATATAATCTCGTTTTCACAAGATAATATCTCGTTTTCACAAGGTAATTATGTCGTTTTCACAAGATAATTTTTTCTGGTATTTAAAAAAAAAAAATTGCGTGTCCTAAATATACCACCGTACTATATAGATATAAAAGGAAATTATGATTTTCCGGATAGTAATGACGTGGTTCATAGTGCATGGTTAAAAAAATTGAAAAACTCTTCAACTAGTAAAAATTGTTTTGAATATGTTACAGCTGCGAATGATACAAGGATACTTTTGTTTCTACAATTTGCAAAGCGCCTTGCAGCATAGCCTATTCTGCAGAAACCAAGGGCATTATCATGTGATAAAGATCCAGGGTATCTGCACGTGGTTCGGTCTTTTTAAGTTTTGACTGTCTTCAAAGCAATATAAATAAATAATTGAAAAAAATAAGTAAATAGAGATTTTAATGCATTTGCTCATCAGATGGACTCATCGGTGTAATAAAGTCAATGATGAATAATATTAAGAATTTATTGAAGATGAAAATATACGCTTCTAAAGATTCTAGTTCAATTTTGAATATCTTGTGCTTCCATTGCACGGATATACTTTCCAAATTGTGAAAGCACTTTTTTTTAAACAAATGCTAAATTGTTTGCGACCGATTTGATGCTTTGCAACAATTTTTAATTGCTGAAAATTTGAATCTAGTCTGATATTTTAGACATTTTTTGCTGAATATTGAGCAGTGGCGATTGGTTATTTGATGTTTCCTTGTGGTTTAAACAACAACACTTTGGTATAAATCTAGAAGTCTGAAAAATTGATACTTTTAATGCGATTTTTTGTGATAAACTTTCATTTCATATGAATATAATTAGATTTATATATCTTTCGAATAACAAGAAAAAAACCTAAAGCTATTACTCTCAGATTTTAAAGTTAAATCGTTCTTGCCTGAGTGCATAAACATAAAGCGTTAATAAATAAGATGCGTTTGTGCGGAGTTGAAATGATTGTCAATTAATAATTATTTGAACATGTGTTAAAATAAGGATACAGGCACGCTTGTAAAATATTCCCGACACCAAAGTAAATTGAGCCTTTTTTTCTGAAATAAACAATTAACCAGCCGAAATCAAAAATTAGGTATGTTTTCTACGATCGTTTTTATCAGTAATTTTTGGATTATTTATTATAAATTAATTTTGTTCAGAGGATATAATCGAGTTTATCAATATACTCTTTTTTATGTTTGCCATATTGCATCTTTACATTTACCATAATGGGCCTCCATACCCATAACCATGCAGACAGAAATAGCCTTTTTCTTGTTTAATTCCATAAACCCTTTCCAGTCCGAGTTGACAATTGTAACAAGCATCAATTTGTGCACTTTAATGAGGAATAAATGAGATTTAAACAGGCTTAAATACCCTGTAATATCGGTTGCTTAAATACTCCTGGTTTGTACTTATCAAAAACCATTCTATTTTTGTATCTTTGTGTAGCTACTTGTGTAAAAATGACCAAAACTGTAGAAGAAGTAGTGTTTTAAAGGAATTTCACTTCCATCACCGAAATCAAAAACCGATGCACTATTCTATGTATCTTAGTGTAGTCTACTTGTGTGCCAAGTTATATTGAAATCAGACCAAAACTGTAGAAGCAGTAGCGTTTTTAAGGAATTTCACAGAAAATTCTATTTTTAGTAACATGGCAACACCGTTCATCGAAATCAAAAAACCGATGCACTATTCTATGTATCTTAGTGTAGTCTACTTGTGTGCCAAGTTATATTGAAATCAGACAAAAACTGTAGAAGTGAGATAGCGTTTTAAAGGAATTTCACAGAAAATTCTATTTTTAGTAACCATGGCAACACCGTTCATCAAAATCAAAAACCGATGCACTATTCAATGTATCTTAGTGTAGTCTACTTGTGTGCCAAGTTATATTGAAATCAGACAAAAACTAGAAGGTGTAGCGTTTTAAAGGAATTTGAAAATTCTATTTTTAGTAACCATGGCAACACCGTTCATTGAAATCAAAAATCGATGCACTATTCTATGTATCTTAGTGTAGTCTACTTTTGTGCCAAGTTATATTGAAATCAGACCAAAACTGTAGAAGGAGTAGCGTTTTAAAGGAATTTCACAGAAAATTCTATTTTTAGTAACCATGGCAACACCGTTCATCGAAATCAAAAAAACTATTCTATGTATCTTAGTGTAGTCTACTTGTGTGCCAAAACTAAAATTGTAGGAGGAGTAGAGTTTTGAAAAATATTTTGAGGACAAAAAATGTTTAAGTTGGGTTCTGACCAGTAGAGTTAAAAATGCAACTTCCATTAAAAAAAGAGTGCTCGCATTATTAAACGCAACAGTAGCAAATTTATTAAAATTCAAAACATGCAAGCATGACAGTTTTTGATCATTTTAATACCCACCATGGCTTGCAGTTCAAACCCCTTGCATGGTATCGGATAAAATTGAGGGTATCTACGGCAGGAGATATAGCGTAATTTCACTATAATAGTGAGATACTACTATTATAGTGGAATTTACGTTTCCCCCCAACCTGTGTACATGAATATTCTATCAATTTTTCTCTCTCTCTCTCTCTCTCTCTCTCTCTCTCTCTCTCTCTCTTTTTGTTCTCTTCTTCAAGTGTGCTGATTCTGTCTATAAGTTTCTGAATATTTTTCTACAAAAAACATATTCAAAGTTAATGTAAAATCACATATTTTGAGGTCAAAAAATGTTTCAGTTGGGTTTAAGAAAAAGTATTGTTTATCGGGAATTATAATCTATAACGCTAATAGACTAACGTGTTGAACAGAGGAAATTCGGATTGAAATCTGTACATTGTCAGCCTTGCAACATTGATTCCTGCACTACCCAATGTCCTTTGCGCGAATAAATCAAAAATAGTAAAAAAAATCAAAGGAACATTGTTTCTTACCGAAATCTTAACGAAATGATTTTGCCTTACCTTATTCAAAAAAATACCCCCATGCCACAACACCGGCCTTCATGCCCTTCGGAAATGATACAAATGACGTCAGAAACTTACGAATTTTGACGAAGGTCTCGGAAAACATGTTCTGCATAGCAACATGGTGGCTAAAACTAGCAACAACTTACTTCGATTTAATGCAATCTCTTTTCCATAAAACTAGCGTCTTGCGTCCTAAGTCAATCTTCTGAGCCAGAACTTTTTATCTGACGTCGTACTTTCGTCACTTCAACGGTTCGGGTATTTCCATCTTTGTCGGAAACTTCTACAGAAGTTTGTCAGCTCTAGATGCTTGGGAAATGATTTCTTTTTATTGTTTTGTTTTATTCTTTTTGCTTTAAGATGATATGATAGACAGTACATGTGTAGGTTTATGATAGTAAATAAACTGCGCTCGCCCCAACGGTCACACCGTAAAACATATTAATTAAGTTGAATTGAACTTTGTGGAGGACATGATTTCATAAGTCTCTTCATACCTCGAAGCCAACAAAAATGAAACTCAAACAAAAGTAATTTTACAATAATCTCTCTCTCTCTCTCTCTCTCTCTCTCAATCACATTTCATTTGATCATATTTCTTCAACGATTTTATGGACAACATTTTTGCACTGTGAATATAATCTATAACGTTAATCTGTTAATCACTGTTAATTGACTTATGATTAGTATGAATAACATCACATACCAAATCATTTTAATAAGATTTGATCAATACTCAATTAATATTTTAACTGTTGTCATGACTTGAAATACACTTGAAAAGTTTTTGTACATGTACACTGTAGATATATGCAACAAGCTTTTGGAATAAATTACATAACGTTACCATGAAAAAAAAAAGAGAGAATTATTCATAAAATATTACAACCATTAAAATATGCCATTGGTCCCCGCTTCTGTTGCTTCGTGCCGGTTCAACAATAATATTCCTGTATTATCGTTGAGCAAATTAATTAATTAACATGTATGTGTATATGAATTATTTACAGCTTTTTATTCATTAAATGTTTCAAAATACAGATTTAAAAATCATTGCATGTAGTTTGCTTTTATTCCTTTTAATTTTGGTTAACTACCGTAAAGTATTAAAATTTGCAATTTTCACCTCGGGACCAATTTAGTGTTATTAGCCTTTAAAAAAGTGTTGTTATTTCCCTACATAACATGGTTCATGGAACCGCTTTTGATGGTATCCAACTCATCTTTTGAAATGTGTTAGTACTATTACTTGTCATTCAAAGCAGTTCATGGAAATTTGAAAATCTGTTAACGTTCTTAGTAATAAGAATCAGGAAACTATGCACGTAGTAAACATATTTTTGAAGAAAAAAAATCGGAGACTTCCAAGAATAGATACTGAGCTAGATTAGATGAAACCCTAACGCTCTCCAGTTTTTGTTTCCATTTCGAGTCTGATATCCTTAAGCGTTGAAACGCAAAAGTATCACATTTTCTTTTTTAACAAACAGTTCAATCCAAAAGATTTTATCAATACATGTACACTGATGTATTTGTCTTGTTTTATATCAAGCTTTCATCAGAATTGTTTAATTGATGATCAGAAATGGCTATCCGAATTTTCATGGAGTTTGTAAAGGTTCATTCTAGTCCTATCTATTCCCACTTTTTGAAAATCAGGTAGAAAAAGGTCAGGTTTTATGTGGGAATAGGTGGAATTTTTGTGTAAACAAATTATTAACTATGAAAAACATATAACTACTGTACAAACAATGATTAATGAACACCTATTGGAATAGAGGACAGGTATGTTTGCTTTATTAAATTATAAATCAGACTTTGTACTAATATTTGAAAGGAAAATGGACTTTTAATAGAATTGAAATATATTTTTTCTCTGTTAATATATTCATTCTAAAATCCATAGATCTGAATGACTTTTTTTTCTCAATAAATCTATTTGTTTTATGGTCTGAAATGAAGATATTAAGTAGCACTTTCTTGTAAGACCCTTTTTTTATTTCAAAAATCCGAAATAAATCATATTTTCTCATAGATGTCTTCAATACTTTCTGTCTTAAAATGTACAAAATACAGGTAAATCTAAAGAGCAGATATAATTAGTCTAGTAACTGTAAAAATAAATTAACTATCTAAACATCTATTGTTATTTGCAAGTGGGAATAGGTGGAACTGAGATTTTAAAAAGGTGGGAATAGGTAGAAGACACCTTTGTAAAGACTACGCGTATGTACATGCCTGAGGACAGTCCATTGTTCCCCTTAGGTAGGAAAACCTCTCAAATCACATAGAATATACAAAAAATACACAAACACCCTATCTTTGCGACACGTGTGGCACGTGCGGAGAGGTGCCCTAGACCACAAGGATCAGCACAATGTATGAATGATAGAATTTTATCTTATCAGTTTATAATGCCATTCATCATGGATTTTTAAAATGCAGTTTTCTATTCCTGTTCGTGTATTTTTATTCAATTTACTGACAGTGAAATGTGAAAATTAATTTAATGAGTCCAACTTTTGAAAATTAGTGCGACACTTAAACCTATAAACAACATTGTCCAGACTGGTATATAGGTCCCTGCTATTGATTACCATTTCTAATTTGATGCCTTAAAAATGTTTATATCACTTAGTGGGATTTCATCGCAGTATCACACTGTACATTGTTAAACATGGAATATATCCCATGGATTATGATTATGAAATCCCACTCAAATGGGATGTTTATATGGATACAGTTTAGTAAGCCTTTCCAAAAGCAAAGGAATTGATTGTCTTGATTAGAATTGCACTTATACCTCAAATACGACATAATTAATTTCTGGGATCGTGTTGTGCACATCAATCAACAACCTTTGAAAACCTAACCCAGACCACTGTGTTCATACGATTACATTCACCAGAAATAAGATATAAAGCATCTTTTGAGTTTTAGGTTTAAAATTTAAAAAGCACTTCGAATTCATAGCATATTATTATAAATCCGGTCTCCACCTTTTTTTGTCTTTTATATATTCCATATTTCCTCAAACAACACTGCGATTTAAAACAAATTCAATCTATTAAATATGATATTCATTTTGTGGTTTTTTTTTTAAAAACCTCAGATGTAAATACATAATATTGTACTGTAAATACGAATAAGCAATGTTAACGTTTAAAGAAATGGTGAATTCAACTGAAATTGAATGTCCCGATTTCTGTCGGTTGTTGTCGAGAGTCGGAGGACCTTGTCTCCTTTAAGGCTGATTTCCTGTCTTCCAGTTCCTCAGGGGACACATCTAGAATGGCTGAAGGAGTCCTCTGCAATGTCGGTTCCTGCGAGGAGAGCCTTTGTAGCTTTAGGTTAAGGGATTCGTTTTTGTTAGTTGTTGCTACATTGTCTTGTTGTCGAGCTTCAGGGCTTTTAACTTCTTTTAACTCAGATTTCTTTATTTCAAGTTCCTTTGCAGAGAGACTGTACAAGAAAGGGGGCGTTTTGGTGATTACAGAGTCTGCATTATCAGACTTATTACCATTTTTGATAGCATTTCCAATAACTATGTCTTTTGTTGGACCAATCTGAATTCTAGCAATATGCTTTCCATCAAAGTTATCCGCAGTAGTTGGGGTTGAGGTAACACTAGGAGAGTTGTTGTTGAGTTCAATAGTGGGGGATGAATCGCTTTTCCTAGAGATCATATTTCCGTTCTGTTGAGTCGTCTTCTGTTCGTTGCAGCCTTCAACAACAGCTTTGTTGAGAAGTGGGCCATTTTGTTCTATGTATAATGCTGGCCAGACAACATAATCTACAAACTTTCCACTATTTTTATACCCTCTGTGACATTCACTGTTGAACTCTGTAAAATCTGCACAAAGATACATTGGAGGCGTTTGAATGCAAGCATACCAGCACACTTCCAGACACCGGTCTTGATAATTCTGCAGAGATGTAATCTCTTCTTTATTGGGAAATTTCTGTAAATTCAAGCACACATTTTTGAATCCTGCAATATCCTAATTACTAGCAAGTTCTTTTTTCTTTAATGTTAACATAAGTTTCTTTTTAAATAAAACTATGAGATACAGTACTCATTCATAGTTCTTGTCCAAAACTGTTTTATGATATTGAGGGCATGTATATCTCAAAAAGGTTGATATTTAAATCACATTTTTGTCGAATACCTTCATGAACAGGGAACTTACCCTTTTAATAGATGTCGCAAGTTCTGTAGCAACACTTTTGATGAACTCATTGAGCTTAGTCGAGGTAGTCTGAGACAATGTCGTCGTTGTGTCCGTCTAAAAGCAAAACTTTCTATTAAAAAATCATGATTGTGTTTTCTTATCCCTCAGTCATAGAAATGCAGAGAAAGAGAGAATTACCTCTATATCATCCAGGAACAACAGAGAAGCCGCCAGACGTTTCCCCTGCTTCTCTGATTCGCGTTTGCAAAATGCATAGCATTCCTGCAGTAAGACCAATTGAATAGTAAGCTATAAAATTTGAAAATTGTCTTTAAAGTTGAGACTGTTGATAGCAAAATAATATATACCATTATGATATCCAGTAACCGTTTTGTAATGACACAGTCGCTTCGTTCAATGTCAGTCTTGGCTTCCAAACTGAGGCGCTCAAACGCTTCCGTCCATTGGTTGTCGTAAATCTCGCTGAACATCTCTGACAACTTCTGTGGTCTTCTGGGATCGCTGAGATCCGTTATGGCGGAGTTACTCTCCATTAGCGTCAAACTGTTTTATTTCACTTGTGCTGAAATGAGTAAAGCTAGGGTAGGTACATGTATTGATTTTGAGAAATATTGAAAACTAATACCGCTTCTGCTACTAAATGCTCTCCTTCAGATGAAAATAATACTTTGAACTATGAAATAGTTTTTTTGTCTAAAACAGTAAATGATTTTGCTCGTTTTATTTTCTTTTATTTCCTCGTAGTTTTTTGTCCCCCGGCTTTGCGAAAGCGAGGGGACATATCATTTCATTCGACTGACTGTCAATTTGCCCGTCTGTCACTATTTCACAAAAAAATATATTTTGTTTTTAACTCCTAAATGAAAACAGATACATGTAGGACAAACATATTTTACATGTTTATTACCCGTAAAAAGACATTTCCAAATTTACTATTTTTGACACCGTGAACTTGGCCTTTAAGTTTTGCCTATTTTTAAAAAGTTTTATCATTGCTTTAAATTCATTTGGTCAAAACTTTAGAAAGAGAAAAGATATAGTGCTTTCATATTATACATGTATATTATCTGTGACAAGAACTTTCTCAATACATGTGTATACTATGATGTTTGAACATGTGACCTTGAAATTTGACCTTCTTTTCAAAAATGTTAACCTACCTTATAACTTTTTGATTTGATAAAAGAAATAGGGCTTTAATATTTGACGTGTGTATTGCATGTGACGAGATGTTTCAGAATATGCTATGTATTTTGACCCATCAGAGACCTTCATGTTTGATCTTATTTTCAAAAAATTAACTTAAAAATTAATTACTTTTAAATGACACATGAAAATGCAATGATAATATTAAACAATATGCCATAAATAATGACATTCCATCCACTAAAACATCGAAAGCGGGGGACCAATATTCTTTGAATTACATGTAGCTTGTTATTCAAATCAGTCCTATTTGTTAACTCCATAGCTTATTACACATGGAAAAATTTAAGGATTAATTATTTGACGTTTTACAAAGAAAAGCCATTTGGTTTTTCAATCAGATATACAGAGATAGTACTGTGCTAAATTGGTGTCAGTATGATACTATGAATTTTCTTGTCGACTATAGTCTAATAAAGATTAAGGTCATACAACTGAAATTAGTCTATATGTGTACGAAGTAGCAACCAGATAAATGTACAGTGTTAAAAATGCATATTCTAAAGTATATCCCCGGGTAGTACAAGAAAATGTAGCGTACTTACCTCGCTATAAAAGTTAGTCTGTACTGGTTTTGTCATCGTCCTCTGTGATTGTCTGTTCCTATATTTGACCTACTCTCTCTCCTCTGTGTATATTTTCCATAGAATGAACGTAAAGTTATTAAAATAAATCATTAATATTTACAAACTTAGAAGTACGCATCCTAATAGTTGTAAATTATAACCTTAAGTTATAGTGTGACAAATGTAAATATACTTACACCTATACGGTGTGTTGACGTTGAAGATCGCTGACCTGTTGATAAAGATGTGTTTTATATTTATTACCGGCATTGACAGGTAAAAACTTCGCTCCAAGGTTGTAGATACATATCAGGTATCAGGAAGAAGAATTTTTGTTGAATGAAAAAAAAAATCCTTTCACCTGAGCACTGCCTTTTTGTTAATTGTCTGGCAATCACGTGAGCTAATAATGTACCATTGCCAGACTTGTATAGTTTTGTTATATACATACATGTAATTAATGGGGATGGCCACCTTTTTGTTTTACTTTCGAAGTCGCATTTATATTCTCATTATGAGTCTTGATTGAATATAAATGCTTGTGCCGTTTTATTTCAATCTTGTCATGCCGACTACTGTCTCACCTTGCATAAGTGTTCATTACCGAATTCTATTTTAGTACTGTGCACGCAAATGGCCCGTATTGCATAATTATAGTCCTATATTCCACGTATAAAAGGAAAGTACATCATGTATGGTATTATATTACTTTAAAAAATTGATAGATCTCTGTGGATACTTCTAAAATGTTTTATGACCAGTAACTTACCCCCTCCCTCTGATTGGTCCGAGAATTTGGTTGTTTGCCACTTAGCTAGTTATCGTAGGTTCTTGGTAATACTTACATAACTTCCTGTCATAATTTTGGCAATGTCGTACACTGATTTAAAATGACACAATTTAAATATCTGCTGGGTTTCTTTATCTGTAAGGTCTCTGCTTTATGTAGCATGGTGACTTTTTTTAAAAGATAAAATTTGACTGGGAAAATTCCAAAGGGTAAAGTGCAGACATAGGCAACATTCATGCATTGTCAGGATGTAGAAATTAATATCACCAGGAAAACTAATGTTAAACAAACTTCATCATGTACAGTCAGTTTTTTTAATTAACAACATCCAACAAAAAATGCAATATATCTGATAATAATGGATAATTACTAAAAGTGTATGAAAGAAACGGTTTATACATACATGTATAATAAACAATACAATGAAATAAAATTAAAATACAATATCACTTATTATGATAGATAATGATTAAAAAGTTTATAAAAAAACTTACAACTATTCTTAAGTTAAATACTTGAAGTAGAGTATAAATCTAATGGAATGATACGTGATTTATTCTGATATAAACTTAATTGCTATGCGGTTGGACAACGCCTTTCTTTAAAAGCGGACCACCCTCGTGTAATAGTAACGACGGCCATACATTAAAAGACACAGTTTTTCCTTTCCCACTGTACAGTCTTAAATGCTCAGACACTCTCTGTCCTTCATGGGCCCAAAGTAAACACATAGGCGGATCCTGAATATTGAAAAGCCAGGACAATTGTATGCACAGGTTGGAGTATTTCATTAAATTGTCTGTGTGTAAATCAGGGTCAATCATTTTGGACAACTGCTTCCGTGTGAACAGCTGCAATGAATAAAAGTTTCAAAAATGACAAATATTAAAAATAAAAGTGTAAACTTTTCAACTTTTAAAAATTTCCTCTTAACTTACCATTTGTATTGAATGAATACTGAGCACACCGTGATCTTTCCTGAATTCTTTCAAACATCTTGAGGCTTCTTTTTGTAATTTTTTACTCACATTTAGCTACGAATAAATAAGAATCAAATTATCTTGAACTTGTATAATTTTAAGTGAAAAATTTTGATTGTGAAATTTTTATTAGCGAAATACATGTAAACATGAAATATGTATACGTACCTCATATTTTATTTTCAAATTTTAATAAGAATAAATTTTCAAGGATTCTTTTATCAAAGTTAGAAACACATTTTTTAATCCCTCACCCACTCTGGTACATTCCTCATGGGGAACAGAATCTTCTCCCACATTTCCTGGAACTGGTCCGAGGCCAGAGTCTTACAGTACTGGAATGCTGCCTGTAAAACAAAACATAGATTCAAATTTAATATATAGAATATAATTCTATGAAATTTATAATTCCTTTATGCTATAGCCAAAACGTAGAGAGCACGGAGATATTTGAAATAAAACTTCTGGGGTGATAATAAAAAGAACGTCTAGAATTTGGGTTCTCTCCTTGTTTTTCTTAAAATGGAGAGCGATCTAGTCTAGCATTTTTTTGCAAATGTAATGGAATATAGTTGAAACACGGGGCTAGGTTAGCAAGAAGACTCTACGTGTAATAAGCATTTAATTAAATTATAATATTGGCACACGAAGTTTATAAGCTGCCTTTTAAGTCTTTAGAAATGATATTATTTTACCTCTAAAATGTCTGCCAAAAGTTTGATATTCCCATCCTCGTGATTCTCTTTGGTCATGCGTAGTTCCTCTAGAACCATTGTCCACTCGTTGTCGTAAAGTTCCGAGAATCGCTCGGCGAGATTTGTAGGTCTGTTTGTGTCGCCGAGATTTGAAACTGTCGAATCTTGATCTTTATCTCTGTGCTTTTCTTCCTCCAATTTACTTAATCTGTGAAAATTCGATGCAACGTTAACTTAATCTATATGCATCTCTTAGAAACAAAGATGTAGAAATATGCTCTCAATGTATCCAAAATAGTTTTAGAATATGATTCTTTTTGTGACTATAGTAATAATTGGCTTCAGGTGCCGTACACGAAATGCATGTACATGTGTAGTTTTAGCAAAGCAAATGGAGTTTTGCTGAAAATGTGTACACGCATTCCTGTGTTATAATAAATGCCATTGGTATCTATCTTAATTTTTAGGCACGTTTCATGTTTATTCAAATGATATAAATACTACCTAATTTTTAATTCTTCGATTTCTTTTTGCTGTGATTCTATAAGACTTGGCTGGTTCTCATGTCGGGCTGTCTCAGCTGGTTTCTCGTCCTCACTGACGTATCTCTCGGTGTTCACTTCGTCCGTCTCTTCCTGTTTCTCTATCACAAAGGTTTTGGAGGCTCGAGTCAGACTGTCTAACTCTGTTGGTACATCCATAAGATCGTGTATTCCAGTGAATTTCTTACTCTCAACTGTTCTCTGGAAAGAAGGAATACTTGTAACTTTTTTAATGACATTTACGTAGTGCAAGATTTTATGTCTTTACTAGAAGATTATTGTATATAAAATAAATTGAAAGAGAGAAAGGTCTGATTATTAATCAGACCTTTCTCTCTTTCAATATTATTTTTATTCTCTGACTCAAATATAAATGCAATCACTTTTGATATTTGAAAGACATGATAATAAAGGACAATGGCTAAAAATATTGGGAAGACATGAGGTAACCAATAACCTGCTTGTGCACTCTGTACACGAGTGTATCATACTATCATATTATCATTCATGCCCAAAGTTCAAAGAGGGAACACGTTCAAAATTATATGAAATGAGATGAATGTTTACAAGACTTAACAAAACTTGGTTGAAAATTTTACTGCATTATATCTGAGGTAAAGAATGTCCTTCGAAATTCAACGAGAAGTTTTGGTGGAAGGGATTACTCTGGAAAATTTTTAAATGTTTCACTTAGCAGTGACTTGTCTAAGAATTCAAAACGATAGTGTTTGACTTAATATATGTAGAAACTTAACAATGATGATTGACTTACAGGAACTTGTAACTTGTCTAAAAATGAACATGATCGTGATTGACTTACAGGAACGGGTCTGTATCCTTTCTTCAGAGCTTTCATCAGAGTTGTGTAGTCTATCTGGGCGTCCACCAGAACCATCTCTAGTTTGTCCCAGTCCTTCTCCTCTGCTGCTTTAAGGGCCGTCCGGAGGGACTCTACCTACATTGTCATTATTTTATAAAGAAATCTGTGATTTACTCACATTAATGTTACAAATGTGATATATTCTCTTGTTTTTAAATAATCCAGCTGTGTGTATTGGTCACAGGTTTCATTTTTCAAAGAAAAAAAAAATCAAACATATCAACTTAAGAATCTTAAACTGCATTTTTTATACGTAGATTAGACTCTTAGTAATATGCTTTCATCTCCTTTATACTTTTATATTCAGTTTTCATACCTGTTATAGCCTTTTCTGTTCAAATTCAAGCTTACAGATTCATAATTGAATCCCAGTAATTAATTAGAATCGGATATAGAACATGAAATAATGTAATTTATCAATCTATATTGACCTACATTATCAGCCTGGGCCCCCACCACTCCTTTCATCAGGTTATTGAGATCCGCCCTGGCGTTCTGAATCATTTCCCGCGTTAGGAGGTGGTACTTCTTCTGGGCCACGAGCCCGACCACGCCCTGTAGCACCTTACCGAGCCCCGACATCTCCTACAGCATCCTCAGCTTCAAGTCCGCAAGAAAACGAAATCATTCTCAAAATAATCTACACATTTTTACAGAAAGCCTTGTATCAAGTCTATACTATCAATGGCTTTTTTCTCTCTATCATGGTTTTTCCCAATCTCATGGATGTTTACATAGAAAGTGGCGAATAAACAGTTTGTAAACAAATATATTTATCGATTTAATGTTTACTTACATATATGTGCTACTTCTTACCTTAAAGTGCGGACAAAGTCTTGACATGACCTAAAAATCAGCATTTGCGACTATACACAGTCCACGAAGATATTAAATTACATATCGGCGAAGATCTTTTTAATGGTACTACATTGTTTCCGATCGCTGATCATATTAGCATATGCTCGCCCTGATTAAGGTTTCTTGTTTAAGAATCCCACACTGTGCATTTAAATGCCTCCTGATTGACTTAATCAATACGAGATTATGAGGGGTTTGAAAACATTTCACAGTTCAATATTCATGTTTAGTTAAATCCTGGTTCCCCACTGATTTATCTGTTTGGATCGATAAAATTGATACTTTTTCCCTTTTAAATCTTAAACTTGTTGATTCCTTCAAAATGGAATTTCTGAGTTTCCACATAAACTAATTCCCGATGCCTGTACATTGCGAAAATTATTTATCAGTAATAAAATAGAATTTTATCTACATAGAGTCAATGATTTTTCTTTAAACTAAAGCAATAATGTGTAATATTATTTATGTGTTTGCATGTTTTATACCTTAATTAAAATTTAAAGAACAAGCAGTTTATATTAAAAGCGTAATAAAGTAAAAAAAAACAAAAACAACAACCATCCTGAGCAGTCTTTCGCCGATTAAAAGAGACATTGAAAGCACGATATACTAGTATCGTATAAATGAAATAGACTCGCTCTAAACCCTTCATTATGATACCTTTCTGAATTCGATTATTACCCCCGCCCACTCTAATTTCTTAGTTCTTATGATCTAGTGGCAAACACTATGAATGGTACCTAATTGTATACCAGTGATTACATAACAAGCCAAACAATTAATACGTAAAATATTAGATTTAATCAACATAAATATTTTACTTTAAAGACTGACGTGGTATGCCTACATGCAGCGATAAGTACGTTTTACTTACTATTTTTCTTCTTCTTCTTTTAAATATGAGTATTTTACCCTATCTTTGGACTTTCAGTAGGCGTGACTTTCTCGGCGCTACGTAATGGAGAATATTAGTAGATTCTCATTGGTTACGAAATTAATAACATAGGAACTTAAAATTGTTGTTGATAACGATCAGACGACTTATGCCCCACCTCTGTGCCGTGAGAGAACTTTTAATTGGCTATTTACTACACCAGTTGACATTCGGCCGCATTTCTATCATATGTATATTTCAACAGCGAAGGGAAGCTGTGTAAATTTCAGAAGCTAATTAGGTAACGTCGAGAATGCCACGCCTTACTGAAAGTCCACACTAAGCGTGTAATTCTTCTAAATAGATTAAATACAGTTAAAACGAACACTCTGTTCTTATTTAACTCATATTTTGTTGAACTGGCACTGTCATTTCTCTAAATGTAATAACATGCGAATTTTCAACTTAAAATTCCCATAAATATTTTTTACCACAATTTTTTTTCGTAACAGATTTTGCAAAAAATATTTTTATTTAACTTAAAACATTAACAAAACAGTACAACTTTGGTAGAGTACATGAATACACGTTGATGCGTTTGTAGACATTAATGTATTAAAGCTTATATCATGTACTTTTAAAGAGACAATTCACAATACAATTTATACAAGAATCATAGCGGTAAAAGTAAGGTAGATACAATATGTGCCTAAAGAGCGATATATCTTGTTTGCCTACATTGATACAAGTTCAAATGATAATCACATTGTCACGTGATTAATATTTTGTGAATTTTAAACTACATTGTAGTTTAATTCCATCACTTTTGCGTCGCTATAACAGATCCTTTTGACAAAACCTTTCCACCTTCTTGCATTAAAACTGCTGGCCATACGCACATGGATACGTACTTCCCACTCTCTGAATAAAACTCGTATTTGTCCCTTTCGACTCTGTCTCCCTCTGACGGCCAAACAAGAGCCATGGGCGGATCTTGGACGCACATTAACCATAATATTTCTATACATTTGTCTATATAGTCATTGAGCACACTAGGTAGTTTTGTATGGTCCCAACGAAAATCCTTCTCTATTGTTGTTTCTTTGAATTTCTACAAATGTAAATTTATAACATGATTACACAGGCACCTGACGTTACTTATTTTTCTTTAATAAAAAATATACACATACCTAATAATAAACAGTTTATCATTAGGTATATGTATATATTTTTTTTATTAAAGAAAAATAAGTACCACCAGGTGCCTGTGCATAACTAGTATTGAAAATAAAATCATAAAGACGTTGTTTAATTCTTTCCCGAAAAAGCAAATACTTGGATATGTGGTTACACAAACTACCTCGAAGATGTTTCAGATTACTTATAAGAAGTCATACGTTTCGTGTAGATTTTATTCGAGTTATCTACCTTGCAGAGCTGCGGTACAGACATTGTGGCCACCTCCTGACGTAACCCTTTGACGTATTTCATCCCTTTTGATGACAACATTAGTCTCTGCTCCCGTGTGGGGGAACTTTCCTGAGAAGAATAATTCATTTCATAGTATTTTATCATTGTCAAATCTGTTATCATATGTGATATCATACAACAAACAGCTGAATTATTAAAGTGACAATTTTGGAACTGTCAGATGTTGGAAAAAGATTTTCAATTATAAAGGACCTTTGGCAATAATCTTAAATTTTTATATCGAAGTAAAAATTCTGATTGGGAAAATGAATACTTTTGAAGAGTATACAATTTGTTTCTCACAAGGTAAGGAAGTTTGATTGGTTGTAGTAAAGGCACTGCAGATGTCGTGGTTAAATCCAAAAGCTGTCCGTAGGCGGCAGTTTGGCAGAATGGATATGCATACTAAAAAAAGAGCAAATATCAAAATTCACCGAAAGAGTTGCAATTGTTACCCTCTCGATTGGATCACAAAATATTTATACATTCAGAAATTGGAAATAAGAGCGCGTCAGAGATACATTTCCGGACAACAATTAATACTAGTATATTAAATGGTATTCGAAAAAGGATCGCCAACGTGCTCTTATTTCCAATTTCTGAATTTATCGTTGCACCTAAAATGCATCTGATGACATGGTTACATAAACATGTACAGATTTATCACAATACTTTTGAATAAAATTGGAGATAACTAACAGTAATCGAGCTCAAAGTCCGTTAAAACAATACAATTTAGGAACAGAGCAAACATGAACCTCTGAAGCTATCAGAGGTAGGATCAGGTGCCATGGAGTAGTGAGTATCCTCGGTCGACCGGTCAAGTCTGTCTTGTGCTCCTTGTTATAATCAGGCATGCGAAAAAAAATATATAGACAATACAGTGTGTAAATAATGGCTAAATAATAAAACTAAGTTTGAAAAACGTAAAGTCAGCATTCGACTTAAAAAGAAGTCAGAAGATAGACTGTACATATTTGCTGATAATGCCATTGTATCGACCATAGAACTTGCAAATTGTTGCCTATGACTGGGACTAATGATGTTCATTTACGAGTATCATCAACTTGTTTGTCAAAAGTCTCGTTTTAGAAACTGGATCTAACTCAATGTTTCAAGATAAAGATGAAAGATGTATACCTTAGAGATATTCATTATTCCTCAACACAGAACAACTTCTGATTAATACCGTATTCGTGTCCTGCTTTCCTGTATTCTAGATCTCTATACACTGTACCTACATGTATAACGTGCATGCTATTTACCCGTACTATCCTCATGAGGTTATACATGATTTCTGTGTCTTTGCCTTGATTCCATGTACTCATCTCATGAAATGCTCTTGCGTATTCCTTGTCTCGGAAGTCTCTGAATCGTTTGGTGATTTTGAGGGCTTTACTGAGTGCAGTATCATCCTCCTCTATCCCGCCTCCCAGTCTAAAAATAGTCAAATAACATGTGAATTCACTGAACTTTAAAGAAAAGCATTTTAGGTAAAATTAAAAAATGCAGCCTGGGTAAAACTTCTTTAATTTTTAATATAGCACAAATAATACAGCAAAAATTCAAAAGAATTCAAGTGTAAGAAATATATTTTTAGATATTGGGCACTCTACTTTCAACAATTGTCTACTGTGTTACATAATATTATTAAAGCATTTTATCTTAAAATACTCCTGGCACTGTGGAAAACTCGCTCTTCTTGTAATTAAGGTCAGACGACACGTTCCTAAAAATATATAATTTTTCCGAAGAATTTGTCATTGAAGAAAAGGGACTTAAACAAGATTCCTCACAAAGAAGTAGGGTACCTTACCAGGCATATGGACAAGATACCACTGGAAAATATTTCTTATATAACCCTTTTGGGTAATCTTCTGAATGGCCTATATCATCATTTTTGGTGTACTTATACTTAAAAACAGTTTGAAAACAATGTAGAAATCAGAAAAGAATGACGAATATGAATATTTTTTTTTATATAATACCAAGAGATACAAAACATATAAGTATTTGAGATATGTGTCATCTGACCTTAAGAGGGCAATGGGTAGTGGTGATGGCCATTTTCGGACTATTTAAACCTCATGGAAATTAGGAGCTTTGTATAATCTGATAGTAATATTGCATATTACAGTTGTATTTTCAAAAAAAAATATTTATTGCCAAAATATGGTATTCAAAATACTTAGATGGATCATTTTGGCGATTTTTGACCACCCTTTTAACCTCTTTATTGAATCCTTGAGTGGAGTAATTGTCCTTCTCTTGTGTTTCCAGAAACCCCGTTTTCAATAACAAGCCTGGGATAAAGTATTTTAAAGGTGGAACTGATCATATAATTTAGAACCTTCTCCTTTGCATACCTCTTAGTGAGCTGGTCTATCTTAGTCTGTTGGAACTCCACTGTTCTGAGAACATCTTCGTAGTCGCTGATAGAGGACCCCGTTACAGAGTGTCTGTGGGTCTCCCCACGGGAGGTTTTCTTGCCGTGCTTCACTCGGGGAGAAACCTCCATGATGGTCATTCTTTTTGGTAGGTACTTTTGCGGCAATTCCTAATGCAATAATAAGCACATTTAATATCATTTCCATACTTGCAAAGAGAACAATGAACAAAAGAATCAATCAATATCTTCGTGATAAACAAGTTTTTAAAAAGGACTAAATTGCCTGCTATGTAAAATATAAGGATTTATCAATTTTTTTTCATTATCTTTGCTTTTATTGCTACATTCTAAATAATTAAAAGGTGTATAAAAAAGGGGTATTTCGAAGACAAGTCTTGGTCCACAATGAGTGTGTGATTGGGGATGGCATGCATCACCTTAAGATGTGGTTACCTACTGATTAAACGAATACAGTAGCCTAACCATACTAGAAGCAAATATGATCACAGAACCAATATATAGTTCAGACACGAGAACAAGTTTGCACTAACCACTTTATTCTGCATGTTTAGTAGCATTTTCTCGGATCGTTTAAGTGAATTGTACTCGTATAAGGCTGTTCCGGACGTGTATTTATTGACGCTAGGCTCCCGGCAGGCGACCATCAGCACTTCCCTCAGTCTGCTCTTTGCACTGTTCTCTGGACCGTGACGAGGACTTTTCTGAGCTTCCATGATGCCAGAAATCAATACATCCTGGTACTAAGAAAATGAAGAAGGTACATGTACATCAAAGACAGTTGGGAGTGCAATTTTTAAAACAGTTAACGTTTAATTAAAGCAATTATCCAAATTTTCTCAACTTTTAGAACTTTCGTGGTTTTAAAACTTGCGTTAACTAATACACTTACATGTGTTAAAAATAAAGGTTATATGACACAAACAATTTTGACTGCACTTTAAATTTTACAGAGATTGCAGCTGTCAATAGATATCATTCTTACAGTGACAAGGTTTCTACATGTAGTTGTATTATATTGAGTAAGTTCACCGAGAACACCAAACTTACAACGAAGCTTATCAATGTCTTGCGATAACTATTTTTTTTCTATAATTGAATTTTCCCTCTATGCAAGTATCTGTGAAAGAAGTTTGGATGGAAGGTGTGCATGCTTTCAAGTATAACATTTATTTTTAGTTGAAAATTTAAAAAATATATATATATATCTTAAAACAATCTTGGTTTTACGAGTTACCTTTGAACACTTAGAAAGATAATAGCCATTAAACTTCAAGTTCCACCGCATTTACAACATGTTGACTTCAAACGACTGCCGATATATTAATGTATCATTAACTTATTTGTCAATAGCATATATTCAAAATATTGTTCATCTGCTCTTTTGTTTGGAGAGACATAAAACTCACATGTAGGCGAAAATGGCGTATTGCTACTCTAATAAGGGAATTTGACGACAGAAAAGTTGAAGTCATCACATTTATCAAATGTCTGGTTGTTATTTTGCCATCAATGATCTTCTCTAAAGAAACATCTAAGTATGATTGTCAAACTCTGTGACTGTTGTATTTCGAGATCACAGGAATACATCATATCAACGCGTTCGGTGAATTGTTTGGTCAGTTTGGGTGTCCAGGGCGTGTTTAAGTTTTTAAGTAGTTTTAAATCGACCTGGTTAAAACACACAGAGAAGGATTCATTGATTTCGTCCTTTATATTCTAGTATATTTCTTGTGTAAATATTTCTGAGACTGATTCGAAACTTAATGCATATAGTAATCACGTACACAAACGTTTGAGAAAAAAATAATCTATAGCTGTCATGCGCTCATTTTCTCATGCTTTTTAAGAATCACTGATTTATCTTTTAAATTTATAATCTATAAAATTTTTACAATAAAATGATGACTGGAAAGATCTTGATCAACTTTTGCACAGGTTTTGTACAAGGGTGTTCGAAAACTAAATTGATGTCTGTAAAGTTAAACATCAGGACTCTCTCTCTCTATCTCTCAGAATCTGTAATGTTCCGCTCTTTGCCCCAGTCCACCCAAGACATATGGAACCTGTACTTTGACATGTATAGTTCCTCCTCAGAAAAGTATAAATGGATAAAAAAAACTTTAAATGTACTCACCACGGGGGGATAACGTTCCTTAAGCAGCTGTTCAGCCTGTACCAAGCCGATATACTCTAGTTTAGCCGCTTCTAAATCCTCTGTTGACACGTATCCCTCCATCTCCTGTAGAGTTCTCTGAATGTTGCTGCGAGTGTGACTCTTCAAAGACGGTAAATTCAGATCGGGTTGGCGCTTTGACGCCATGGCAGCCGTTTTATGCATCGTTCATAGGCCACTGAATTTCTGAAATTTTGTACGGCAATGGTCAGTTATTGATTCACTGTCGTTGAGCAACTTCTAACTTAACTGCTAAAATTCTCTCTTATGTAAGACGATTAGAGTGGGCTTAAAGAGTTTTAATAAATATACAGAGAGAAATAGCGGAATCAATAGGAGAAATATTTACATTACTAAAACGTTACCTTTTTATCTGCACATTTGGCCAGCACGAAGAATTGAGAACATTTTAAGATAACGTCCATAGTCGCCAAAATTGAATTTAAAAATGTATGATTTAAAATTCAGCATTTATTCATTACATAAACCACATTTGTCGTCCCAGCACATGTAGCACTGGACTTTTAAAAGTATGAATTCTTTGTGGAAATTGATTAAATTTATTGACGCATGCATAATGCACCATGCATAAAAATAACTGACCCTAGAAAAAAAAACGGTGTAAGAAATGAAAGTGGCTTACCAAAGGGTAGGATGATCTGGATGTAATCCCTGGATTCAAATGGCGTGAGGATCAATATAGCATTGTAATCCAAACACTTAGATCAGATTGACATTCAATTCAGCATTGATTAAAAGTTAATGTACTGTGACGTAAATAGGCATATTTGAACGGAATCGTTTAAGAAATCAGCGAATCGTCCCTACCTGGGGGTCGACAGGTTGTGTTTTCTGATTTTTTCACCTGATACACGATATCCTTAAAATTTAAAAGGAATAATATACAAGAACACAGGACCAAGTGGACGTTCAAAAATTAGAAGAGTTAAGCAAGTTTGATAAGATCTCCATAAATATTTGTTCGACTCTTTTGTTTAGTTTAAATGAACTCGTGTGAAGAAAAGAAACACTTCAACACTCTCTTACTGGAGGCGTGCTGTGTCAGTGTGTTTCAAAAGAAACCTCTTGGTAACGAACAACAAGGTTAAATTAGTTATTGATAAATCACACAAAAATCGATCTACCTCATAAATGGCAAAGGATACAAATGTGCTTTGAATGAGAAACAAACTCATTAGTTGCACTGGCGGAGGTGACAAGAGAACGCCTTTTTCATTAAATATTGGAAGCTACCAAATATCGAATGTTTCTCATCTTGGTCACCATTCTATGGCTATATTTAACAGCTGATTAATTGTTTCTTGTAAAACATAACAGTACCATTAAAAAAGGTCTCCAAATAGCGTCTACAACCCTTGGTCTGATAATATCGAATCTGTCAATGTAATTATATAGCTGTCAAATGTAACATAGATGTCTCTGCATGGATATCAGCTAGGCAGTGTCTCACTCCAGGCGTACATACAGTCTTACCACATGCTTGGCTAATCAAATAAAGCTCTTGGAGTATATTAAAAGTAAATTGGTAGTTTAAAGAGTAAGAGCCACTAAGGGCCTTTTTTGGCCTTATGAATTTCTGGCCAAATATTAGAGAATTTTTATACCCCCCGCTTGAAAATCGGGAGAGTATGAAGTGATTGGGATGTCCGTCTGTCCGTTACGCTTGGAGGAACCCATCTCTTATCCGCAACTCCTCTTTACCACTTAAATGAAATTTAATGAGACTTTCACAGAATATTTGTTACATAGTTCCATTGTGCACCTCCTATTTAACTTTCTGATCCTACACATATATTTTGGCTTTCCTAGGGCAAAACATGGACACGACCATTCTTTCTATAATATTGAAGGATACCCATCTCTTATCTACAACTCCTTCTATACTACTCAATAGAATTTAAGGGGGCCGACTATAGTTTCCATTGCGCAATATTTCACGCATCATAGTAAAATGAAGCGTATTTACTGTTTCAATGCAACTTTTTTCGCTCAATTATCAAAATTAAACAAAATTAAGAAATTATAGGTATAAAAATGTAATTACAATTTGATATAACTGATTTTTTAACCGATTTTGCAATTGATAGGTAGGTTGACGTCATTGCAGTGTGTTTTTGACGTTATGATAATCTGTAGCTCTTAAAGAAAAGGGTAATAAAAATATTATTAAAGAAAAAGTAATAAACATACGCTCTTGAAATTTAAAACATAGAAATTTGAGAATATCTCCAATATTTTTATTGTGTTTTCATGTGAATCCATTGTGTACGTCATATTTTGTAATACTCTATAAAAATAGTAAAATTTGCTAATTTTTTGCATTTTGAGATGCCCCCTCTGGTAACAAGACGGTAGAATTTTGTGTTTCTTACATATATTGTATAATATAGTATTTCATCAAATATTGTAGTTTGAACAAAATGTCTATTGTAGTATTTGTATAATTTGCTTTAAAGTGCTAAAAATTGGCATTTTCCTGTATAATCCTATAGTAAATGTACCTGTATTTTGAGACGGTCCCTCAAAAATACCTGGACGGTAGATTTCCCCCAAACTTTGCGTGTAAACTGAAGTTAATGCAAGTTATATATGGTATAAAAATGAAGAGTTTCGCTATTGTAGTTTTCACACAATAAAACTATAGTCGGTCCCCTTAATGATATTTTCACAGATTTTTTTTATTACATAATGCCATTGTGCACCTCCTATTTTACTCTTTGTTCTGACACTTATTTCGGCTCTCCCAAAGCAAAACATGGACTTCGCCATTATAATGGAATTGGAGACGGGGGTATCATTAAGTGAGCTCATTGTTCACAGTACCTCGATATTTCATCTTCTCATCCAAAATTTGTATTTTTATAATGATAGATCTGTTTGTGAAGATCAATTAACAATTTTTAATTTTTAAAATAAAGACCGTGCATATATTTTAATTCGTTGCTGAAGGTAGTCAAATACGGCTAATCTCTGCAAAATTAAAAAAAACATTCCATTTTCACAACGCCAGTATTCTCAAAAGGAAATTTTGTTATAAGAAATAATAAGAGCACTAAGTTTCTACTTTAATTCAGAAACAATAAATTAAGCAGATGGTGATAGTCAATTTTTTGATTTATTTATACAATTTTTTTTTTCATAAAGTGAATGGGATTGGGCAGAAGGCAACACAATTTTTAGCCCTAACTAATATATGAGCATGATCATTTTATGCATCAGCCCTTTGGCTCAAAATCCACTTTGATGCAGAAATTGAAGACTAATTCACAAAAGATCTTCAAAGTCCGAGTGAAAAAATTACAATGACAAAAGATACTTACCAAGGTACATGAAATTATTCAAAAACCAGAGGCACTGCGAGAACTGAGTTTACTCAATGATATCATTGCTCATTATACCTCTCCTATAATTATAATGGCATAGTCTGTTTTGCTCTGAGAGACCCAATAAGTGTTTGAACAAAAAGTAAAATAGGAGGTGCATATAATGGCATTACGTAATAAAGAATCTGAAAGTATCACTACCCTAAAGGCGTAACAGACGGACGGACATCCCCATCACTATATACCCTTCCACTTTTCAAGCGTGGGTATAATAACTTTTACCTTTTAATACATGCATTTCTGTCATGACACCTAAAGCCAGATTTGAACGATACTTTTTGCGAATAAGCTGTTTAAAGAAGTCTTGAATATTGTTTTCGAAGAATTTTTTCTATTTGTAAAGCATGCAGGTATAAATAGAATTTAAAAAATAACTAGAGGTACTATGAGCACTGAGGTCACCAATAAATACCCCGCCTACCATGTAATTATCATGACAAAGTTCATGTTTTGCTCTGGTGGACCCGAAATAAGTTTTAACTCAAAAAATTAAATAGAAGGTGCATATTGGCATTATCTTATAAGAACTTGTGAAAGTATCATTAAATTTCATTCAGTGGGGGGGGGGGGGGGGGGTTACAGTGGATGGCAATCCCTAACAAGTTGTCGTTCGCTTCGCTACAAAATACTAAATGCCAAGATTCTTAACTACCTATTGCATAATAAATTATAAGTGTAAAACTGATATATTCTTGTTTAACAAGTTAAATAAAATTTCATTTATGAAAATTGTCAATAGTTTTTGTCAAAGTTTTTCAAAGTGTCAAAGTTTTCTGCGATAAATATCAAAAGTTTTTTTTCAAACAACTTGCTACATTAACAAATATATATAAATGTAAAGGTGTTAATCTTCTTGTGGACAATTTTAAACAATTTTTTTTAAAAAATCACGTTCCTCCGCTTACGTACTACTTTTTAGACGTTGACAGAGGTATAAGTGGAAGTATTTCAAAATGTCATCAAGTTTTCAGAGACCAAAGTTTTTCAAAATAGTATCAAAATGTCAAATAGAAGGTGCACAAAGGAACAATGCAACAAAGATTATATGATATTTCATTCAGTGGTATAAGAGGTTTCATAAAAAAAAAGTTTTTCAGAAGTGTCACGGATAGATCATTTTTAACTTGTCAAAATTTCTAAGTCCCCACTTTTCTTTTTTCAAAAAGTTCAAAACCTTAACATCAATGTACTTTTCTTACAATTTTGTCTTTCAAAATTTTGTCAAGGCCAAAAAAATTGTAAAAATGTGTAATTACTAACCGTGACGTTTTTGTTAAAAAGCATAAAGTTTTAAAGTTTTCGGGTGTATTCTTCAAGTTTTTTTTTTTACATGTGTTTATCTTTAATTGATTGCGAAAAACAGAAAAAAGTTTGATTAAAATGCGGTGTATGTCAACACAACAATGTGAGAGTGAAGTTAAATGTCCCAAAGTGGTTTTAACAAAGTTTGAAAGTTTTTGATAAAGTTTTTGGAAACAAGTAAATAACTTAGTTTCCTCTCCTTATATAGTTTTTCAAAGAAAAAAAAATAATACAATCGATACATGAATAAATAGATACAATATAATGTAATACAAATTTGGAGAATCTACATGTTTTCAATAAATTTTTTTAAGAGTTCTGTTTCCTTTCACAATATGACTTTATTTTATCAAAACCTTTTTTTCAGAAAAGTGTCAAATCCCTTTTCATTAGAAAGCTTTTCAAACAGTACAAAATCAAAGTTATAGAAAAATTTAGATAAAGTTTGTCAAAAGTGTACACATGTGAAAGAAATTGGTTTTGTGAATTAGTTTTTAAAAGTGTCAAAGTTTTTGTCAAATTTTTACTAAAAATATTAATTTTACAATCATTTAAGTAGTTTTCTGCCTATGTAAGTTTAACACATGCTGTGTTACAAAGTTTTACAGGCTTATGACTGTCTATTTTTTTGAACTTGTGATAAGACATCAATAAGGCACACCGTTTCGGGGAATAGGCAGTGAGGGGTCACCAATATTAGCTAATACGTAAGACCTGTATAAGGCATTCACTTGGTTATATAGAGAGAGGTTTTTCAGAAGTGTCAAGATGCAGCAGTTTTGGCAGGACCAGAGAAATTTTGCGGGAGTGTCGACCACAGTTAGTGGTTGTCCAATCAAGAAGAAACCCATTGTATTTTGTATATATTTGATTATAATCGTTTGGTCAACAAAAATTTTAACAGGTTAAGTGTGAGTGTAACGTTTTACAAAGTTTCACCGCCAAACAAAGGTGTTGCACGTTACATTATTTGGTGGCAATTTTTTCAAAGTGTCTAAGAAAGTGTCAGAGACTATAGAGCGGATGGAGAAGTTTTTCAAAGTGAGAAGTTAGCAACGATGGTAGTAAATCAAAGTTGGATATCAAAAGTGTCAGGAGATGTTATAAGTACGGCGCACGGCCTAAAGTTAGATTTCCAGATGAAGGCAAACCAACTACACACCAAATGCTGGGGTTAAACTATAGTTAACTAAACCACAGATTTTTTTGTTGCCAAGAGGGATAGGAGGAGTTGATGATAAGAGATAGGCATCAGTATTATAGAAAGATTAATTGGCAGTGACTTCATGTTTTGCTGGTCAGAGGGAAGACTAACCAAACAGATATGTATCGTGTTCAAAAAATCAGAATTGGAAGTTAGGTCAGGCCATTAGAGATTTAGATGGTATACGCCCAAAGCTGGTGACAAATGGCAAAGAATAGATGCCTAGGGAGACGTCACAAATTGTCAGGCGTTGCAAAAAAATTGTATATAGATGTAAAAAAAAGAATTGTAAATAGTTAATCATATGTTAGTCTGTGTTGAAAGAAATTGGTTTTGTGATTTATCTATAAAACAGAGCATGTTTTCCTAATTTCTTAAACACTAAAAAATATTAATTTTACAATCAAAGCCTATGTAGGAATGACTGCACTGAGGTAACACACTGTGTTGGAAATTTGACATTAGATACTTATTTTTTTGAACTTGTGATAAGACCTGAATAAGGCACATTGAGGAGCATGCACCAGCTAAATTAAACCTTTGATAAATGATTAGATAATGTAAAAAGAAAGGATGCAATTGACACATCAAACACATGTGTTATGAAACCCATTGTTGTATATATTTGATTATAATCGTATTGGTCAACAAAAAATTAACAGGTTGAAGGTGTAATTGTATTCACCACACAATTTCGGCCGCGTTGCACATTACACATGTAATAAGACATTATGTAACTTTTGTTAGCCAGGCACAGGCACTTTCAGTAAGCCCCCTTGTCATCCTGATCTCAACCCTTATTAACACGTATGGAAGAAGATACTGAATGAAATTCAGCAGCAGTAGGGATTTCACATGGAAAAACATTCAATAAAAGAATTTTTTCATGTGTAAACTCTTTGAGGAACGGTTGTCCTGTGAATGTAAATGGAGGATAATGCAGTATTTTTGTGAATTTTTAATTCTAGGGTGCCTTAACATTTCTGCATATTGTGTTAAAGTGCTTCAATAAAATAAAGTAAGTGAGAAAAAATTGTATTGCTATTTTTTATCCTGTATACTTATTAAATTATATTGTTAAAATAATTCAAAATAAAAGAGACTTGAGAGAGAGAGAGAGAGAGAGAGAGAGAGAGAGAGAGAGAGAGAGAGTGTGAAGAGAGAGAGAGTTAGAAACCCATCTTTACAAATCGAAGGTCCCAAATCAACACTTGTGGAGATTTCATTCGATATATACTTTATAGTTTGCTTCTTTCATTGAGGCGCATGGAACATCTAAATTAAATCTTTCATAAAGTATTAGATAATGTAAATAGAAAGGATGCAATTGACACATCTTATCATGGAATGCGAGTTGAGTTGGGAATTGTAATTTTTTCCGAAAGACGTCGCTACAGCCAGTCCATGAACTACTGAATGAAATTGGTAATATGTTCTATTAACTAATCAACATATATGGTGAATCAAGTTTTATATCTTGAAATTGAACAGAAGCGTATTTTTCAAATGATCTTCCACAAATTTAAGCAAACAGATGGTAACTCAAAAATGAGCACTTTCCCTTATATAGAACAGTTCATGTTAAAATGGCTCCACTACACCTTTAGACAACAAAGGACCATTTTCATATAACTGCAATATAGGCCATACAGTAAAGTGGACAATCTTTCCATGTTTTGAGTGTTCCTTCATATTGTCGTTTATTTTAAACCCTTCTTCGGGCCACACAAGTTTCATAGGCGGATCCTGAATAGAAAATAACCAGCATATTCGAACACAGCTCTCAACATAGTTAATTATTTCTTTAGATTTATCCCATCCTGTTTCTGCAAATGCACCACCGTGTGTATACCAAAAGATCTAAAATAAAATTTAAGAAAAGGAATCTAAAATTGTAATATTTGATAATTACCGCACATGTTTGGACAATTATCATGAATGCAAATAAATTTGAGTAACAGTGTAGTCAGTTTGTTCTATCAAAACTAAACATATTTACCTCCTGAACAGCTGGTACGGCGTACAAACCCGTCTCCTGTTGTATCTGATGGACTCTAGGCTGCAGTTTCTGTTCTGTGGTGTGGTTTACTCTAGCCTACGAAATATAACAGGGGTTTAAAACATAATGGAAGAAAAGATTATTCATAAATTATTGTTTTAAAGAGGCTGTCATACAGTGCAGACATGTAGTGACGTTTTTGAACAGGGGGTACCAATCAGGAAAAATTTTGACGCCCTACTTGCAATAGCTTCGACAAGCAAATGAAAATCGGAATTTGGAGAAATCTTATTCATGAATAATTTAAATGCACATATTTTCAGAATAATCTGCAGGAGGAATCTGGTCTGAGATCGCCTTTTAATCGAATATTCTTTTCCAACCAGAGTTATGTCGTTACATGTTTTCCTATCGCCGACTGCATCATCTCTGGGGAAATCGTCTACATTCATAAACTTCTTAAGGAAAATACTTTAAAAATGGTTACACTGTATACTATTTAGACAATTTACCCCTTTCAAGAAGTCAAAAATGAGACAAAAACGCTCACTTTAAAAATATGTATTTACTGTTTCTTTTTATTTTACTCACTTTCAAGGTCACTTACATTTGCTATTGCTGGTAATCCTAAGGGGTAAACTAGAGCCTCCGTTATTTTCCCTCTGTGTTTTCTGGCTTCTTCTCGACATAATTCATACGCCATCTGTATCAAAATTCAAAGTGGTTTAGTAACCAAATTCAGAGCAGATGTACTTTTATGTACATTTTTATGCCATCCCCTTTTTTTTTATCAAACACCCTCGCCTTAAATTTTAAAGCTCTACTATCTATTTCATTAAGCTTACTTCTAACATTTTGCCCAATCTTCTAATGATTTCCTCTTCGTTCCTTATTTGACCCATGCCTTTTAATGCTTTAAAAGCAATGGTCCACTCCCTGTGATAAAGATCTCTGAAGTACTCAGCTATTTTCTCTGGTGTATTCAGGTCGCTCAGCTCTATTTTAGGCCGATGGTGGTCTCTCCGTTTTTGGTCACCAACCATGGAAAAACTGAAATAGAATGCAATAATAAGACGGTCTCAATTATTTAATTGATAAAGAAAAATGTTATGGTTATGTGCAAGGGTATACACGCACTTTCTAAAGAACTCAATCCTAGATCTTTTTTATTCATTGATCATTTCATCTTTTTGAACAATATAGGTGGTGTCATTTAGTCTGACTTAAAAATTTCATTCTCATCCTTGAGACCTAATGGAAATTGGAAAGGGCCTTTTTTTTTAACTAAAGCATGGTCTCAGAACTCCTGTAATATTTCACACAGTAGCTAAGAATGATGCGTGGTTTGCACGGCGGCTTCAGAAATTATTTCACATACTTATTAAACACAATTCTCTGAATCTCCCTCTTTTAATATCAGATTTTACATCATGAAATATGAAGACAACGAACATTAATCAAGTTAAAAGTTAATTATTGGAATTAATTTCATGGACATACAGTAATGTGAATTTATTTTGTGCTCAACTTGATAGTTTATAATATTATACTTTTATGTAAATTAGTTGAATCTGATTGGTCGACAAACATATCTTAAAAAGCACTATTACCCGCTGAACAATGAAGTCACGCCCTCCAGCGTAGCAACAGTCAACATTGCTTGACGAATGGTTCTATTCCAAAAATTAGCGACTGCGCAGAATTAATGCGCGCACGGTTCATTCTTATATGTATTTGCATAAAACATTCAGTATAATGTAATAAATATAGCATATTTTATGGAAATCATAGAATATACGTATTTTGTGGCTTCCTCACAACCCAATATTTATATAGGTACTTCAACTCAGCTACATGCATAAGTGAGCTAGTTTAGAGGCTAACACGCGCAGGTAGTATTTTTCTATAATAGCATCCAGTTTTAGATTCTTTTAACCCAAGAAAAGTTCCAAGTATTGCATACATGTACCTTGTTTCACGATCTTCACTTGTGTTCAAATACTCTGAATTGGTAGACCCTGCAGGGGAATTCTTTAAAGGAAAAAAAATAAAAACCATAAAAGAATTATAAATAGTGTGATATTTCTACTTACTGAAATACTAGTAAACGTATTTAAGATATGTTATAGAATCGCTTTAAAATACATGTATATTCACAATACTTTGAAGTTTTGTGATGTTTTATATATTTTTGGATATGTGTATTTGATAGACTCTTGCCTGTACTTACACTGAATACAAACTCTGGAACAACCGATTGCCTTTGGAGGTAGTTTTGGTACTCTTTTAGAAGATTATGGAATTTTTCTTCGCCGTCTGCCTTGTACTTTAATATTTCTTGTAAATGTCTAGACTGAGCAGCATTCAAAAGCCTCATTATATCTCTCTGTAATTTGAAAAAAAAAACTTTATGTTGTACACTACATGTTTAAAAAAATTTCTATTTGAAATGTAACAATATGAATTTATCTAAGATTACTAGCATTATGTAAACAAATAACTTGAAATCAAATTAAAGGCAAATAAAATGAAACAAGGCATAAATGAAACAAAATGATTGGTATAATAAATATTTTCAAACATTAATTGAATAAATTAACTTCTGAGAAAATCATAATTTATGTTCATATAAGATTCACTTCCTTTTTACTTACCTGTGTGTCTGGGATCAGCATGGGCAGCGTCTGACATATAGCGTTAAGTTCTCTAATGGCTATTTCTACATCTGAAGTACTGAAGTCGCTCTCGTAATATTTACATTGATGCAGTTTATCAAAAACTTTCTTCAAATACGCGTATTTGTCAGACATCTTTATCTCTCTTCTCCTGTAACCACTTTTTCTATAAAAAGCGAATAAAAATTCAACTTAATTGACTACATTAACGATAGATTTTAACTGATTTGCAGTGTTTACCTTCGGACAATTCCTGTACAGAAACATTGAGTGCATGGTCTTGTTATCAATATAATCAATTACTTTAAATGTTCAAATAGCTGACAATGTAAAACATTGAATTGATTATATATATTTAATTTTAGTAATGTTTGTAATTAAGAAATTTTTAACTGAATATTTTATTATTTTTCTTTTATCCCATATTTTGATAAAAACGCCTTTTTAAATATAACCAATCAGCGATAAGTACTTACCTACAAGACCAAATTTTATCACCTGAAAAAGATCTTGAACTAAAAAAAAAAAAACTGAAACAAAGCATAACAGGTTTAGTGAGGTTATACGCTACCTCAGTCTTTTAAAATACCGCACTTTACTGGAGATTTGACGTCAGTTTACACAGTGTATGGACAACAACTCCTGTCAGAGTTGATAATTTTAAGCGATTTGTTTTAATTCCTTAAAAAAAGTAAAATTAATTTTACAGTTATCTGAAAGCTTTTGTTAACTTTAAGAAAAAATATATATATTAAGTATGTTGTAAAATGATTTTATTATAAAGGGGAAAAACCTGTTGTTCTTTTATATTTTCCCTGTTTTGGCCCCAGTTCGATCGGAAATATTTCAAAGACCATTCTTTTATATACAATACACTACTGCCTAACAAACTGATCTCTTCAACTATCAAAAAGATCATTTTGTCTGTATAAAGATAAGGAGTTGTAAAGATTTTTTAAAAAAATCAATACTGAAATGTAAATGCAAATGTTTGATGCAGTCAAAGCAGATATAGTCCTTATATAAAAACTTGTATAGCACTCTAAGCTAGTCATTTTTAGCAATAACATGGTAGATTTTTATTACGACTTTAATTTTTTTAAATGTTATTGCATCTACGTGTCTGCCCAAACAACTTGCTTTTAAACAATCTGATATTACAGCATTTTTACGAAGTACAACATTAGATAAAATTAGGCCCCTATATTGAAAAAAAAAATGATAAAAACTAGTTTCACCTTATTCCTAAGAAATGTCCTAATAATAAAGTATGATATAGCTTTTTTAAAGTAATAGAATAAGGTTTTTTCGATTAAAAAAAATGATTAATTAAGTAGAACAGCAATTCAATTTAATTTTTGTAATATGAATTAAATCTTCAAAAATGCAATTATAATTTTACATGCAGTTAGTGAAATTTTACATTTTTGGAAAGTATAAGTCAATTGGAATCATTATAGTAAATTATAAGTTTTCTATACGTATATACAAAATATAAAGGAACATGTTAGAAGGCACATGTAACTTATCAAATAGAAAAATGACCATTTGCAGCAGGAGAAATGCTCAACGTATGTTAGAGAAATCAATTTAAATTGGCAGAAGCATTCATGGTCCCCAAAGCCAGCAATCAAGTTACTTGAATCTGTTGCGTTATTATAAATGAGTGAAAAATGTATTGGGGCATAAATTCCTTGCTTTTTTCATGCAATATTTGTTATAATTCATATGCTTTGTCTATTTATTTCAGAATACAGAATTAAATATGAATAGTACTTACATGTAATAACTTGGAAAAAAAAAATATCAACTGCCTCTGAGACGTTTAAACGCTCATTTCATAGACTACACTGAAAATCGATCTATTTATCCACAAAAAATATAACGAAATATAATTCATAGATATGCTTTTAATACAATTTATCTTTTCAACTTTAGCTACAAAATAAGTTGTAGTGGGTGTATGCCAATATCTATTTCAGGTACTAGTATTTATTTAGTATTTTCCGTCTCACTTACTACAGCATATCAGTATTCTTGATCATAGTTTCTAAGAAATATAGTTTTAGGTGTTTCCTTCATTTTTTTTCCCAACGTTAACTCAGAGCAGAAACAAAAAAATCAGCAAACTTTTAAATTGTGATCACTCAATGTGAAAATAAATTCCTTTTCAAATCATTGAAAATTGATCAGCTGGTTATCAGACTGGTTGGACGACACCTTTGGACATCAGAGGACCATTTCTATGTAAATATAATGTTGGCCACACGACGTAACTGATTACAGTTCCCCGTTTGGTAAATTCTTTGACATCCTCATCAATTTTACTCTGTTCTTTTGGCCACCATAACTGCATAGCAGGATCTTGAATGGCAAATAGCCAGCAAATTTGTACACAGCTTTTGATGTAAGTCATTATTTCCCGTGATTCGTCCCAGTCGTTCATTTTAATTTCTTTTTCATGGTGTTGCTGAAACATCTGAAAATCAAAAATGAAATGATTTTTTTTTAATCATAAAGGAGAATTGTACAGGTAATGTGAGCACTAAGCTCACTAAATGATACCTCCGCCTAACATATGATTATAGTTACAAAGTCCATGTTTTGCTCTGGGTGACCCTGACTAAGTGTCAGATCTAAAAGTAAAATAAGAGGTGCATAATGGCATTATCATGTAATAAAGAATCTATCAAAGTATCATCAAATTTTATGTGATTTAGGATGAGTGGCGGAGAGATTTAAGAGATGGGTACCCTTTTCAATATTATAGAAAGAATGACAGTGTCCATGTTGTGCTATGGGAAACCCACAATATGTGTCCGACCCACAAGTAAAATAGGAGGCGCACAATGGCACTATGTACAATGTACATGTAACAAAGATACTTTGAAAGTTTCATTAAATTTCATTCAGTGATATGAGAGGAGTTGCGGATAAGAGGTGGGTACCCCAAAGCGTAACAGACGGACATGCAGACGTCCAGACATCCCGATCACTATATACCCTCCCAGTTTTCAAGCAGGAGAGGGTGGTTATATTTACATATCATTTCTGAAAAATTAAAAAACTAAATTTACTTTTACCAATTAAAATCTTTTTATAATGTGTATACCTCCTGTATGGCAGGGATGGCGTAGACGCCCGTTTCTCTTTGTATCTGACGGACTTTGGGGCGCAGTTTTTCCTCAACATTTGGCTCTACACTGGCCTACAATATTGGAAGAGATGTGTATATGGAATCTCTTAACCATTGATCATAATGGCTTTATCATTGACAATGCAATTTTTGACTCGAATATGCACATGAGAATCATATTTCTTTTACTGAATGTTCATATTGCACTGCTCTTACATTTAGTGTTAGATGAATTCCAACGGGATATACTAATGTTTCTCGGATTTTTTCTCTGTGTTTTCTTGCTTCTTCAAGGCAAAACTCATAAGCCATCTGTAGCAAAAAAAAATTGAATTAATATTCAAAAATATCCCATTGTTAGCCAAGTATTCAAAAGAGTGCATGTTATCATAACACGAAAAATAATTCCACTCTATAATTATATAAATACACTAAAAAATGGTAGTTTTTTCTGGATCTTATCCAAGTGCGCTCTTAAGAACACCGTATCTGGCCTTTCCCCCTTCTCTTAATGATTCTGAATCCTTCAATATTTTGAATTCTTAGGTTTTACATCTAATCTTATGGTATCATAATTCGTGATCTGTAATATTTATTTATCATAAATATATTATATATCTGACTGACCTTTAACATTTTACCAAGTTTCTTGACAATATCTTCTTCGTTTCTAAGCTGCCATTTTTTGTGTAGTACGTCATAAGCATTGGTCCACTCGTTGTCGTAAAGTTCCTTAAAGTACTCCGCTAGTTTAGTTGGTCTGTTAATATCACTGAGGTCCGCTATAGAGGGATTGTTGCTTCTCAGTTTCTCCCCAGCAACCTTGCTTAATCTGTTAATATAATAATTCTATAGGTTTTCGCTTCGTTCCTCAAGTGAAAACGGGTCAAAACAGACAGGTCAAAATCAATAGTTTTCTTTCAAAATAGTCATAATTTTTCAAATTTTAGCCCATCTGAACTGAGGGCTCAAGTGAGTTTTTCTTGAGCATATTTTTTCTGGCATCCGTTCGTCAGTCCATTCAAGTTCGTTAAATAAAAGAATCATGCCTCAAAGGGCACTGAACAATAAAGTTAAATCATTCAGATAAAAATTAGCAAAAATTTCACTCCATATGCAACTTTTACAAACCCTCTTTTCATGAACCCGGGATTGAGGTGGGACCAAAATGGCCGATCAAAGTTCAACATATTAGTAAATAAATCTTCTAATGAACAGCTTAGCCTTGATTAATCACATGTGTACTTATACGGAAGCATTCTCAAGTAGTGTAGATTCAACTTAATTCAAATTATCCCCTCAGGGGCAGGGTGAAGCCCTTTTCAAAGTTTTACATAGAAAGATAAATATGGAAAATTGGAAATACATGTATCATACAAAAACTCAGGAACAGCAAAGACAGGAAAAATCATATTGATGTGGATGAAAGTTATGTAGTTTCAAGTCTGTTCAAATCATGACCCCTAGGTATAGGGCAAAAATATCATTATCAAAGTTTTTGCCTTGTTGTAAATTTTGAATTTACCGGGTGGCAGTAAAAACAAAATTTACATTGCCATCTGGTAGTACAATTTTTATCCTTGGACTTTAAGTAACTTAAGGCGTGGTATTTTCGACGTAACATAATCAGTGTATGAAATTTACACAGCCTTTCATTTACTGTTGAAATATACATGGGAAAGCAATACGTCTCAGTAATGAAACGCTGTCATTGGATCATTGCTACACTAGTTGACATTCGCCCGAATTTCTATTCCATGTATATTTCAACAGTGAACGAAAGGCTGTGTAAAGAGATGGGGCTTAATGTTATGAATTTCTTAACCCATGATAATTTGAGAGACGTTAATTATGTAGCTTCGAGAATGCCATGTCTCACTGAAAGTCCAAGGTTGACAAAGAATTGTACTAAATTTAAAATTTATAACATGACATGTTTCATATTAGGAATAAATAGGAAAAATCTTTAAAAACCTTTCACTTAGGAGCCATTGGGCCGGAAGAATTACCTGTTTTTAAGTTCATTAATTTCCATGTCCTTACGAGCCATTTCGTTACTAGTTTTTGAAGTCATTGATTTTGCAGATCCTTTATGTTCCGGATTTGGTCCAATTTCTGAGGGTTTGGCACTTCCTCTATGTGAACCCTGTGTGTAAGAAACTCGGGTGTTATTCAATTTATACCTGACACAGCACTTAAATTATATACCTGTTATAGTACTTTGATTTACTAGTACTATTATTGGAATGTTAATGTTAAAACTACAACAGGTATAAATACAAAATTGTTTAGCAATTATATTCTGTTAAACAAAAGTGAATTTTGTTATCTGAAAATGAAATTCGCTTCGCTTTTATTTTATTTACTCACGTGCACACTTCCATTTGAGGGTCTGGCTCTTGATTCCAAAGACTGTTCAAAATCTTTTACAACCGTTAAATATCTGGGCATGATTTCATGTTGCTTCTTAAACCTAATTAATTCTTGTGGTTTTCTTGATTCTGCCAAATCAAGAAATTTGAGCAAATCTACCTGAAAAGAAAACCATCGACTTGAATATCATTGTGTATATGTATAAAACTAATTTCTAGTACTTTTATACTATATTTAATTCTTACCTGAACAAAGGCAGGTACAGTCGTCAGGGCCTGACATATGGCCGCCAATTCTCTCTTTGCGTACTCTACATCAGAATTGCTGAAATCATTTTCGTAATATTGTCTGTTTTCTATGCATTCCACAACTTTTTTCAAATGACGATATCCGTCACCCATTCCTTCTCCTTCAGAAGCTAAAACAATAAATAAATAAATAAATAAGTCAGAATACGTAAAACAGACAGGAATCACTCCTTGTCAATATTTAACATGAATGAGCATTTTTCCATATTTAACTTACAGCTGTATTATTAACACAGATTGTTATTTTAATATGCTGCTATTTAAATCAATATTTTAAGGTATTCATCTGCTAATCTCTATATTGATTTTATCATATCTGAGAACAAAGAAAACATCTTTTGGAGATATAAATATCTGTATTGAGTTATGAAGACATAAAGCTTTGTATTTAAAGCTACCCAAAGTAGCTATTTTTACCTACTTTCTTATGACCAAATGCAGGAACGGCGCAACAGTGTCACACTGATAATCAATATGAGAAAAAATTTGCCAAAAAAAAACTTTATAGATCAATTTTTAAAACCAAAATGCCTGACAGGTATACTATATTTCTCCTAACGCAAAAGGATTTCTTTTTAACATTTTGCTTCCATACAATCTTTTTTAAAAAAAATCCCTGTATCAGAGTACTTTATGCGTTTCAATTGTTCAATATTTTTACAATTGCAAATATGCATTTTAATTCAGCATTTATTATACTAATGATAACCAGGCTAAGCTCTTCTTACCTGTGTTCAGATTCTACTTCCTGTTTCGTTTTCACGGGATTTTCATGACAACGGCAAACAAAAATCAAGAGGCTCCTAAAGGGGTTTATCCACAAATGAGGATAAAATGGTAAATATTAATTTGATAAATTCACTTTCAGCTATGGACGCATTACGGCTGCTAAAACACAATAATAAACATTTGAACAGTCAATGCTTTTAAACGTTCACCTAAATTTAAATCGATCGATACAAATATTGATGTAGAATCACTGGATAGAACGCTACATTTGAAGTGACGGTAATGTGGCATTGGGTGGCAGCCCCGATGTGACAAAAGTCATACGCAAATGCATGTGTTGTGTACTGAGAGGTTAATACTTAAGTAAACTAATCTACACATGTATACATGAAGCGTTTCTTGATGATGACAGCTTTTCTCCGACTTCTATACATGTGTATATGAAAGAATCGATCTGTCTGAATACTTTCATGTAAATTATAATAAATAAAAGCCATTCATGATCATCATTTGATTTTTTCGAAACAGAATTAAAGTTTGAACTAAATCTAGAATCAGATGTACATGTACCTAAATTTGATTTGTTTATGCTAACTGCACTGCATATGCTTTATTTTTTCCATTAATAAAATATATAATAAGATACAAAGATTTTGTGCAAAGGGAATGAATCCCAAAAAGGAATTAGAGGAATATCTTTAACGGTTACAGTTACATGTAGATCACTAGTTGTAAATATATTTTTGTATGGTTTTTTTCTTTTGCATTTCACGAGGTAATTATTTAATTATTATTACAAAAATATCTTTCAAAGATTTTAATTAAGAATATTCAAATTTTAGACTATTTAATATACTCACAACGAATTTTTAAAAATACATAAAAATGAATCAAATTCATTAAAACAGACCACCATTTTATTGTTTCTTCAAGACAGCATGGTTTATACAATTTTTAAAGTATACCAGCATAATTAAAGCAAATATGTGCTGGGATAAACAAGTTTAAATTTACATCCTTATTAGTATCTAAAATTACAAAGCATGAAACTACACGTGAACAACATTTTGATGAAAAATTTGATGAGAAATGAACAAAAGGGGAGGGGAAGAGGTTGAGGCCCCTAAATTTTTTTACACGATAATAGTTATTGCAAATATTTAATTCTTACTCCAAATGCTTACATACAAGAGGTAGAAAAAGTATCACAGTAAGTATAAAGGAACATCTCAAAATCCATTACAGTCCTTTGGCACAAAAACGTGAAAAAAATCTGTTCAAAACCAGGTGCATAGTATACTAGTATATCTGTGTGATCTCAAAGTCCAAAATTAAACATAAAATCAAGTTCTTGACGTATAATACAGTTACTTTTACCAATACATCTGTATGGTGTGTAATTCACCTTTTCATCATATGTCTAACTGTTTTATCTGTACATTGCACGTAAGCTTACTTTTACAATAAATTTTGCATTTGTGAAGATATAAAATTACGCAAATGAGGTAAATATTTGATTTAAAGTCGCGACAAAAGCATCTCGTTTTCTGAGATGAAGAGAAATCAATGCCTTGCATGTTTTGAAATCACATACGTATTCAGTGCAAAACATATGTCTAAACTTTCCGTTCAAAGGGATAAACGTATCCTTTGCTAACGATTGGTCCTCTATTGTGTAAAAATAAAACAGGCCATACCGATACTTTAACAATGCTACCATTAGTTTTATATAACTTGTAATAGTCTTTATTAATTGCCTCCCCTTCTGTAGCCCACGTGATCACCATAGGCGGATCCTGTATGCACATTAACCACGTGATCTCTATACAGGCGTCAATGTAAGCTAGGATTGGTTTTGGAAGTTGGCGTGGCTCCAGCTGAAAGTTCTGTCTCAGAATTTGTTTTTTGAAGACCTAAGTAAAATTATACTAGGATATCTTACTTTGATTTCACTGGATATCAATTTATATTGCAGTTGCTTATAGGCAATAAGAAATACTAGGTTAACTAAAGGCTGGTGAATTTATTTTGATGCTTAGTACACTATCATTTAAAGAGTGCAGACCAAAAATTACCTCCTGTAACTCTGGAACAGATTTGACACCTGCTGCCTTTCTGAATTCTTTAGAATGTCTGTTACAAACTGATCGCAGCAGTTTTCCTTGACTTTCGTCAAGACGCACATCTACTGAACCAATTGACGAAGAAAAATTGGTCTAAAATGTAATTGTAACATATATACTAAACATTTTTCAGTCAAATATTATTTTCAGAGAAAAATAAATGCACTTTTCTTAGAAATGTAAATGATTTACTGTTCACAAGGAAATTACTTTGCTTACCGAATCGGACATAGAATGTCCATGGAAAGACGAGGGATGTAGAATGTGTTTCTCCATTGACAGCGACAAGTTAGACAATTGAGTTTCAGAGGACTTTTTGCAGAAGTCATATGCATACTGAAATATTTTCAATCAGAAACTAATTTTCTTTTGAAATTCATATAAAATATTCGTAAAATTTAAGCTATGTGAACAATTTTAAAAATAGGAAAACTGCTCTTATCATTTAACTAATTACATGTAAAGAAAAATATTCAAAAAATATATCTTAGATTCTAGATCTATGAAACATTTCCTTTTCGGTCTGTAGAGGAATGTATACAGAGTGGATATGTTTCTGTCGTACTACCTACTCTGAGTATTCTCAGTAGAACTCTCAGACAATTAATTCTCCTCAGTGTACTTAAGCTGAGTGTGGTTTAGTTCCTGATATATTACCTACCCTGAGTATCCTCAGTAGAACTCTCAGACACTCCTCCTCTGTGTACTTGAGCTGAGTCTGGTTTAGTTCCTGATATATTACCTACCCTGAGTATTCTCAGTAGAACTCTCAGACAGTCCTCCTCATTGTACTTGAGCTGAGTGTGGAAGGCGTCATACGCATCAGACCATTCCTCATCATATAGGCTTCCCAACTTCTCCCCGATTTTTGTCGGTCTGTTCTTGTCACTCAAGTCCGCCATGTTAGGATTACCAGCTAGCAACTGTTTGCTTGCAAAACTGCTTAATCTGTAAAACATTCTTTTGCACTGTACTGGTAATCAAATTAATCATTATGGAAAAAACGGCCTTCCAACATCTCTGCCTTTGGTTTGTGTCAAATCTTATTATCTTTAACATTCATTTTACAAATTGACCTGTAAATAATATAATTCTGTGATTGGTTCCTTCTCGCCCATGCAGACACTAGCGTGCAGCACGTTTACACATACCTGGTTGTGAGTTCCTCTATCTGCATTTCTTGCTGTTTAATTCTTTTGTGAAGACGATCGTACTCTTCTTTTGAAATGAAGATGGACCCTGAGCTATGCTGACTATTGTAAGCCTGAGAAGAAGGAGGTCTGGAAGCAGAGATGAGGCTTCTATTTAAATGATTACTAGCATCTTTGGTTGACCCTCTTTTAATGCTGGAATTGAAGTCAGGTTTGTTCGCCGAAGTATTGTCGGCCTTGTATAGAGGTTTAGTTGTGGTGTATTCTGGGTTTATGGCTTTCATTGGTCCATCTTTATGTGGGGTGTGGTGGTGGTGGTGTGAAGTTGGTGTTTGTGGTTTACGTTTAGCAAGAAGAGATCCACCCAGGTTTTGTTTTATTTGTGGTTCTCTTGGAGAGCCATCGGGCTGAAGTTTTAAAAAATTAAAAAGAGAAAAATGATTATTAATCTGTCAATTAAAATATACAAAAAGATCTTTAGTTTCTGTCATTCATTTTGAAATATCCATTTTTTATGACTCACAGAGAGTTTCTTTATTTCCTCACAAGCTCTTGCAGATCGTTGTAAGGCGTTCAATTCTCTCAGAGCATCATTAGAAAGGCTTTTGACAGAGGTTTCTTCAGTTGATCTCTGTATGATATAATACAGTTTTGGTCCGTACATTTGATCGACGTGAGAAGACGCTCTTGGCTGACATTCGGAAGTTTTCTGAAACTAAACATCTGCATTTAACTTAACTATTATCCAACATTAAATTATTTAAATTACTTATCCTAAAAAAAATTGCTGCCCGGTAACTCATGAATGTCAGAAAATGCACATTGTAGGTCAGATCAAGAGTCCTAAGAAAGTCTGCTATTACATATATGCTCCTTACGTGTATAATTTCTATATAAGCAGTTTGGTCTAAATTAGAACACACATATCGATTTTACTTTGAAATTGTTGATCTCATAACTTAGACTAGGAAGCCGACAACGGGTTTTTTTTATTTAAAAAAAAAAAAAACTACATTTAATTATTGAGTACTGAAATGTGGATTAAATTGTTCCTAGATGTTTATTTTTTTAAGTGAACTAATTGTTATTATTATACTTTCATGTTAAATACTAAAATCTGATTGGCTTAGATGCAGTTAACAATCCGTTCGATTACCCTGAGCCTTAGCAACACACGTGGCAACGGGTAACACAACGGTAATGCCAAATGCGTGGAAATTATGCGCGTACGGTTCAAATGATTACTCAAAACGTCAGTTGCGCGTTTGAAAGAACCGGAATTAACTTGACGTCAATAAAAGCTTGCGTCCGATATAGCTTACTTGAAAACAACAAACGACAGACGATACATGCTTGCGGGTGTAGGAAACATGCTTGCGAACCAGAAATAACGAAATTTTATATGATAAATGACTCTAATTCGAGTATCAAACAAACAATAAGGAGATTAGTGAACTGGTGAGTGTAAAAGCTTTCTATACATGAACGTAAAGACGATCGACGTTTTTTTTTTTTTTTTGCTGACGCCGTAAATAAGACATTCAGTATAATAAAATAAATGGTGCCTGTTTTGTAGGGTAACATTTGAAATTGACACCCCAAGGAAAACCATTGTCAACCGACGCGTCAGCTACAAAACAGGCACCATTTATATACAGTGAGGTTGCCAATAACGAATCGCACCCGTTAACGAATCACTTTCAGATGAAAATTCTGTATTTTTTTAATCAAAGTCCAATACTTAGCTTAACCTACCCTGTCATGCTGAATTATTCTTGCTTTTATCATTTATCATAAAATTATTAAATCCAACTCGTTCAATGTCCTAATTTTTAAATAAACATGAACAAGCTTTTTTGTGACGCTGACCAGAAGCGTACATGCAAGCAGACTACTTTCACTTTTCGGTACCGCTCCAATGTGAATCGTGCATTCTAGGTAAACAAATTTGGTGCAGATGTTTAATAAAATTATGTGTCTAAAAGCACTGAAAGCGTCATACAATTTCTAAATCAGAAATTAATAGTATTCGCTTTAAAGTTGGGGGGTTTTAGGTTTCCAATAACGAATCGCTGTTTTAAGAAATATGAGATGCAGGGATCCTGTCCAAATTATATTTTTCGTATGCGGTTTTTTGCACACCAGTTACGATAAAAAAAACAACAACGGAAGATGTCTACCAAAAGCGTACAATAAAGGTGGTTAAAATACACATAAACAAAATCAGCAGCCAAAATCAGTAAGATTCTCAGTGGATTTGAGAATGTCTCCCGGTGGTATATATGCATGTAGTAAGCTACTGTGAAGACATCGACGATAGCGAAATAAAGATCGTCATGATTACCGAACAAAATTAAGATTTAGAAATTTTATTTATTTATCCCTTTGCAATTTAAACTTCCCTACTAAATCATTATTTCCAACAATACCCCGTTTGCAGTTTTCCTATTCCCTAAAAAATTATTTCCAGTAATCAATTTTTATTTCTTGTCATGATCAAGATCAAGCTCGTATAATATAAAATGTATATTGCTAACAATACTTTTTCAATTCAACATCAAGCTAAATAAATTATAAACAGAGTATTATGATACCCCCCCCCCTTTCAACATATACTAGTTAGTAAACATTTGATTTAAATTACACATTGAGAAAATGATATGCAGACTGCAGCCTTTTGCCTATATGGAATATATGCCACCACTGTCTTCACGTAAAAGGGAGAAAGAGCACCATGAAAGCAGCTAGAGGAGAATGAGCTGTCTTATTCATTTCTATAGAGACGATGGACAGTTGAAGTAGACCCATGTAAAGTGAAAGGACAACCTCCAGTATAAATCGGAATATTGGTATTTAGTCTACTGTGGATGTTGGAATGGAGAAATCCAGCAAATGAGTCCCAACATCATTATTTGTAAAGTTGTCTCTGCTCATCGGAGGAAATTTAGGTGTTGGGTCTCGACATTTTGAAAATATAATTGTTCCTTTCAGCTTTAGGTATCTCTGAAGCCAGGCTCGTAAGAAGCAATTTCAGTTGGTAGGGGAGGGGTGCAGAGCCATACATATGCAGTTGAGGAGGCACTATCAACCACCAAAATTCCTTGACAATTAATTAATCAAGCATAAAAAGGTCATCTGAGTTTTTTTTTTTTTTTTTTTTTGAGGGGGGCACAATCACATATCTAGCGATATATTTTCTATCTCAATAGCGACAAAATTATGAGGAGGGGGTGTGGTAGCTCAATGAGTACAATTTTTGAATAAAAAATTAATTCTTCGGCTGTTTGCAGTCCATCACTTATAAGTTTTTACGTCCTCTTATATCAACTAGTCATTTGTTTTCCCTATGATTTCATTGTTGTTGTTTTTACATTAATTGTCGGATGCAAACAACTCAAAAAATACCTAGCTTTTCTACTTTTTTGGGGGGTGGGTGGGGTTTGAAATATTTTAAGGCATAGTAAAACGTTACGTAAGAAGGGTATTTTTAAATTTACAGTACACGGTCCTGAACCAGAATAATCAGCTCTATGTCACGTGATTCGGTAATGGAGAAAATGATCCGGTAAAGGAGAAAACATCATTAATACAAGTACAGCGATAATTTTTTATTTAATCAGTGGTTATTGGGGAAAATATATATGATGTTATAAGTAAAACATAGTACCACCAAACAATGTTGTAAAATGAATTTAACTCAAACTCAGGTACGAAATATCCAAGCAAATTTACTAAGTGATTCGATAACGGCAACCTCACTGTAATGTTTCATTTTTTAAATATACAAACTCTTTTTGAATCTAATTGTTTAAGTTTCTTTTCCACTTCCATCAGTTCTATATATTCCATTTTGGCCATGATAATCATGCTCTGCTCGACATATGCTCCCATCTTAGCCAGCAGCCTCTCTAGGTTGGCCCTGTAATGTTCCTCCAGTCCTGGGGGCTTGATGTCTACTGTTCCTTGGCCGAAAACTTTCCCGAGGGATCCATGCTTTGGTTGCCGAATCGTGCGACCAAATGATGAACTGACAACTAAATTGATTAAGACATTAAGACTTACACAATGTAAAAATAACTATCATTTTAAAAAGTGGGTGAGACCGTTGTATACTATGTAGATACCAATGTTGAGATGTGAAATTGAGTGAATAAAAACCTGCTTTTTGAAAGAACCATTGTAAGACTAAATATGTTATATTTTGAAGCTAAGTGTTATTATAGTACCTTTTCTCGAATATTTATTAAAGATATCGCAAGTTAAAAATTTTATTTAATTCAATTACGAGACAACAGAGATGAAAATGTTTACGTTAGTGATTTTATTCTACTTTCGGTTTCACTTACCTTCAGCCATCTTGGTAGATGGGTGGAAACGAATGATTTAAGAAGACTCAACCTAAGTGGCTATCTTTTAATTGAAAAAATATCTATTTTAGTAGAAAAAATTTCACAATCTTAAAGGTTTTTATATCCGAATTTGAATATTTTTGTTCATAATTTCAATGTACAATGTACAATGTACACGAAGTAAGATCTGTTAAATGTCTGCAAGCTTCAATAACAACCTAAAATCAATACATCGAGGTTCTAAACGGGGTTGACTTTAAAAGACGATTTATGATGATTACACCGTGATTGTTTTGAAGAAAGAAAATTAAACGATAGGAAAGGTAACTCTGGACATCCTGTATAAACAAATACTTCGAATATTATAAATACATGTATACCAGTTTTATTTTATCTTTGTTAGAATTATTTTAAAAAGTATTTAAATATTCTGATATATTTATTATATACGTCTTGTTTGTGAGTTTATTATGATTGACCACTGTTTTGTTTCTTAATTTACAATAAAATAAAATAGTTTATCAAAATATAAATATTGTATGTATAGTTTAAGGGCTGAGGTTGAAAATTGTTATAGATGGGTGAAGATCCATAACTTAAAACTTGAACATTTCCTTCAATTAAGTAACAGACTTGTTTGATTATATAGCAAAAGTATTTAATAAGACGTTAAAATCTGGCAACAGTGTAAAGTTTCTATAGATCACATTTAGAAAGACATGTTGATGTTCTCTTGTCATATATTTTAGATGTGAATTTACCAAAATAGTTTCAGTTTATCAATGTTTTATCGACGAAAAAAATATTCCATATAGCTTCTTGTATAAAGATGAGGCGGCAGGTCCTCTGCATGTATATTCTATTTCATTTTTATGCCCTCGTAATCGAAGTTTCGGGGGTATAGAGTTCTTGCCCTGTCCCTTTGTTTGTATGTTGATCTGTTTTCCGCAAAAACTTTAACCCTTTCCATAATTTTTGAGTGGGTGGCACTATGGCTTTCATATTTCACAGGTGTATTCCTTTTGATAAGACCTTTTTTGGTCCCAACAAATTTGACCTCTTGATCTTGGAGTTTGACCATAACCATTACTTTTGAATAGTTGGTGCTAGGGCTTTCATACTTTAATTATGTATTCACTGTAACAAGACCTTTCATTAGGTATTAAATTTTTTTACCTTGACATTAGAGTTTGACCTGCTTTGCAAAACTTTGACCTTAGCCATAATTTTTCAACCGTTAATACTAAGGCTTTCATATTTCACATGTGTATTCCTTGTCACAAGACCTTTTTTTGGATACAGACCATTTTGACCTTGATCTTAAGAGTTTGACCCACTTAAAAACTAACCCTACCATAACTTTTGAACAGATAGAACTGGGCTTTCATAATTCACCTCAGGTGTATTCCATGTGAGAAGACCGTCCACTGGGTACCAACAATTTTGGCCTTGATCTTGGAGTTTAGTTTGAACAATTTCAATCCTCGACATTAGCTGCCATACGGGGGCATCACTGTTTCACAAACACTATTTTTGCGAGCTCACGGAAAACGTCGACCAAGCAGGTGGATATGAAAAGCTTAGCTTTTTATTGTCAGTTTTAGTTTTAAAACAAACTTATCTCTGCAGTTTTAGCATAGTAGGGTTTACGTGCTGTTTTTTTTTTTTTTTTACAGATTAGAAGATAAAACAAGAAACTTTAGATGATATGATTCACGAACTGTCATTCTTTTCATAACTAGAAACAGTAAATTCGTAGTCCAGTAGAAAAGACAAACGTACAATGTAGTGGCTAGCGCTCTGAAGAGTTAGAAATTAAGTTTTTTTTGTACGTTTATACATTATCAGTTTCCCTACATTTTACAGTTGTTGGACAGTTTAGGTGGGATACAGGAGTAAACATCACATAGAGTTTGAAACACACATGATTATTTATTAGGAATTTATACAGTGACCATTTATTTTTAAATGTTCAATCAATTCCGATTTATTTTTTCATCGAAATATCATTTAACCTTTAAAGTGTTTTAACAACAAAGCTTCAGAATCTTTTATAATGATTTTTTGCTGGATCTATGCATCAAGCCTGTGAACATTTTTGGTGTTATTTGTTTCCAAAAGTACATTAAAATCTACCAGTAATCATTTACCGTATCAGCTAATAATTATGGAATCGGTGAAGTGCTTGTCAAATGTATGTATAAGTAAAGGTATATACATTTATAAAGCAGTTTAAACTAATCAAGGGACTAAAAATTGAATGTCTTTCTGTTTAAAGGAAATATATCAAAAGGCCCACTGGCCTTATAGATCACCTAATTATCATGCAACAATTTTCCAACATTTTAATTTGGTTTGTGTTTTAAACCAGTGGCCATGAAATTCGCAATTGTGAAAGAGGCACCATTGCTCATCATAACTATACACTTAACATGCTTACTTTGACAGAGGCAGAGCTGAAGAACAAGGAAAAATGCATTTCCGCCATATAATCAGTAGAATCCCACCCAACAGGAACCACTGACCCTGCATGGGGTCACACATTTAACAATTTTGGAAATACCAAAGAGCATATAAAAGCATTAATTCAATTTCAGCACTATAGTATTTAATCATTAGACCCCCTAATACACAGTACCTTTAACCAAGGGGCAATGAAATTCACAATCCTAGAAGAGGAATTCTTCCTCGTCATACATGTAACCATGTACTTGGTTTATCGGCTAATAACTAGAAGTTTTAAGTTTTCACTTTGTCTATATAATCATCAGAGCCCCGCCTTAAACCAGAATCCCTGAACCAGGGGCTATGAAATCCACAATTGTGTAAGAGGAACTTGCTCATCATAACAATATATTTAGTTCATCAGCTTAATACCAAGGAACAGAGAAGGTTTCAATGAATTAATTCTTTTTCACTATAAAATCATTAGAGTCCCATCCTAACACCAGAACCCCTGACCCAGGGGCCATGAAATTCACCATTTTGGAAAAGACACTCTTCCATATCATAACTACTGCAGGAGCCGATGAGAAGATTTTCAATGAATTAATGCATTTTCACTTTACAACTATACAGTAGTATATGCATTAGAGTCCTGCCCTAGCGTTAGAACCCCTGACTCAGGGACCATGAATTTCACAATTTTGGCAGAGAGCTCAACGCTTATTACAATCATGCCAACAGTGCATTGATTTTGATGGTTTAAGCCCCATCCCTTAGGCCCGAAGGGGGTGGGGGGGTCATGGGCTTTGAATTTAAAAAAGTTTTACTCCCCTTTATCCATACGATGCCAAAATTGGTTGAAATTGGTTCAGTGAAGAAAGTTAAAATGTTCAAAAGTTTCGACCGACGAATGACGACGGACAAAAAACAGATAGCAATAGTTCACCTGAAGGACAGAGGTGACCTAAAAATCAAAATAATTACATTAAAATGAATTAATCATTATAAATATTTTTAGCATGTGAGAAGATTTGCGTGGATAGCATTTTCAGTGTCTTTTTTTTCCTTTTCGATTTTCATTAGCAACAATAGCATTAGATTCAAATGGAAAATAGTCTGAAGTACCTTTCTGAAATTCAGAAATGAATGTTGTCTAATCGTTATGTGAAGAACATTTGATATGGTTAATAGAAAGACAGGCACGTAGCATCGTTTTTGAAAGTGGGGGGGCCAACCTGAGAAAAATTTTTTTTACTTACCTGAAAAAGTTGACAAGCAAAAAAAAAAAAATGAAAATTAAAAGTTGCCCAAACTCGAAAATCCTATTTCGTGGGGGGGGGGGGGGGGGGGGGGGGGGGCTAGTGGGCCAACTTTTTCAAAGCCAACTTACTATCATTTCCAATTTTTTCCTTACAATCCTTGCTATCACTATACTATGGTTGTCACCGTTATAAAGTGGGGGGCCAACCATCCTATCAATGAACATTTACTATAGTAAAGGTTATGTTGGGGAAAAAAGTGGGGGGGGGCCAGGCCCCACCTGGCCCCCCCGGATGCTACGTCCCTGAAAGATCAATTATCATTTTTATCTTACAATAAAATTAAAAGTAGGAGGTTAGATTAAAATAATATTTACTATCATACAAATGTACCTACATTGTGTACCTGAATAACATTAGAAAACATAATGAAGCGATGCTTTTTACATCAGAAGATCACATTGTGTCTTTGCCTGTAAAATAAAATGCATCCACCCATCCATCCACAAGAGTTATCTTTCTATTTTTCTTGAAAATATTTTTATTGAAACAAAATTTTAATTTATTGATTATAAAAATTCTGAATCTAAAATTTCTGTTACAGTGAAAACATTGGCAATTAAAACTTACGTCAAGTAGTCGACATTTGTACATTAGATCAGATTAGAATGAGATGACTACAAAATGACCCTCATTAATATTAAACTCTGACAAGACAATGGTGTCATTAAGTTGCTTATGATAATTTTCTTAGAAAGTTATCTTTCTCATAAGAACTTAAGAGGTATATTACATCTTAAACAAAATGGATTTCGATTTCTCTACCTGATATATTTTATAGCGCGGTCTAACAGTTTAAAATCAAGTTTACATAATTTGATTCGTGTTGTAAATACTGCTAGCAAATTATATGCATCTTTTATGCTTTTACTGGCAAATCTATGGAAAGCCGTAGGGTACCCCCACATTATTATTATTTTTTCCTATATAATTATACCAAAAATAATAATGTCATCCAAACTTGCTTTTTACAACATTATTATTATTTTCCTGCAACAATTATAATCTTGTCTGTTAAATGTGTACACATTATTATTATTGTGTCCTACAATTATAATGATTCACTTCACAATAATAATCTTGCTCAGTCAATATGTAGACACATTATTATAATTTCTCGCCTCATGATTATAATCTTGTCAGTCTATATTTAAATGTGTACACATTATTATTATTTTGTCCTACAATTATAATGATCCAAACTTTACAATAATAATCTTGCCAGTCAATGTGGACACATTATTATAATTTTTCGCCTCATGATTATAATCTTGTCAGTCGATGTTTAAAAACATTATTTTTATTTCACCTCAAAATTATAATAATTATTCTTACTTTTAACAATTATAATCATGTTTGCCCAAGCGAACACATTATTTTTATTTCGCTTCAATTTCATGCCAATTTTATTCCACATCGATCATACAATTATAATCTGTCTTACTCCAACAATAATAATCGCGACCAAAAAAAGTTGCAACATTATTATTATTTAGACGCTTGAAATCAAACGTTTCTGTGATTTTGATGTACTGAACAATTATAATCTTGTCAGATTTTCTTTGGGAAAGATTATTATTATTTGGACGCTTGAAAAAGTAAACGTTTGTCTGCCGAAGACAATCACGTGGTTTAAGGCCATGTGCTTCCCTAGTATCAACAGTGCCGAGGACGGCGCCAGTGAAAGGCAGGCGGTTTGCCGGTAAGTAAAGATGATTTTGTTATATTAATGTACAAGGAAGCGAATTCCATTCATTCGATAAAGGAAATGTCTCAGAAATCAGCTGTCAGTATGCTGTTATAAAACGACAGCTTCGGAAAAACTAGTTCGAATTATCTCTGTACTTTTGTATAGGAGATTGAGTCAATGAGATTGCATCAATGCATGCCATTGCATTGTGAATTTATGTTCCAAATCTAGATAAAGTGGCGTTAAGTTGAATGATATAGTGTATATATTTATATATTTACTAACAGATATTTTTTTAAAGTTTATTAATAGCTTGTACTTTACAGTTTTAACTTGAATTTTCTCTGAAGTAAGTTATTCATATTGAGATCTATTGTTATTTACATTGCGACTTGGGTCAGTTGAGTTGCCCATATAAGACTGTTTGCTCTACAGTTGCAAAGTTTCGTGGGTTCGAATCCCATTGTGGGACATGGAGACCAGTCCTTCATATGCAATTTACTATACAATGCACAATATTGATGGAGCTGAAAAGATTTGTATGTACTCTGCACCCGGTAACAGGAAAAGTGTGTGATGATAGGTACACGTCACAGCAGGTGCGTGACATATACCATGTGATCAGAGGTAGCAGGGCAATCCGTGGCTAGCACTTCCAGGACTACTACATTCAGATAAAACAGTATAAACCAAGGTCCTGTGTCACAGTAGGTGCTGGCACAAAAAAGATCCCTCACTGCTCAATGGCCATAATTGCTGAGTATAGAATAAATTTAAAGCTCTCCACCAGCAAATGGTGGCGTCTCCATATGAATGAAAAATTCTTGAGAGGGACATTAAACAACATAAAAACAAACAAAAAACATTAAGTTAAAAGTCTGATTATTGATAAATTGTCTTGATTGGCTGATTTTATCTATGATTGGATGAAAACAATTTTTATGAAATAACTGTTATGTTGCAGATTATGCACAAGTTGAAGAAAGGAGCTGCTGTGGGATGGTAAAAAAAGTTCCAGGTAAAGGACAACCTTTTCCATTTATTTTAAAGGGGTATGAACATTGCATATTTACTGTAAAATCACAAATTTTCGTGAAGGTTTAATTTTCGTTGTTTTCGAGGTGTGGAGAGACCCACAAATTCATGTCCACCATGAAATGTAAAGTGTTACATATAAAACTACTCAACAATTCTTCAGACACAAAATCAAATTCCCAGGATCCAAATTTTTTCCCCAAACCATGAAAGTTTGAACCCACGAAAATATGTGATTTTACAGTAAGTATGTTCACCTCTGGGTCAATCTAATTAAAGTTAAATGTTAGATCTGCTCGCATACTTGCTACTCTAACATCTAACAATATCACATAGAGGGTCACATCTAAAGTCAAATTTGTAACAACTGTAGACTTATTCCTTTCAACAAATATTCAATGATTTTGCGGGCGACAATTTGATTGGATGATAGAATCTGACCCCTGACTTGACCCTCTGTGAGATGTTGTTACTGGATGTTAGTGTAGCAAGTATGCAAGCGGATCTAACGCCTCTGGGTGTTTTTTTTTAAATTCACAGCTTTTAAGAGTTAGATAATAGATTCTAAATTTGAGAATTTCTACATTTTTTACTCAATCATCTGTCACCATGAGAAATACAAATTATGCTCTAGTTTTTAAAGAATTATTTGCACAATTAATTTCAGGAGCAACAAAGAGTCTTGATTTTTATAGGGGTGCAGATTTTAAAGAAAGAAAACTGTGTTGTAAAGAAAGAAGATTTTCCATCAAATAATGGTGGATGACAAAGGTAAAGAGGACAGTAATGATTAGAAAGAATTAATTATTTAACACAGGGGCAGATTTTTTGTTGCAGTTTGTAAATGCTATTCAAAATGTTTAGCATATAAATTTTTATTAAAATATCATGATGAATGTTCATGCAACTTAATAGCTCTTATCAATGTTTATAGTTTAAGCATATGAAGATTAATCAAAGTCTCTTGAATAGTTTCTTTAAAACTAAGCTTTGCTCACTAATTTAAAGAAAGATCAAGGTCAAAAGAAAGATCAAGTAAAATAATGATTATGAAGTTGAATAGATCCCATCAGTATGTATCTGGCACTATCTGCATATATATAAGGTTCGATAAAAATATCTGAAACAACTTTTGAAACAGAACTTAACATAATTTAACAAAAATTAATGTCAAGGTCAGAAATAAGAAACTCTTATTAATAAAATATATGTATCAGCATATGAAGTTCAAAGTGTGATGGAAGGACAGTAGGACATGTTATTAAGATTAAGTAAACCTCATTACAAATGTTTATGCTAAGGTGAAGCCACAATATTGGGTCATTTTTCATTGAAAAAAGGAACATTTTTTTTTAAATTCTGTGGAACACTAGAACCAAGTGACCTAGGTGAGCATTGTGGCCCATGGGCCTCTTGTTATGTGTTATTTAATTCATCATGAATCAGGTGGTATAATGATTTTTTATATTTCAGTTCTTCCTATGAATGATGTCATAACCCACTTTGAAAAAAAAGTTTGTTGGAGAGAAAAGGATCTGAAGAGGGAGAAAGAATTGATTATATTCAGATGGATTTATAGACTGTTAGACCTTTTGCTATCACTTAATTCTGTACTATTAGTTCTGCAACACTGAGCCTATAAGCTTTTGACTTGATGGTTTATCTAATTTGAGAGAGCCTAGTCCATTTTTTAAGCATTTCAAGATTAACAATGCAGAATATGTACACATGTAATGGCAGGTAAAAATCCCACACAAACAGGACACTGATAAGACTGGAATTTAGAGATATTTCATTTCTCTCTTGTGTGAATTAAAAAAAATTAATGCCAGAAACAATATAATAAATTAATAACTTAGTCTTGTTTTGTGCTTATACTTTAATGCCCCCAGAAATGAAGTTTCGAGGGTATACAGCAAAACTCGCTTAGTACGAACACGGATATTGCGAATAAAGCGGAGTCATCTTGGATCCCCAGCTATATAAATTTAATGAATTTCTTGTATGATTATAACGAATTACGGATATAGCGAAGTAATTTCATAGGTCCCTGTGACTTCGTTATAATGGAGTTTTGCTGTATAGTTTTTGTCATGTCCATCTGTCTGTCTGTTTATCTGCAAAAGCTTTAACCTTGCCCATACCTTTTGATTTTATTAGTGGAGCTATGACTTTCATATTTCACATATGTATTCTTTGTATTAAGACCTTTCATTGGATACCACCAACTTTGACCTTTTGACCTTGGAGATTTACATACTAATAAAAACAATGCAAAGATTAAACTTTTCTAAAATGCAAATTGAATTAATTGGTACCAAAAGTAGGGTATTCTCACTGGAAAACAATTGTGAAATTTGAAAGTAGTCCAATGTAAAAGTACTTTCAATAAGTACAAATATCTCCAAGGTCAAAAGGTCAAGGTAATTGATATCCAATGAAAGGTCTTGCCACATAGGATACTTATGTAGAGTATGGAAGCCCTAGCCCTAACCATTCAGAAGTTATAGCCAAGGTTGAAAATTTTTAAAAGTAGGTCAAACTCCAAGGTCAAGGTCAAAGTTCTTGTTTTCAAATGAAAGGTCTTGTCACAAGGATTAAATGTGTAAAGTATGGAAGCACCAGCCCTAACCCTTTAAAAGTTATGGTCAAGGATTGCTTTTTTAAAGTAGGTCAAACTTAAAGGTTATTAAAGTCAAAGGGTCAAAATGCTTGGTATCCAATGAAAGATCTTCTCACAAGGATTACATATATGAGGTATGAAAGCCCTGTCCCTTACCATTCAAAAGTTATAGCCAAGGCTAAAGTTTTTTTCACAGGTACGGAAATATACAAGGTCAAAGGGTCAAGGTTCCAGGTATTCAATGAAAGGTTTTTTGACAAAAAATACATATGTGAAGTATAAATGTCCTGGTATCTACTGTTAAAAAAATATGGCCAAAGTAAAAGTTAAAAATTTTCATGTAAAAGTGGGTCAAACTTCAAGGTCAAAAGGTCACATTTGGTGGTACCCAAAGAAAGGTCTTGTCACAAGAAATACACGTGAAATATGAAAGTCATGGCTCTACCAAATCAAAGTTATGGGCAAGGTTAAAGTTTTTGCGGACAAACAGACAGATGGACATGACAAATACTATATACCCCCAAAACTTCGTAAAAAACTTTAACATTGGAAATAACTTTTGAATTGCAAGGGGTAGAGCTTTCATACTTCACACATGTAATCTTTATGAGAAGACCCTTCACTGGATACCAAGAGCTTTGACTTTGACCTTGGAGTTTGACCTGCTTTAAAAAAACAAACCTTGACAAAATATATTAAAGGGTACGAGCTATTGCTTTCATACTTTAGTTTTTTAATCCTTGTGACAAGACCTATCATTTGATACCTAGACCTTTGACCTTGACCTCAGAGTTTGACTTACTTTTTAAAAAAATGTAACCAAAATTTTTAAACGGTTAGGGCTAGAGCTTCAATACTTCACATGTATTCTTTGTGGCAGGATCATTTATTGGATACCAATAACTTTGACCTTTTGACCTTGGAGATTTCCGGACTTGTGAAAAAACTTGAACCTTAGCAATAACTTATAAATGGTAATAGGGCTAGGGCTTCCATACTTCACATATATATTTTCTGTGGCAAGTCCTTTTATTGGATACCAAAACCTTGACCTTTTGACCTTGACATTCCAGGACTTATGAAAAAACATTAACCTTGGCAATAACTTTTGAAGAGTAAGGGCTAGGGCTTTTATACTTCCCATATGTAATTTTTGTAACAAGACCTTTCATTCAATACCAATAACCTTGAGCTTCTGACCTTGATCTTGAAGATTTCTGTACTTATGAAAATTTTTTTGCCTGGCCATAACTTGGGAACAGATGTTGATAGGGTTTTCATGTTTCACAATTGTATTTCCAGTTAGGGGACCCTACTTTGGGTACCAATATATTAAATTTGCATTTAAGAGAAGCTTAATCTTCACTATGTTGCCATACCGGGGCATCAGTGTTTCACAAACACATCTTGTTTGGAAATCTACTTGCATGCAAGTTTTTTTTCAATACTAGATTTGAGTGTGAATTCCCTCTCAAGGTCAAGTACATGTATGTGAATGTACTGTGTAACTCATTAAAAGTCATGTGTATACAGTTTACAGATTATCAGACACAAATATGAAGCCCACTATTTTAAGTACACATACAGTATATAGGCCATATAGTAGCTCCCATATTTTGAACATGTATTTCCAATGTTGGTGAACAATATTTGGGTCTACAATTATCACATGTATATGACAGAGCTCCAACTTTTCCAACATGCCTTCCATTATATGTTTGTCATTCAAGTCCAAAAGAACACCAGAAAAAAAAATCACTATTTAATATCCATTCAATAACACATCATTACCAGACAACTTAAATAAAATAAATGTGCAAATTACTTTCAGGAATTTTTTTTTAAAAATCTAATTGCAAAATATTCAAACAGAAAATGCCTCAATATTTTGGTAAATATATATAATATACAGATTTACAAGAGGCTCAGGGACCAACTGGTTCACCTATGCAATGTGGCTAAGAAAAAAGCAAAAATCAGTTTAGTATTGAAAAACTTAAATGCATAAATGGTCCTGACATACCCCTAAAAGAGAGGGGTATGATTTGACAAAATTGAATGTACACTAAATAAGGATGTTTATATATTTTTGACTGTGGCCTTTTTCCCTAAAAGTTTGAACTCTCAGTGTGGCCCCACTCTACATCCAGGGGGTCATGATATGTACAAACTTGAATCTACCCTATCTGACAATGATACCACATGAGTATTCACCTTTCTTGGCCCACTGGTTAAATAGAGTATCAAATGTAAATATTTCAATAATGAAAATGTATCAAAAATGCATCACTTTAAATGAAGTGTTAAATAATGTTAAAAAGACAAAGTTCATGGAACAGGAACAACACATGCAATCTTTCATCAAGAATTCTCTGAAATTTGACAAGACTCTTTTTTCTTCCAAGTTATTCACATTGCAACTTTTTGTCCAGACCGGCACACTCTTCTAAGGAGATTTCTCTGATATATTTATCATGGCTGTGTTTTCCTTATCATCCAACTGCCAGATTTTCGTCCATAGGTCTAAAACTTATGATGTGCTCAAAGTCTATCAGGGTGAAGTTCAAACTCCAACATAAAATTTATGGTTCCTGAACCCTGAAAAATAACATTAAAAACACAAGAGTCTTTATAATTATCATTGACACACATAATCATGGGAAAACTTGGTAGGGTGGAGAAGTTTTTTCATGATACGTATGACAAGTGGAGGGCTCCCAATGTGACAGCAAACTGGGTTTTTCTTGTGTGAACAGACTTGGCATAAAATTCTTACATGAATAAAAAATGTACATTTGCAAGAGTTGTTTCCCTTTTATCAAAAAAAAAAACCCTCCCTATTTTCTCACAATATCCTTTGTAACTTTCATACCGGCAAAGTATGGGGCGACAAAAAAGCCCTCGCAAAATGAACATACACTAGGATATTTTGCACAGAAATGACAAAGGTCAAATAAAGACCCATGGGTCACATTGCTCACCTTAGCTCTTTGGCTTTCAGTATTGAAAAGTAATAATTCCTACTGGGCCCAAACTAATCCTAAGGGGAGGGGAAGCGGGCATGATTTGAACAAGCTTAAATCTACACCAACTGATGATGCTTTCTATTTCTTTGACTAATCATGGCCTTAGAAGATTTCTAATGATCTTTCCTTTGTATTTTTGTGTAAAACTTTGATTTCCATTGTGGCCCCATCCTTAACCTGGGGATCATTATGTATGATAAACAGATGCCAGACACTTCTTAGTCGGAAAAGTTTACTTGAGCCTTATGCCCTTTTCACATGGAGAGTTTAATTCACAGTAAATTAATGAGAAGTAAAATAATGCGTATTTAATTGTGTTCACACGACAGCTAAAGCAAAGTAAACTTATGCAAATCAAAATTTTATTTCTACATAATGATATTATGACGTCATTTGTTATTCACATCATGTGTGCCGAGCAGATTCAATTGACATAACCAGAAGTCTCTGTTGAGACTGAAGCTCTACTGGTTTGTACTTATAGCAAAGGAAGAGAAAAGTACTTGAGCAGTTGGAAATTGACTTTTCAACAGCAATAAATAGTGATCCTTGATTAAGTTATGTTCTTAGTGCAGTCTACTTGCATGCCACATTTATATTATAATCAGACTAAAATTGTAATTGGAGTAGCATTTTGAAAGAATTTCACAGAAATGTCTATTTTTAGTAACCACAGCAACACCGTTCAACGAAATCAAAAACCGATACAAAGAATAAATCTTTGTAGTCTACTTGTGTGCCAAGTTATAAAAATCAGACCAAAACTGTAGGTGAGTAAATTTTTATACAATTTAGTGATTAACATATTTTTTCTTTGATTTTTCACATTTAGGAAAAAGCACATATCAGATCAAAAAGTTTATTGGGGAGGGAGGGGGGGGGGTAAATTTTAACCCCCCTAGGGGTTCATGATTTGAACAAACTAGAATCTACACTACCTGAAGCTGATTCCATATTAATATCACTAATCATAGCTTTGAAGTACTTGAAAAAATGATTTTAAAAGGTTTCCCTATAAATCCCAATGTAAAACTTTCGGCCATTTTGGCCCCACCCTAGGCCCGGGGGTCATGATTTCAACAAACTTGAATCTACACTACCTGAGGATGATTCCACATGAGTTTCATCTTTCCTGGCCCAGTGGTTCTTGAGAAGAAGATTTTTAAAGATTTTTCCTATATATTCCTATGTAAAACATTCCATTTTGGCC